CCCGCGCGAAGGATCAGCGTGCAAGAGAATCTCATTCCGGAATGTTCTCTGCATAAACGAGATGCTTTATTCGTCGAATGTGCACTGCGTTGCGTTGCATCGAGGTTAATATATACTGTATGGTAGTCCATGAAACAACCTTAGCTGCATGGTATGGGAAAAGTGGTCGTATCAATAAAAAAAAAACCGCAGCAGACCCACAGAATCAGAGAACAAAAATTGAAAGGGAAAAGCGCCCGACCCGAAATACGCAGGTGTATATGTGGAGAAAAATCTTTTCGACTGTAGTTAAATTTAAGTTCGAGGATTCGTATTCCTATGCGGATCCTCGAACCATAACCATAACCAATCAATCATACGGCTAGCCCCTTCGCGAATTACTGCAATATAGTAAGAATGAAGCTTCGTAATCCTCGCTAGGAACTATAGGAATAAGTAACTTAATATATAAAATACAAAATACCTTATAAATTACCCTATAACGTACTACTTAGATACTATATCCTAGAATCTCATAATAAGTATTTCTATAAAGGACCTATATAGACCAAGGAAGCGCTATAATAAAAAAAGAGCGAAGGAAAGCTTAGTAAAAAAAGTACTAAAATTTTGAGAGAGAGGTAGGCCCGGTAATCGAAAAAAGAAAAGAGAAAACTCGTAGCGGACTTAAATAAATACAAATAATGAGATCCATATTACTAATCAGTAAGTAACTAATTAGTTATCCCTTTATAATCCAACTTTAAAATCTGGAAAGCTATAAATTTATATCCCCTGTACTTATATAAAGTCCTAACCAGAACGAACTAGTACAAACAACCCATCCACCTATCCCATCTTCCTACTCCCCTACCCTACCCTACCCTACCCTATACACGCTCCTCCAATACACTGATATACATCTCTAGCAAACAATAACGAACGCCAATTAAACCTTTCCATCTACATAGAACTAGGAAGGTACATATACCAGTAAGGTCCTCGTTGTTGAAAAGGAGCTTCCAATAATTGACCTCTGCAGCTCTGCAGCTCAAACAAACTCGGGAGAAATCACGCGAGACCTTGACAAATAATCCTTACCTTACCTTACCTTACCGATCCAAGTAGCGTTTAACTTTTAAACTCTCCCTCTCTGGCTCCCCAAAGAATCCAGGTCAGGGACCGGCTTTTCTACTATAGAGTAGAGTATCGAACTCTCATCTCCTTTCCTCCTTTCTTTCTTTTCTCGGAGAATTTGTATTCGGTATTCGTTGGAAGACCCGAAGACCCGAGGGCCGATACCGTGGATGGATGGTGGGTAGATTTCGTTCGATACGTTTGATTTTCACTCTCTACTCGAGTACCCTATAGTATAGATAGGAATGAGATAGTACAAGTGTGGTTTCCAAGCATTCACCGTTCCAAGCCGTCTATCTAAGATCATTGTCAATTATCAATTATCAAAATCTCATTTTAACAGCTCTGAAACTCCGTATATAGGCAGAAGAGGTAGTTAGACGAAGGTCGGTATTCCAAATTCACCCCTCCGAAAGAATCATCTACTTCAAACCTACCTACATACCTACCCCTTTCTGATCCCTTCGAAAGGATTTGTAATTGCTTTGTAATGTAGAACTAAGAACTAACTTTTCCACATCGGATCATTTACCGAATCTTACCTTGTCTTGCTAAACGAATCCAATCCAATCCGAAATACTTACTGTACCGGTCCAAGAAAACAAGGTCAGCAGGGCTGAAGCTTGGGACAAGGGAGTAGGTATGGAAGGAAAGCGGTTGAATACAAACACAGGATGCTCGTACACAAACTACCGTCCTGTATATGAAATCACTTCGTTAGTCCGAAAGGCTCACAGGCACGCCCGTCGGGAAACCTTGTTGAAATGAGTTCCCATCGGAGGACCCTGATACTAGGTACTGTGGGCAAATTTACTTTGAAAGAGTAGAGTATGGTGGCGTTGGGTTCTTTCGCTTGCTACGGTGCGATACTAGGATGAAGATCCGATACCTATACAAAAATAGGATAGGATAGGTACCAACTATCATCTGCCTCGGTCACACACAGGTGTGGCATTTGCTGAGTGACGATGAATTGAGTTGGACGTGCCCGTTTATCAAACTTTTGCAACATGTAAGTTTCATCGAAGGTTTGACTTGTTCGTAAGGTACAGTGCAGCAGTACAGTCTGTACTGCATGGCGATACATACAGGAACCAGGAGCATGAACTGAATCTCGCAATAGAGAACGGCATCATTGAACAGTTCAGAAACAGGTGTTAGTTATCGATAGACGGTGCCATCAGTCGAATCGAGGAAATCGAGTCTCAAAGAAAATCTCCGTACTGTAAAGCATGACCGACACCCTTTCGAACAAATCCCTTTTCACACACACTCGATGTCGCCGGTCGAGGTGGCTTGAGCAAAAAGCTGGGGAAGTTCAGGGGTTATGCCATGCCCAAGGGCTAATCTAACGAGAGCTTCTTGAAGGCCGGGGTGGCCATTCGAGGGAATTTGGCTTTTGATTCGTTCCTGGGGGAGGACCATTGAAGGTGCAGGGAACAGTACAGTAGTGTGCAGACAGCGGCGCACACTTTAACGTCTTAGATGCAGCCTACCAATCCGGTAGACCCCCAATTGAAAAAAGAGGCATGACAGGATGTATAAGCTTCGTTTGGAAAGTGGCCGGCCGGGTACGGTTGGTGTGCTCTCCGTGCTAAATAAAAATGGAAAGAACGGATGGCTTCTGCCATTCATTCACTCACGGCGGGAAGCGAAGGGGTCCTAGGCCTTTTGCTCCAGCTAACCCTGACCAAATTCACCTTTTCCTCTTCTTCCCCACCACACCATTCACCATCTCCATCACCATCCAGACACCATCATACCCCTCCCCCTTCTTGCAGCGGCCATTCTCAAATCTCAATACTCCCGCACCCAGGACCAGGACCCTCACCCTCACACTAGGCCGTCACCTGAGCAGCAGATTCTCATGGCCCGGTCGATGCATCCACTGTGCCATCCACTCCACGCACGGTCATACGCCAGACTTGACCATCCATCCCCATCCACCACCACTCGATTGACACCCATGTCCAAAGGACGGATGTGGTTGGTTATTCTGGATGGAGTGTTCCCTCGCTGCCCACCATCACATCTGCAACCGCAGGGCCATCCGCAACTTAGTTTGAATCGGGAGACCGGCCATCTATATGCGAGACGGTACACTGAATTGTAAAGAGAGATACCGAGGTGATGTTTTTCTTGTCATCATTCAGGTACGAACATTACTGACGTTGATGCGAACGTCGAGGTTATCTTTGCTATCTTATCGCCGTCCACGTCTGACCGCATGGATCACTTACTGACCAGTAGTTTAACTATGGCGGGGGATGTGTTGTGGAGAGAGTGGTCAGTGAAGATCTGGGGAGGTCGGGAGTGCTACTGAGGTTAAACAAAATTGAGCGGACGTGCTCTTGACGTGGGGTGGGGATGTTTTGTACAGCTCTGTACTCGTGCGCAGACGTTATCCAGAGCTCCAAATGTCGAGAACATCACGGCTTCGAGGAAAGCGCAGTACGAGTAGATTACTCGGTTCATGGCGTGGTATGTAGTCGTTCAAGCGCAGTTCCTTCGGACTTTATTCAGCAAGGCCTCCATGCGCCCATGAATGCTTTCGGTTCCTCGGAATGGGCCCAGTAGATGTGTTTCTGCATACTGGTGGGACCCGACACACCTTACACTCCTACGAGTACAACCGTGAATGCAGCATTATTTCCGCTGATGCGTGGCCAATAATCAACCAAGTGCCGTTTAGGTACGTTGGAGGTACTTCGGCTTGGGTGTAATTGCTAGAGCATATATTCTGTACTCCCTACTAACGTGAAGCCTGCCGCACGGCAGCAGCTATGTTCCGCTCTTCAGAATTGCATGTTGTGTAACAGCAGATGTCGATGTACCTTGGTATTATACAGTACCTCGTCGATGCTAGTCGAAACAACAGGATGGGAGAAGGGTGATAGGTTACTGTATATCTTGCTGAGACATCAGAGGCAGAGGCAGAGGCAGAGGCAGAAGATTAGAGGCATTCGTTCATAAATGTGGCCGGATCAACCACTACTGTCGGCTCGAGACTTCATGTCTTGGTGTTCATATCAAATTGCAGCAGTCCATCCACAGCATCCAGCAGCCAGCCACTCAGGAACATGCCATGAGAGATGCCCAGAGATGCCCCAAGTGATGCATTTCTGATTGCCCTTCCACTTTCCCAACCTACCCTGACAGTCTTCCTGTTCCTTGGCCCTTGTCACTTGCTTTGGCTTCCCTTTCCTTGCACCCCTGTTGTTCATACGTCGCTTTACTGAAGACTGCATGACCATGGGTGACTACTGGTGGAGAGAAAGAAAGCACGATGCTTCAACTCGCTCCGGCCTTGGTCAATGGAGTAGTGCCCAGCCCTCTCTATCCCAAATCCGCTCTACCTCCGTACCCAGCGCTCGTTGGGTATCTCTCGGGATAGAAGCTTGTGGGTGACTTCACGATGGCGCAGAGCGAAGCTTGAAGCTATTCCGTATCAGATCAAGCTTGCCGGTTCCGTCTCCACCATCCTACGTCCAAGTCGTCTCAAGATAGCTTCAGCGCCAATCCGGGCATTGCGCGGCATTGAAGTGCAGACAGGCCAGGTGGAAAGGTGGAAAGGTGGAAAGCTCGGAATGTTGGTCAGCGAAGTCATCCAGCCCAAGGCGGGTCGATTTGCAGTCAATAAGTTTAACTGCTTGTCATAACTACTCCAGCAAAGTTTTACAATTATGGGACTTTGTGAGAGGCCCAATAATGGAGCAATGGCGGCTACTGCTGGGATAGTATCATTCAGTAACCTCGTAAGGTCTACCTACTCGCCCGGTAGATACTGGTACACGCAGGATCTGAGTTTGTGGCTGGAGCATGCGTGCGTGAGAAAGCTCCAGTATCGGAGCCGCGAATGAATGGATGATGATACCCGGGCCGGACTAGGGCTTCTCCGGACAGAGTACGTTTGCAGCAAGACCCGTGCTGTTGCTGTGACTGACGGCCACTATGAGTCTGAGTCTATGTCTGAATCTGCAAGAAGCTCCACCAGACAGCTGCTGCCGAGTTTTGGCGGTGGTGTTTCGAAGTGCTGTGTGTGTGTGATTTGGCTGTCCATCGGCTTTATGCCCTACCCTGAGCCTGCCCTGCCCTGATTTTCCATACCCTCCCTCGGCCTCCCCTCGCCCACCAGCGCCCTCGTCCTGGCCTTCAGCTCCTGCTCGTCCTGACGTCTGTGATGGGGTCTCAAGGCCCATCTGATCCTCCGTGCCACAGCCAGATCCACGCTTCCCTCCAACGCTCCCGCTCCCAGCACCTCCCTCCATCACAGTGAACGTTGAATGCGGCGGCGGCAAGCTTAAAATCACTTCCTGGGGGTCCTGGCCGCGTAGATTGCACATCTCTTGTTAGTGCAGAAGCGTGCGGCGATCGAGGCTGGGTTGGATAAAGATAGCCATCACTAGCTAGCTGTCTGACGTCTCCCACTCGAGCAGTGTCGGCAGGACGGCTGTCTGGCGATGGTCGAGATGTGACGGGTGCAGGGCAGGGAAACCGTAGGTGTAGGGGCAGACAAGGAAGGAGTGCTCTGGGAGTGGTCCACGGGTACTGTACGAGGAGCACCCCTTGAGAAAGTGCCCTGTACGAAGCGATGGTAGAGCGGCGAACAGCCCCAAAGCACCCCGACCTCAGCGCCTCGCAGGCCCATCCCCAGTAAAACGGAGGCTGCAGCCAACCAGTGGCATGCGAGCCGCGAACCTCCAATGGCATTCCTTCTTTCAGAGTGCCTCCCTGGGCCTCCCACTTGCTCGCCGTGCGAAGATCACCCAGCCCGGTCAATCAATCGCCTGCTGCTCTTTAGTCTTTCCGTGCGAGTGTGAGTGTGAGTAGACCGTAACCGTAGACCCCAACCTCGACCTGGACGCTGTGTGGGCTTGCTTTGCTGTGAGAATTATATCCTCAATTTCTCATCCATCACGCGAGCCGAGAACCCGTAGCCGCAGTGAATGGAGACGCAGTACGAGTACCAACATCCATCGCATCGCTGACCACTCCATTGCATTGCATCACCTATCGCATCGTATCCTGCCTCTCGGACCGCCGACGCTGCCCGCCCACTTCTCTCCCCGCGACGACCTCATCCCACCAAGACCAGCAGGTCTGAATGAGTCGCCAGCTTCCCAACAACAACAATTCGCAACCATGCCCGCAGCAACTGCTTCTAGCAATACCGCGGCGAGCAATGTGGTGAGCACTGGAGAAAATGGTATGATGTCTCCCCAAGTCCTGCCTGAGGGAGCTTCGAGAGTGGTGGTGGTGGTGGTGGTGATGTCGGAAGCATTGAGGCCTCCTTGTCCTACTGCAGACGTTGGTGTCTAACGAGAATATATTCCAGGTGCGGCAGGCAACGCCAAACAAGCAAACACCTTCCCTCCCCCGAAAACCGACAAACCGAGGCCTCATGTCTGCGGAACCTGCCAGCGCTCCTTCGCCCGGCTAGAGCATCTGAAGCGTCATGAGCGATCCCACACGAAGGAGAAACCCTTTGAATGTCCTGAGTGTGCAAGGTGTTTTGCACGGCGAGATCTGTTGCTGCGACACCAGCAGAAATTGCATATGACCACGACTCCCTCATCGCGACCAAGAAATCGACGAGAGAGTGTGGCCGGCACTACGGCCGGTACGGGACCCGGACGAGTACGCAAAGGTTCCGTTGCCAATGGACATGCTGCCGCAACCATGAGGCCCAGGGCCAACACCATTAGCCATGTAGATGGTGCCCATATGCAATTGATGGCAGCAGCAAATGCAACCGTCGCCAGAGCTGGTATTCACGCCACCCAACCCACCCATAGCCGCCATCCCAGCCTGGCAGGTCTCCCAATGCACAACGAATATCATTTTGGGGGCATGTCTGCTGCCATGGATCAACGAGGACTAAACCACGGTCTGCCTAAATTGGAAACCCATAGCTTCAGCAACCTAGACTTTGGAGGCGGCTTGCGAACAGCGCCGGTGGTGGGTGGAGTTAACGCGGACTTTGATTTTGAAGGATTGCTCTTCGGGCCTGGTTCAACGATCAACCCAAATGCGTTGCATTACAATGATTCTCCGCAGTCAATGGCCATCGATTCGGTTTCCCCCTATCACCAAGCCTTTCCTGACATGTCTGCGAGCCAAACTTTGGATGAGAACTTTGATTGGATGAATGGCTTTGAACATCAAATGTCCTTCCACGACGCAAACGAAAATGCCATTGATGGGTCTTCTCCCTCTGCAATTAGCACCGCAAGCCAGAGTGGCATCAGTGAGGTCATGCTAGATGGGTCCAACAATCCCGCGGCCTCCTCGACCTCAATGTGGCAACAATCGATGATGGCACCTCCTCAGATGAATCCAAACCCATTCAATCTTGATATGGGAAACTCGGGCTTCAATGACTTGATGAATGGGGGGCCTCTCTCACCTCATGGCATGCCACAGAAGCATCTTAACGACCCATACTTTTCCACTCCGCCACCGTCGATGAGTTCTCTGAGCCCATCGATGCTATCTGGAATCACCACCCAATCATTTCACCCACCAATGAACCTTGGGCCAGAAACGCCAATATCCATGAGCGGTATGGGCAATTCTTCACCTGTGTCAACTATTACGGATACCACCCGTCAAGCTCTTCTTGCGGCCTTGTCTCAGTGTGCCCCCTTTGGCGGGCGAAAGTATTCTTTTCCTACCACAAGTTCCCTTCTCTCACCACACTTTGCTGGACGTACTGCGATGAGTGAAGGTCGGAATCTCCCAAGTACACAAGACCTTCAACGTTACACTGCTGCCTATATTCGGTATTTTCATCCACACCTGCCTTTCCTTCACCTCCCCACTCTGTCTTTCGAAGCATCAGCCTTTCAAAATGACGGAAATCAAGCTGCTGGCTTAGTCGGAGGTCGTGGTTGTCTGATATTGTCTATGGCTGCTATTGGTGCGTTGTATGAGCTAGAACATGCACAATCGAAAGAATTGTTCGAGTCGGCAAAAAAGATGATTCAGCTATACTTGGAAGAGCGTAGGAAGGCAGATGTTCGCAAAGCGGACCATCGAAAATCTAGCATTGACAATGGCTTACGCCCAGAAAATTCCGTCCACACACCAGTATGGCTTGTTCAGGCAATGCTTCTCAATGTGGTTTATGGTCATAATTGTGGCGACAAAACTGCTGGGGACATAGCAAGTACTCATTGCGCTGCATTGGTGAGTCTTGCGCGGGCCGCGGAGCTTCTTACACCACAGAGCGTCAATACTTCTTATGATCACCAAGATCTTGGGTATTGGGGAGGTGACGAAGTTCCGGATGACCAACAGGAATGGTACAATTGGAAATCTATGGAAGAACGAAAGAGGACCCTCTACGCTGTATTCATTCTGTCTAGTCTTCTCGTTTCTGCTTACAACCACGCGCCTGCATTGACAAATTCCGAGATTCTACTAGATCTTCCCTCCGACGAGGAGTTTTGGTCTGCAGACTCTGCAAGCAATTTTTATTCCAAAGGAGGTGCAGGAATGGCAGATCATAACAAGGTAACTTTCCATGACGCTCTTGGAGAGCTCTTACGGACAAGCGAGAAGCAACAGCAACTCCAAGCAGCACAGGGACAGAATTTCGGCTCCAATTCCAATCACCAAGAGCTACCCAAGAGTGATTTAAGACCAAGTACGTTTGGGTGTCTAGTTCTAATCAACTCGATACACAACTACATATGGGAGACACGACAACGGCATCATAACCGAGTCTGGACAAACGAAGAGACAGAAAAGATGCACCGTCACATCGAGCCAGCCTTGAAAGCTTGGCAGGCTGCTTGGGCAAGCAATCCTCATCATAGCCTCGAAAGACCAAATCCTTATGGCTTTGGGCCTCTATCGGCAGATAGCATTCCACTTTTGGATCTCGCTTACGTACGCTTGTTTGTCAATCTCTCACGATCCAAAGAGAAGTTCTGGCAACGGGACTGGGATGGAATGGCAGAAGAGTTGTCTCGTGGAAATGAAATTGTTCAACACGCTGAGCATTCTCCTGACTCAAATGGAGAGTCTGATGCTTCTGGCAATTCACTTTACGTAGACACACCTCCTGCATCAGATTCATCGTCGGACTTCAAGAATGGCTTGATACCATCAAACAATATTCAGCACCGCGAAAATGTTCACATGACGAACTCTATACACACAGTGTCGAATTCTTCAGGGACGACATCCAAACGCGAACGACATCTTCGGAAAGCTGCTTTCTACGCTGCAGACTCGCTCTCAATGTCAGATAAGCTCGGGGTCACGTTTGCCGATTTCACCTCTCGTGAATTGCCTCTGCAATCAGCAATGTGTGCTTTTGACTGTGCCCAAGTGCTTGCCGAATGGGTCGCAACTGTACAGGAACGCGTTGGTCGGTATCTGGGGATACTCGGGAAAGATGATATTGATCTTGGGCAAGTTCCTGGTATCATGTTGTTAGAGGAAGAGGATTGCAAACTTCTTAACAAAGTCCAAGAGGTTCTCAGAAGTGCCGAAATTAAGATGAATTATGAATTGGCAAGCATGGATTCTGTGGCTCAGATGAATGCAGCTCAGAGGCTTCCTGGAGCAGACAACTGCGGTTATGGGAGTCAAATTCTGAGAGTGACAGCCTACATGCTCGACAAGGCTGCCGTTTGGCCTGGTGAGTCGATCATTATACAAAACAATTTTCATGCTAATAATTATCGCAGTAACACATCTCATGGCCCGTAGTCTTGAGACACAAGCTAATCATATGCGAGCGCGAGCCGAGAACTCGGTCACGTTAGGCGAGTAATCAACCTTATCCGAGAAGAGCTGCTACAGAGAAGGTGAAAGCTTCTTTTTACCTTCATCTACCACAAAACTGTCTAGAGAAAAAAACCCCCATTTCCATGTACAAAGGGCATCATTCGGAAAACGGAACACGGGGTCTCCAACTTTGGTCTTCTCCTAGTCAGCTTCGTACATATGGGTGGGAAAATGTTATGTCAAACTTTGCGATGTTCTATGAGAGATGACCGTGGCTTCGTTCAGGAGTTTTCTATGTTCCACGCATATAACGATACATTTATGAATCACGAAAGAAAAAACACCGGGTACAAAATTTCGATTTGCCCAAACTATTTCGCTCTCAGATCACCACTTGTGGTCCATTTCATTTGCAGTACCACTCTTTGGCTGCTTTCGAAATCAATACTACCTTGAGTAGCATTCTTTGCAATACCTTTGCATGATTCGGCAACAAACCTCCTGGTTTGTCTGGACCTCAATCGCCGATCTCATTCCGGCGGGACTATTTTCTTGAGAGAAATAACGATATACGGGCTTCCTTATTTATTCAGGAGAACAAGGTGTTTTTTGATTCTTTTTTTCTATTTTCTTACTCCTTTTTCTTTTTTTGAATACTCTTCTTTTTCTTGCCCCTGGGAACCAAAAAAGGGCTGGCAAATATGGGAATGACGGAATGGGATGATAGGGTTTGGATTTGGATGAGTGAATGGGATTGATGGGGGTATCGATGATTTTTATTCCGGAGAGTGAATCGATGGGCAGTGGTCAACTTTTTCAAGGCTCACTTCACTTGTTGATTGCGTGGAAGACTTTATACTTCTCCAACGCCTCATTTTGTCTTTTTAGATAAGCAATAGGGCAATGAATATGAAGAACTTTCACGACTGTGATGCTCCGTCTCTATTAACGCACGTGTGAATGTACATCTACATCTACATCCCTACTCTCAATTACTCGAGAACTACTCTAGTAGTTAAGTAGTTTCTTTATACGCTAAAGTTATTTATTATTTTGAGGAACGTTTAGAATATAACTAATTATAGTTATAACCGTGTACTTAGAAGTTATTTCAAGCCTACTTATAACGCTTCGACTATGCTGATAGAAAGTAATGTCGATACAAACTTTTCGAGTCCACCGAGAGATAAACCTACCTACCTACCTAGCGAGAAATCCGAACTTTAAAAAACCAGGCCTCGCGGTACGGTACCTTCCATAGTACTCTGATATTTCAATCGACATTCTAAGGATTCCCTACTTATTATCTAGATAGTATATATATATATATACAAGTAACCCACCCCTCCCTCTCTCCCACACTTCCTAAACATCTCCTCGTCATCCGATTCTCCATCATCTACGAGTATATCGAAACAACCATCCCACCATACACATCCCAACATCTAACCTCGTCCTCGCCGTCCTTACAATACTATTTGGGGTTATACATGCAAAAGCCTGTACTATAACTTTAGATTGTCCACAAACTGAATCGTGCTTTAATGTCTCGGGTTGACCTGTTTGTCGGTAGGTAATCTTATATTGAGAGGAGGTAGAATATGGATGATGGATATATGGTACTAATGCGAGATTTTTGTGGGAATGGGAATTGTGTTTGTGAATGAGAGGCGGGATGTGTGGATGGTTTTTAGAGGGTTAGTGAGGTAGATGAAGTGATGTTTTTAGGTTAATGTGTTTATAGGAGAGGGATGATTAGGGTTTGTTAGAGGTGGTTAGAGGTTGGGGATAGGAATAGTTGGCTCTGGAGATGGGAAATTTTAATGCCAAGTCTACTACTTATCTTGTCTATAGGGAGATGAACCTAGCTAGGTAGATATTTGAACTTTGAAAAACCCAGACTTGCGTTACGGTACCTTCCGTATAGTACTCTGATATTTCAAGACATTCTACGGATCGACTTATTAGTATCTATATAGTATATATATATATATATGAGTGAGCTACCCCTCGCTCTCCCTCCTACACTTCCCAAACGTTTCCTCGTCATTTCCGACGCTCCACCCCTCGCTCTCTCTCCTGCACTCCACAAACACTCCATCGATTTTCGATTCTCCACCACCTACTATATATCTCAACAGCGCATCTAACCCTCGCGCCCTGCCATGCGCATCCCAACCCTCAACCTCGTCCTCGCCGCCCTCGCGACCCTATCTGGGGTTGTAAATGCAAAAGACGGCAAATGTAGTTCTGACAAGGATTGTATTAACTTTGGCTGCGAGCCCGAGGGGGAGGATCGTTGCTGGTAAGTAAATTTGCATTATTTATATATAAGTGATGCTTTGTGACAGTACTAACGAAACACTCTTTTATAGGAATGGGAGTTGCGGCTGTTGGTGATACTCGAGGGATATTGATCATTCTTGGAGTACTCGACTCGGACTAGATTAGTCTGATCGAAGATGATCTGTTTTTTATGTTAATGTGTCTATAGTCATAGGGTGATTTTGTCGTCGGTGTTTGGAACTTGCTGTTAGCAGTGCCTGAGCTACGGAACGGATATGGGATGATCGAGTATGGAATTTCTGATTTAAGGAACGGACTTGAGTACAGGCCCTTCGCAAAAGTATGCAGAACAAGGGTTTTGTGCAAATTGTGACACTTTTAGCTTGACGTATAGTCCTGGGGTGGTACGTCAATTCTTTACTGTTTAGCCCTAATCCCAAGGCCAAATGATCGAAGCATAAAGCTGAAAAGTACCCTAGAACGCTATATAATAGTAGAAATGTAAAAACAAACTACTAAAATACACAAAACTATACAAAAAGGTCCAAATGTACATAAAACTTTCTTACTACTTTTGCGAAGGGGATGTAGATAGGGATACTAGTCCACAACCAACAATCAACATTTATATAGCCAAAGTCAAATTTTATATCAGAGTACACTTTACTGCAGAGTACCAGCAGGTCCTTTTGACCCTCGCTGTCGCTCCTCCTATTCTAGTATACTAGCAATCGAATCATGAGTTAAATCCAAGTTTCTTCTCTACCCCGGTACCCGGTACGATTTATTCTAATCTATAGTAGGTATTCAAAGCATAGAGGGTTCAATATACTCGATAAGATTACCTTTGTACATTATTATCCTAGAGGAAAGACGAAAGTACGAAACCTACGAAATAAACGTAAAGGGGTGGACAGCTAAGAGTTACCCTATGTCACGTAGATCATATTAAAACCTACTATATAAGGGGCTTTTTTAATAGCCTTTATACTGTTTCTTGGACAGTTTTTTCTTAATAAGCAGTTCAATTCCGCGTTCTATTAGCTAAAACTTTTGTTGTTTTTTTTAGCTAAGATATATCGCATAAGAGTGGATCTATAGTAGGGCGTCGATCTTATTGAGCTAGCATGGTGTGACTCTTAGCTGTCCACCCCCTTTAGGTTTTTACTCGAGTAGCGAAGGGGAGGAACAGGGTATAAACTTTTCGAGTACACCGAGAGATAAGCCTAGCTAGACATTCGAATTTTGAGAAGCGCGGCCTAGCGTTACGGTATAGTACTAGTATATTTCAAAGCGACATTCCAAGGATTCCTTACCTATTGTCCATGTAGTACTGTATATATATACTGTACATACAAGTGAGCCACCCCTCACTCTCCTTTTTTACATTCTACAAACTATTCCTCTTCACACTCCACATACTCTTCCTCGACATTTCGAACTCTCCATCACCTATATCGAAATAGCGTAGCCAATCCCTAAAATGCGCTTCGTAGCACTACAGCTCTTCCTCGCCGCCCTTGCGATGCTATCTGGGGTTGTAAACGCAAGATTATCCGAAACCGGAGGATGTATAAAAAACAGTGATTGTCACGGCTGCGAGCCGGAGGGTCAAAATGTTTGCGAGTAAGTAATCCTACAAATATATAATACTTTTTTACTAATACAAGATCCTTTTACAGGGATGGGAATTGCCATTGTGAAGCATAAATCTCCATATGTATCAACAATTCTTCTAGAGTGCTTGTCCTCTACAGGGTTAGTAGGACATAGAAAGATCTGTTAATGTTATATTAATACATCTGCAGCGATGCGACAATGCGGAAGAATCCTGTCATGTTTCATAAGAGGAATGAATACAATGGCCTTTTGTCTAGCATAATATATGCTCGTGTTGATGTCACCTTCATGTTCACGTCTCGTAGTTGAGTGTTTGTATATAGAGTGTCACTTTTCTATCCACTGGGCTATCCCATCCCAAGTACACGCTGCGCTGGCTTATTAGACTACAAAATACAAAATACTCGTACTTTCCGAGCCCAGGTCTGGCCATCTAACTCTCCTCATTGAGGTTTCGTAACTTTCCGCAACTCGTGGTGATGTCATCTCAATATTTGCATCTTGTAGGTGAGATTCGTAACTTTCCACAAGTCGGCCTCGCAACTACAGCATTCGAACCTTGGGAAATAGCTTCAATTGTTCCACTGAAAATGAACACCGAAAAAATGTATAGTATGAGTACGTTACCACTTTCTCAGTCTACAACGCGGACGCCTAACCTCGTAAAAACAGAAAATTGGTCGGGATAACCCGTCCATCTCTGTTTGATATTTGCTCCCGAGTCCGGTTCCCATGTCTTGTCAAAACTGGCCGTTGTCATTCCTCCGCACTGTCGCACTGTAAGATTGCATATTTACGGACCAGCAGAACGAAATGCACTTCTCGGGTTCCGGTGCGAATATCGCGATTTGCAACAAAAAAAAATCCGTTCACCGGACGTGGAAATCAATCATGGGGATTTGGGGTGTTGATTGGGTTTCTCGGATCCTCGGGGTGTTGGAAGGGAGACGGGGCGAAGGATCTCGGGCGCCGGGCGTGGGTAAATAGAAACTTGTCTGAATTGGGGAAGAGGGAGACTCTTCGGCGGCCGGAGGGAAACTGCGATGGACGACAAATGATGGCTGCTTACTCGTTTGGGAGAGTGTACAGCGTGTACTCGAGTACATGTACATGAGAAGCCATTCGGCGTCTAGAGACGGAGGTAGAAATATTACAACGGCCGTGATGACTGGGAATTTCAACCAAAAAAAGTCCTTGTTAGAACATTGTAACGTCTTATCCAATCGGCTGCCGAGTCACGGCATCAGGCCAATTACTCGCCTACAGTACAGTACTATACCATATATTATGACCCAAGACGAACAGGAAGCTCGGGGCCCGGGTAGCTAAATGCGAAATGCAACAAAACGAACCCGCCGTTTCCACTCCCTTCCAAACATGTTCGGTGCCCGAAAAACCGCGAACTGCAACAATCAACTGAAATCGGAAATCAAGATGCCAAATGGAGCAGAGTAATCAATGTTTTGCGACCGATGGCGAACCGTCGGCAGCCGAAATTCGGGAGCCGTAAAAATGCGATGTGCAGCAAACGATGTGGCGAGGAGTCCTCGAGATTGGCAATGTTGATTATTAGAATCTTGGGAGCTGTGTTAGGACGGGGTTCCTGGAGGCGGGAACTAACACGTGTGACAGTTCTCTTGTAAACTATATGATGTAACACTCCTATTGGATAAGTAAAGTGATAGAAAACCATCTGCTACTAGGATAAGTTGATCTTAAGTACTTATTATTTTTCATTTAACTTACTTATATGAAGAGAAATAACGAACCGAACCCCTTCAATAACCAATTTCGTTATTCTAAATTAGTTAGAATAATTAAATATCTTTAATTGACTTACGCGAATGGAAAAGCGTGATCCCTGCTATACCAAGAGTTATTCTTAGGTACTTGTAAAGAAGCGATATTAAAAAAAAAACAAATTCCAAAGTTTCGAAGCTACTTAAATATCCTAGACTTTGTAGAATAATAATAACGCTTTTAGGTGTAAGAGGTGTATAATAAGCTTCGCCTTAGCTAAACCTCAAGGATTCGTTGTGCTATACTTCATAATCCTAAGACATTCACTTGCTTACCCCAAATAGTTAGATTGCATAAGAGGTATGGCATAATGATTGTGCTAGTATTTCTGATAAGAGTGCATCCATTTTATACGGTCAAGAGCGGATGAAATTTTCGTCTAGCTTGCATCTACAAGACCATATTTCAAGCAAGTTGAAGCTCTAAACTAAATGAAAGACCAATATCAAACACTCCCCTGAATGCTCATACAGCTTCGACCGCGAGTTAAAGCTTGGACTGACCACGCTCTTTCTTCATCATCTCGATCATTGGCTTATAGTTCTTCTCCAAGAATTCGGTAGGAATTGCAGTTCCATAACCTTCTGGTTCCGGTATGTTCCATGTCCCCATGGTTCGAGTCCCTCCAAGCGAACTCTCCAAGCAGGTTCCGCCTGGATACTTACCATCCACGACAAGTTCTAACATGTCTTCAGCAACTCTTTCGGGTGTCAAGGCATACTCTGGTTTATAACTATATTGCTCCAGTTTTTCGGGTGCTTCGGTCCACAATGGAGTTGCAACGACTCTGTTGAGGTTAGTCTATCTTTGTTCTGACTACATCAATACGGCTGGTCTTTGCATACCCAGGCGCACATGCAACCACTTTGACACCCTCCAAACGATCAAGCTCAGCCATCGACCGTACGAACCCAGTAACTGCATGTTTTGTAGCTGCATACAATGGCGATGAGAACGAACCCTGGAATCCTGCTATTGAAGACACAATCAAGAAGACACCTTTCTTGTTCTTCCTAAGCAAAGCACGTAGTGCTATTCTGGCAAACTTGATCGGGTGTGTGACATTGATATCGACTGCCGCGTATCCATCATCCTCCGTATCATCTCAGAAATTGGACCATGTCTAGCTTTTGAATCAGCCGTCCGGTTCTCAACCCATTGTGTGGAGAGATACAAACTGGTTCAAAGACTCCAGCTCCAGCAATGTAAACATCGGGAACGTCAGCGAACTTCTCCTCCGAGGCCTTGATTAGATTTTCTAGTTTGGCCCGTTTTGTAACATCGCCTTTCACGAAAATGGCAGCTTTAGCTCCTTCGCCACGGAGATATGATTCGGCGTCCGGAGTGAGTTTGAGGTCTGCTATGATTACCTGAGCCCCTCGTTTGACACAGAGTTTGGCGAACGCAAGGTTGATACCGGAACCTGCTCCGGTAACTACAGCTATTCTCGATTGAATGGGAAAATCCCCAATGAAAGCCATTTTGAGAAGATAGAAGAGACTGGAATAACGAAGCGAGTACTCGAACCTGTGTTAAGTTGTACATGTAAATCCCTCCGGACTATTCATCAGTTGTGGTACACCTGCAGCGGTTTTAGCTTTCCAGTGGTTGCACTTGCCTCCAGTATGGTGAGGGGAAGCGATCGGACTCCCAAGGCGGAAAACGTCATCCAGGTTGGTAGACGACGACCAAAATAGACGATTAAGACTTGTAGAGGCTCGCAAAAGTCAAGAAAGGTGGGAGTTTACAAAAATTCCACTAGGAAAATCATTGGACGAACGATCAATTAAGCTCTCTACAACAGCCGGAGCAGTCGACCCAAGGATCTAAGTTGATTACGAGTATTCATAATTTAACTTAACGCAAAGGAGTAGGACCACGAGACAGAAATTTGCCGCCATTCTTCTCGTCTATCGCCACATAGACAAGCAGTATGTAAGCTACTCTTGATGAATTGTAGCCACTCTCTAGTACGACTCTAGTTCCCATTTCTTTCTCGCGAATGCCTAGAGGTTCTATTTCTCGCGGTTATGTTTTGCAACAAATATAAAGGCTGGGTTTCTAAAGATGTGGCCGATTCAACCTTCTCCGGCGCTCAGGTCAAAGGTACTGCATTATCCACATGAGTACGGAGCCTAGGAACATACTGTAAGATGAAGAGATAAGAAGACCAAAGAAGTTACTCTTGAAAGGTAGCGAAACGAATACGATGCAAACCGCATTCAGGGGTCGCACGGTCTTGAGCCGAGGAAGCGAATGGGGAAACTGCGGACGAGGCTGACAATAAAACCCCCAACAAGTCCTGGACAGCAATTCCATTGAGACTGCTTTCTCCACGTCCTGCTGCCATTATCAACTTCAACTGACTGGTGGAATCTTTGGGCGTCTCAATTGCTTCCTACTCTACAGATTCATATTCTTCAAGTTCTCCAAAAACGAGCTCGCCCCTATCCAAAGATTCCCAAAGATGTCAGCCGTGCCAGAAACCAATGGAGAGGTCGCATTGGAGAACAAGCTAAAAGAGGTCGATATCAATAAGAACACTCCCGCCAATGCCATTGCTCCTCCATCTACCAGTATAGCGGCTTCTCCAGTCGCCGCATGGTTGCGAGAGATAGAACAGCAGGCCCGCAAGTCCAATGGTGTATTGAAAACACCTATCGTCGATCCACTTCCAAGTATCCCACCTCCTCCTATCATTGCACTCACCTCCGATCAACAAACCAAGTACGACGCGCTATTAACCACGGTGAAATCATGGACCGAAATACCTTGCACAAAGGCAGAGAAGGCAGGGCCTCTTACAGAAAACGAGATTATGTGGTTAACCAGAGAATGTTTGCTGAGATACCTGCGGGCAACTAAGTGGGATTTAGCAGAGGCGGGGAAGAGACTTCTCAGTACCATGACATGGAGGCGCGACTACGGTCTGGAGGATATCACCGCAGACTATATATCACCAGAAAATGAGTCGGGCAAGCAATGGATCTTGGGATACGATATTGCTGGAAGACCATGCCAATACCTCAATCCTGGGCGACAAAATACACAATTATCACCACGACAGGTTCAGCACTGGGTATTCATGCTAGAAAGGAGTATTTCATTGTTGGGACCTGGTCGGGAAACATTGGCGCTTATGATCAACTTCAAGGCTTCGAAGGAGAGGGTAAATACTGCTCCGTCCATTGGACAAGGCCGAGAGGTATTAAATATCCTCCAATCACATTATCCCGAGCGCTTGGGGCGAGCTTGTGTCATTAATGGTAAGGAGACCACTCCTATGTTTGTCACAAATCTAACGAGATACAGTCCCCTGGCTTGTCTGGGGCTTTCTCAAATTGATTACTCCATTCATTGACCCTACAACGAAGGAGAAGCTCAAGTTTGATGGAGACATGAAGGAGCATGTTCCCCCGGAGCAATTGGCGACAAGTTTCATGGGAGATCTGAACTTTGAGTATGACCACGCAGAATATTGGCCAGCGCTCAACAAGCTCTGTGACGAGAGAATTGCCGAGCAGAAAGAGCGTTGGGTCAAAGCTGGTAAACACTTTGGTGAGAGCGAGGTTTATCTTAGAGGAGGGAACGCAGCCAGTGTTGCAGCTGCGCCTCCATTGGTGGTCAAAGAGGTTACAGAGGATTCGAAATCTGCGCCAACAATTCCAGTCCCTTCTAATAAGGATAATGCAACGATTGCACCAGGTGCAACAGTGGTCCCAACAGTTCCAGTTGCCGCAGAAGAGAAAGTCACCAACGCTCCTGCTGCTGCATAGGCGAAAAACACTGCACTTGAATCCATAGATTTCTGGTTATTGGAAGCTTTTTTTTATTCATTTCGCGTTGTCGTTGGTAAGCTCAGACAGTCAGCGAGCTTGATATAGAGCGACTACATTGCTTTTAGAGGATTGGGAAGGACAAACTACTTATGTTGAATATTGGGTTTCAGACAACGTACATAGATGTTAGAATAATTAGATACGGGATTCATCGTTTTTGGATTATGGTCGTGGGCAATTTGCCAGTTTTCAGTGACAAGTTTGAATTCCGTGAAGCTTGAAGCTCTCGCTTCGAGGCTGGAGCTCTTGTGAACCTACCAAAACACAACCCCGACTCGATCCCCTCAAATGCACCACCCACCACCTTGATACCCTTGGATTCCTATCCGAATCGATGCCACAGGTAATTTGCTCTCCAAGACAAGTACCATGGCATCTTCCCAGCCCATAAAGTCGCCTATGGGCTCGCAGTCGCAAAACCAACGTTCCAGCCAGCAAGGCCTCAAATACCCATCCAACGGCAAAACCATATACCACCGCCCATTGAATCGCAGCCGGACACAGGAATTGAGCCAGGCGAGCTTCGCATACTTGTTTGGGGAGATGGTTAGTTATGCACAGAAGAGGGTGACTGGGATTCAAGATCTGGAAAAGCGGTAGGTCCCATCCTCATCCATTCAGAACATCCCCAAGGCATGAGGATGGCAGGATTAGAGAGACTAATTTTTTGATTCGTTCTAGATTGAATAACCAAGGCCATCCCATAGGTCTCAAACTACTAGACCTCCTTCTCTACCGCGAACCAGCACGCTCCCAAACCCGACCCCTCCATATCATCGCCCTCCTCCAGTTCATCACCACAACCCTCTGGCGTCACCTCTTCTCGCGCCCTGCGGACGCCCTCGAGAAATCTTCGAATCCAGATACGCCGGAGGAATACATGATCAGTGATAACGAGCCGCTGGTCAACCAGTATATCAGTGTGCCCAAGGAGATGAACCAACTTAATTGCGCGGCATATGTGGCCGGTATTGTGGAGGGTTGTTGTGACGGAGCGGGATTTCCGGCCAAGGTTACGGCTCATAGTGTTGGGAAGGGGGAGGAGGGGGAACTGTGGCCTGGCAAGACGGTCTTTTTAGTTAAGTTCCAGGATGAGGTTGTGGAGAGAGAGGCATTTTTGGGGAGATAGATATGAAGGGTCTGTTTGAAGGCTAGAGGGGCAAGTGTCGACAAGGAAGACAATGTACGGAGCGTGAGAAATGTGATGTTTGGCTGTTTGGCTGGCGTAAAGGGCATGGCTGGAGTTAGGATGGACTTTCGGTTGGGCTTCTCTTGTGATAGATAACCTATGAACCTTTGCTTATACGACAATATGAGTGCTTTGCGGCATAGTGGGCGTGTCTGAACATTCTATACTTGAGCCCATCAACTTGTACTATAGAAAGAAGTCTCGGATGACGACGATGAATACGAGATGGGCTGAAGGTTATCCACGGGAGGATTGCGCATTGCAATCGCGGGTACAGTAAAGGACCCTTGAGGATAAGTAATGATTTTCCGTTGTTCTATTGTATTGGGAAGATTCAAGGAACTGAATAGCTGTCTACAACGCTACAGTAATCATTTACCAAACCAATCATGAATCTCAAGTAACAGCAAACAAAAGAAGACTTGAGGAGCACTTTTTCTCACTTATTGAGTAGGTACTAGTCCCCTTTCAGACAACTTGCAGGATATCTTTCCTTATGCTTCCACCGCCCCTCAAACCCTCTCATATCCCATGTCATAACATCATGGAACTATGTAATTGCTACTCTAAGATACCCACGCATTGTGCTCGCCAAAGCCTTCCATTTGCTCTAGGCAATAATATAAATTTGCCTTGCTTGAGTAGTTGAGTGTGGAGGGCCCAGAGCTGTGAGAACTGGATTCGGTCTGCTTCTACTATGACCCCCTGCAGCTCACCCGGTATGATGCTTGTGATAGGATCCGTAAATTTCATTGAATTCATTGCGACGATTGCTCCTCGGGTTTGTGTTTCGCACCCATTTCGTTGGATATGTATGCTCAGCAAGTCGAAGGTTCGCCGCATCCACCCCCCGCAGAATATTCATAATCCATCATCTCGGCAAAGCCTTCGACCCTTTGAAAGCACCTCCAGCGGGTTGAGTCTTTTCGGGGCCTTTCTTCATCAGTTCAGCCAATCCCAAATCTTTCCAAGCAGGCTCTTTGGTCTTTTGTGTGGCTCTCTGAATACCAAACGCTGCGTGCTGATCTGGCACTACATCGTCTTCGTCTTCGGGATTGATTGGCTGGTTATGTGGAGGAACGTAGATTTCATCGTCTGGGAGTTTGTCTTTGCAGAAGTCTTCGAAGAGGTCTGCGTCCCTCGCTCGTGTGAAGTGGACGTAGGTATAGGAAGAGTCTTTAGACTTAGCGAATGGTTAGTAATGTTTTAATTAGTCAGAGGAGTTAGAGTACCATTGCGGGTAGATGAAATGGATTGAAGAGCTCTTCTTATGTTGTGTCCTGGTTTGATTTGATGGAGAGAGGGGTTGTTTGTTTTGACAAGGCTGAGGATAATGTACTGTAGCCTTCTCGGCCTCATCGGCGGCAAAATCCCGAGGTTGGATTCTGCCGCATCACGTGGAAATTGGTTCACCGCCCGCTCTGAGCCCTAACAGCGCCCACCACGGGCAATTTCGCGAGATATTTTTGATAATTTCATACGACATCGACAACCCGCCAATCCACCCCCGACGACGACGTACCGAACACCTCGAACCGTCAAATCGCATCTCCAAAATGTCTCACGAATCAGTCTGGAACTCTAGACCCCGAACCTACGGAAAGGGCGCCCGCGCTTGGTACGTACAGCTGCCCCACGATTCGAGAGCCGCCCTACAAATGATGATATACATTTAAGGGACGGAGGAGGGGCCATGGAAGAGCAATTAGTGCTAACTTGAATTAAAGCCGCGTCTGCACACACAAAGCTGGTCTCATCCGAAAGTATGGATTGAACATCTGCAGACAATGCTTCAGAGAGAAGGCAGCCGATATTGGATTTGTCAAGGTAAGGAATCTCGCCCTTGAAATTACCATATCCAGGAATATTTGGAAGCTAGCAAGAATCTGACACATTGGGCCTGTTATAGCACCGTTAAATCACTCGCACGGCAACAATGCCTCCAAATCGATTTCTGCGAACCGGGCAAAAGTGACAACCTCGATCGGACGGATGTTTACACACGGCATGGAGTTTTACGGATGGGGTGAATCACCAGATTTTTTTGCTCTTTGAGACGGGGGGTTTCTCGAGGGACGGAGGGAATGTGTGTTATTGGAGGATGGTTATGATGCCCGAAACGTACATTGCTCTTGACTGAATGGAAGCTTTTCACCTGCATGCAGATTTGAGGTTGTACATTTGCTCCTACTTTCGTACAGATTTGAAGAAAACCTTGTCCGAAACCATCAATCGATCCACGTACCCAACTCCGGAGAGAAACAACGAAGTGACGACATGTTTGATCGAGTCAGACGCGAAAGATTCTCGGGTTCACGCAACCAATACTCGCAGAACGTGTAGCCCAGAAGCATTTGGAAATCAAAGAAGTCAAGTCTTGGGGGTTGCGGCGAGTGCCACAGGGACCTACAATTAGGTCAAGCCAATTTGACCTCGACGTTGAGCAGTATCCGTATTACATTTGGCTTGAACCCATTTCGAATAGTTTACTTACACGGCGGTAATCAGTTTGCGATAGCCATGTTCAAATCCCTTTGAATTTTACATTGCCAACCTACAGCCCCCAATTATTACCACTGCCATTTTACCACGTCACCCTTTCACAAGTGAATTTGTGTTCCATCGATTTGTCCATTTTCTTTTTTCCCACTTAATGTCAGTTGCATCGCTGGGCTTTACCAGTCCATTGGCACGAAGTACGTTTTAATGTTAAGACTGGTCAACTTTTGCTGGAAGTGAGACCTGAAAGTGCACTTCATCAATTCTCTCAAATATCAACCCTCTAGAACCGGTACGGTCCTCAATTGGTCATTCCAACGACTGCCGTAAGTCTAGATGGTTCTTTTGAGAGACTGTCGTCTACATTGCAATGATCGATCAAGTTCTCAAGTAGGGAGGCAGATTCGTTAAAGACGCACAACAACTTCTCCAAGCTATATCAATAATATTATACCCCGAAGATCTGTCTAGTCTATTTGGCACTCAATATCCAGATTTGGAGACATAATTCTAGGCTTCTACAAAAACCCTAGAGTTGAAGATGTGTATACGTTACTGAAAAAATGGCTTATTGCAAGCCAGATACATATTCAGCAATCGTAGCTCAAGTTCCTGCTTAGAATTGTCAGCATCATATATTCACTCATTAAACAAATGGGCGCTCACTTCAAACCCCTATTTTGAGAGATCGATAAATGAAGGTGCTCTCAGGCTTCTCAAAGTCTCAACCGCTTCTCTTCCGCAGTGAAAATCCACGTTAACAGACTCTTCGTTCTCCACGATCATCCGTTATCCAAGGTCAAAGGATTGGTGTTGTTGGGCCACCTTGAAACTACAGCTCAGCTTCCATAAGCTATCGTTGAATGCAAAAAAGCTGTTGAATTAACTTCTGAGGACTACGAGTTCAATGTTCTCAGTAGAGGAGAGTGGCTCAAGCCTTAATTGAATGGCGTATGTAAAAGTGAATGCTGCACCAACCCGCTTAGTCTGTTCACTGGTGGTTGAACACAGCTATGTCTACAGAGATAGTTTGATGTTGATATTGACATTGACAGATTCACTTTCATTCCGCAACAGTATAATAGTACAATCACAGACTCATCCAACAAGTATAAACCAAACTGCTCAACCCATGAACCGCCTCCTGTCCATCAAACATTCAAACATATGGTAACCATCTCCATAAACCCATTACCTATCACCAAACAACCCAATCCACCACACAAACCACCACACCACCAAAAAGCGCACACCAATGCCCCCACCCCGCCAAAACCCACACCTCACAATCCTTCCCCCCTTCCGTAACCCCTCCCTCCCACACGCCCGCTCGACCCAACACTGTCCAAAATGTCCCCATCGGCAGCCCTTCAAAACAGAAGAAGACAGGGATCTACACTACCTCCAAGCACACATCTTACANACACGCCCGCTCGACCCAACACTGTCCAAAATGTCCCCATCGGCAGCCCTTCAAAACAGAAGAAGACAGGGATCTACACTACCTCCAAGCACACATCTTACACGTCCCCCAACGAGAGCATCCCCAACGATTGCGTCTGCACGATGAGGGGAACTATGATGGACCATTGGGGAGGGGGAGACATTTTGTGGAGGGGGAGAGGTTTGTGGAGGGAGAGGTAGAGGGAGAGGGGGAGGGTGGAGTTGAGGGCTGGGCCTGGGCCTGTTGAGGGCGAGGTTGATGCGGAGACGGGCGGGAGTAGCGAGGATGTTCGGGGGGATGGCGAGAATGGGGGACGGAAGGGGGAGGATGTTGTTGGGTTGAAGGGAAGGGGGGAGGATGCTTCGACGGAGGATGTTGTGGTTGGGTGTTTTTCGAGTGTTTGTCCTAAGCTTTGGGGTAAGGTGAGTGAGAATCTCGTCCTTTCGCCTTTGAAGGGTCATTTTAGATGGCGATGATTGGGGTATAGTATGAAGTGGGAAGTGGGAAGTACTACTGGAGGTGTTACTTGAAGCGGATGTGGAACAGACGCGGTAGACATGCAAGAAGTAAGGATACATATCGTTGAGCAGAGAATAAGAGAGAGTCATCCCCAGAAGACGCTTTGATCTTATAGGCAATAAGGCATAATAGAATACATTGAAAGACATTCAATTCATGATCATCCTCGAGATAACACACCGAGCTCCCCTAGGTGTTACCTCGTCCAGAAAATAAGCATGTATACATACACGAGGGTAAGTCGTAGCAATGTATACTCAAATGAAGTTTGGTGCTCTGATGAGACCCGCTGATAAGCACCAGCGTAATTAAAAAAAAATACCCTTGACTCCTACAATGCATTCTATTTTCGTTTACCTACGAAACCTCCTTAATACGACATTTCCAGCCTGATGACTGGCTCAATAAAGGAAGGCTAATGAATATGTTAGCAAGGATGCCCAAACGTAACGAGCAACAAAACATACCTTGCTCCAAGACACCAACCAAGTTCATTATCCTTGATTTTTTTGGCGATCTTGACTTCTCTGTCAATAGGCATTTCATAACCAGTGTGCAAAAGAGCCATCATAAAGTTCAAATCGAGACAATGTTCTGGACGACCCTCAAGCTCTTTCATTGCACCGGGTATGTTTTCAAACATATCCCAGCTTTCTCGCCCTCCACAAACTTGGTCTGTGAGTCGTTGAAGATCTCTCAGAGTATACGACTCTGGCATTCCAAGTGGGTCAGTTCTGTCGAAAAAGTAGGAGAATGTGTAAACGTCCTCGCGAGAGAAAGTCTTTTCTAAGGAAGGCTGATGGATTCCGTTAAACGAGCAAGGAGCCACAGTACAAGCGGCGTCCTTTTTCAAGATTTGCTCGGCAAGTTTGCGACATTGTGCAGGTGATGCGGATGATGGACCCGTCATGTTGACAGACACTTTGTCTCCGAGAGGGTGGCCCTTTTCGAGCTTAACATCAATTTGACGTGCCATTCCTGGGGTGATACAAGGATTGGTGACTGGTTTGGAAATCCAATCCGAAGTGATATCATCCTTCTTTGTGTTGTAGACATTGTTGATTAGTGCAGCGTGGATGGATTCTCGTGCTGACATCAGACCGTAGCCAAGATGAGAATGTTGGTACAATTCAAAATTTCTTCCTCCGAATTCAAGCTTATACTTGTGGTCTCCTTCTTCCATTTTATTGGGGAGGTGGAAGTTGGGCTCGAAAACGACTTGAGTAGAACCACCACCAAGATCGAATACTGCTGCTGTTTTGGTCTTCTCCGGGCTTCCAATATTGCCAAGCAAGAAGTTGGTAGTGATCCAGGCATAAACACCCTCATCTTTCCCGTTCATGATGGCTACACCATTTTCCTCCTTGGAGACGACTGGGAAAGGGTATACAGTCTCTAATCTAGTTCGAACGGCATCGAGAATATTCTGGCTCTTCTCTGTATTAGGTTGATCTTTGTCCAGTAGACGAAGCCCCGCAGTTGCCTTTACTGCAACAGGTGTGCACCCCTTGAGTTTATCAGGGACCTCTTTCATTGCAACATCCATAAGAACATCGAGACTCTTCGCAGCTCCTTCAGCGTCAGTGCCAAAAGAACTCAATCCAGAACCTCCCTTCTTCTTTTCAGTCATTTTGAATTCCTCCTTTTCCAGTTCAGGCGTTGGTCCGCAGTTATTGAACTTGTAGACATGGATTCTGGATCCAGTGCTCCCAGCATCGATCATGAGGGCATATTGGACAATTGGTTTTGACTTGTCGCTGGACTTCGAGCACTTCGTTGTACCTAGAGACGGGTCTGATGCCGATTGACCTCCCCCAGTCTTAAGAGTGGTTTTGCCTTCAATTTCGACAGGTTAGAGCATGATCTGAATTGGCAATCTGCGAGCATTGACCTACCTCCACTGTACACATCCACCCCAGATGGGGATAAATAGTAGAACAAGAAGACCACGAAGAACAGAATTCCTCCCGTCTTCAAATACCTGGAACGCTGACTTTGCGCCATCCAGGTGGATTTTGCTTTATCCAGAGTGCCGGCGGCGCCTTCACGAGCGCCCGAGTACGAATATCTGCCTGCTTTTTCGTAAGGATCTTGAGCTACGTTTCTGGTCGGCAGCGAGACCGAGGTGCGTCGCATAGAGGAGAAGGAAAGTGGCAGAAACGGACAGGTCGACGAAGACCTGCGCGGAGCTGATTATATGGGAATTGTTGGGAGGATCGAGGATTTGGCGAGCATAAGGGGAGGATGCAATGCGATGCAGGAAGAAAGGGGGAGGGTAGTAGGTAGTCGTATTTTGGGTACCCCTGTCAGATTTGGAGACAGATACTAGAGCGCTAATCGTAGATTTCACTTCAGCTGTCGACAGGCTCCAGCTGCGGCCCAAAGCTGAGTAAGCAACGCACCAGCCACCTCTTATCGATTAATGCCACATTCTTAAATCCGGCGGACCTCGGGACCCGACCTGGTCACTTACGTCGTCCGCGGTGCCTCGAGGGGCCTTGATATATAATATCTTCAACTCCAGGACACTCTCCTTATGTCTGAATTACTTCCCCGTACACCCTAAGAACCCTCTTTCTTCTAGATTGTCCATTCTCTTTCAGATTGCCTTCAAATCTTAATTTGAGTCCACCGCAGAGTTACAGCCTGGACATTCTACTATGGACGTTCAACTCTACATCTACGATCTTTCCAATGGCCTCGCGCGACAGTTCTCGGCTGTGATGCTGGGAACATATATTGACATGGTCTACCACACTGGAATCGTGATGGAAGGAGTGGAATACACATACGATGGCGGAATCAAAGCACTAAAGCCGGGTAAAAGTCACCTCGGTGAGCCACTGCGAATAGTTGAGCTGGGAACGACAGAACTCCCAATGGAAGTCATACAAGAGTACCTTGAGTCGCTGAAGGAGATCTACACCCAAGACGTAAGAGCAACTATAGATTCAATAGAATTAAGCTTACAGCTACCTAGGCATACAACATTTGGACCCATAACTGCAATAACTTCGCCAACGACTTTGCGACCTTCCTTCTAGGCAAAGGCATACCCGAGTATATCACGAATCTCCCCGAAACCTTCCTCAACTCTGATTTCGGCAGGGCAATGGTTCCAAAAATCAATAGAATGGTTGAGAAACGACAGAATAAGAATGGTGGACTTCTAGGTCTGGCTGAACCCAACAATGCTCTGATGACACACGAGCAGATTTCTTCCAGCGTCAGAGCAGTGACAACGCCTGTAGCACTCGAAACAACACTGATGGAAGCTAAACGAGCAAGTGCCGTAATCTTCTTCACATCGGCAACTTGTGCGCCGTGCAAAAAACTGTACCCTTTGTACGACCAGTTGGCCGCGGAGACAGCCCACAAGGTTATCCTAATTCAGGTGGATATATCCCGGTCTTATGACATTGGTATGAAGTATAGCATTAAAAGCACACCCACGTTCATTTCCTTCTTGCACGGCGAACAACAAGAGATTTGGTCTGGAGCAGATGCGGCCAAGTTGGAAGGCAACGTCAGAATGCTTGCTCGTATGGCATTTCCTCCCCATAAGCACGAGTCCCTTGCTCTTCCAGCACTTCGTGGTGCAATCACTACACCAGTTCTATACAGCAAAATTCCACCTCTCGGGAAACTGAAAGCGAAAATGGGAGCCGCAGCAGACGACAGCTCCATAACAGAAGTGATGGGATTTGTTGCAGCTCGGGCTGAAGGGAAGTCGGCAGAAACTCATTTACCAGATCTTGATGCATTCAGTCGGTTCTTGCGATCTGCACCCGCAAAACTTCCTACAGAAATTATGTTTACGGTTGTTGACCTGCTTCGGGTCGCCCTTGTCGATCCTAGGCTAAGTGGATACTACGCGGAAGAAAAAGCACACCTGACTATTGCCCCGATCCTATCTTATGTTAATCATCTCAAGGATTGCCCGTACTCTTTACGACTGGTGACTCTCCAGATGGCTTGCAACTTGTTCTCCAGCCCACTGTACCCGAATCATATTCTCAGTTGCCCCACAATGACAAAACCAATCATGGATTTGGTCACGACGAGCTTGCTCGATGATAAGCATCAAACTGTTCGCATTGCAGCCGCAAGCTTATCATTTAACATAACCACAGCCAATGGGAAATTACGACTACAGGAGCACCGAGATGGCCTCTCCGAAGACGATCAAGTTGAACTCGCAGCGTCCTTGCTGGAAGCGATTATCGTCGAAGAACAATCCCCCGAAGCGCTGAAGGGATTTCTGCTAGCCCTTGGATACTTGACTTACCTAACACCCGGCGATGGGGAATTAGTAGAATTATTAGAAATCACGGATGCTCAAGGTGCGGTTCGTTCGAAGAAGACACTTTTCTCTGATGAGAAGCTGGTGCAGGATGTTGGTGGAGTCCTTCTAGGTGCTGGGTTGAAATGAAATGGTTGGTCTCTCCTAGTGTAACGGTCGGCATTCTAGTATATATAGACATGAATTGAATAAAGCTCCATTCCAAAATTGAACCTCTAGTATTGTGCGATATCTAGCTGTATTAGTACGAAGGAGGTATTGGCTGGTGATTTTCTGTCACGTGTATCCCTCTTGCCCCTTTTCCATCCTTCGCTTAACTATACGAGTAACTTTTGTAAGAAATTATATACTAACTAGTGATAAATCGCGCAGGGGAAAGACGCATAGACTATCCCAAGCGTAAATCATTAAACACTTATTTAATAATAATTATCGGGTATCTATCTACTCCTTCCTTCCTTACAAGCTTTTCTTAAAGGCTAGGAGAATAAACAAAAAGAATCCTTTACGTGGTAAGTAGAGATCTAGTTACACGATCTACTAGGCACAACTCGAATTTGGGAAATACTGGGTGTAGTACCTAAAAGGGACCATGATCTTGTGCTTGATTCTGTTGGAAATCTTGTGGTCTGGGGAGATACGTTTTTGGTGTAGTATAATCTAGTATTTTGATTTGGGTACTGCGTGGTGATTTGAACTACAGTTATCTCGTTTTGAGAGCAGGCTTTGGGATGAGTTTGGTGTTAGTGTGGAAGTATGGTTTTTTCTCTGCTTAACCGGTTGGTTGTAAATTCTCAGGTCGTGGTACGGGGAATTTATAGTGTGAACAGAAGTCAGATTTGCATATGTCTAGGCAAGCGTTAATAATTGAATTTTCCTAGTGTAGGTAATGTGAGACTTGGATTTTTCGGATGTGGGGTTAGATGCTAATATAACTCCGGTATGTTGTCGAGGTTGAGATGGTTATGTAGTGTGATAAGGAAAGGAGCGGGATTACAGTGAGGCAGTTAGTACAAAAGAGCAAGGATATAGATTAATCACTTAGAAACAGATAGCTAGGGTTATATGGGAAGGAAATGGCATTTAACAATAGAAATGTTATTATTAGGTACGGGATAGTAAATGTTTAAAGGCAAATATGTAGGAAATGTGGAGTTATTAGGAAGGAGGGATGAAGTGAGGAGGCGATGGAAGTGATATTTTTGCTATTGGAGGTTACAACCACATGGTTCGCCTATTTTGGAGGAAAGATAGGCTGGACCAATAAAATCAGTGCTGGTAGTAGTATTAGCACACTGCCTGGATTCACCATACCCATAGTTAATTGCGTATATCCTGAAATAGTGAGTGTGGATCTTTGACCACCAAAGAAGTATGTTCATCTGTACAAGCAACACATGAATAGCCAAAGTGACAGTTTATTTGAAAGACGAGATCTGCACCTCAGTTGGTTAAATACTTTCTCTTATTCTTTAGGGAATGGTGAGTACGACGTACAGCATGTGCAAAAAGGTAAGCAATGGTGATCACTCTACTTGTTACCCTGCACCACAGCAAATTTGCAGTTGAACTGCGTATGGCTTCAGCTGTGATACTCTCCTGCAAGTATCCATTTCAAGCACATTATAATTACTGTGATTCTCAGGTCGTTAATTGCTTTGACTGCATGATCTGGGTACCTATACCTTAGAGGTGGATGGCTCCTAACTTCCTCTATTCACCCAAGCGAACACTTAAGCAAGAGGACTACAGAGAGAGGTAAAGATTCACAGAAGAATCCTTTGGTGTTTTGAGATCTTTTTTTTGCTTATTCTACGAAGCCTTCCTGTAGACATTGATGTGATGTCATTCCTGCGGAAAAAACGCCACCCTCACCTGGTTGTTTACGCGCAACATAGCGCGTCCTTCAGAAATCCATCGTTACAGTAACAATCATCAACACCAAAGAAGTTTGGCATTCAGCGTTTTATTGCACATCTTCGCCAACCCACCAGCAATCGCCTATCACAACCTCCCAGGCGCTTATCGGAGAAAATCCGGGGAACACAACAACCGCCTATCAATTGCAGCAAGAGCCCCTAAGACCCCTGCTCTGGTCCCTGCACTCACCCTGCCAACTGGCAAGGTAAGTAAACACAAATACCTTGGCTTCAATGTACCTCAATCTGCAACAAAAATACCACGAGACCATCCACAAAATACAGGAAACCCTCCTGGATACATCCCTGGCACCTGAGCTTATGCCCAAATCCATCACGATGAATTCTCCCAGAACAGGCGCGTCTACGCCCTCGCTCCGAGCTCGGGCTGGGAGTGAGATATCCAACAAGATGGAAACTCCTGCAGGAAACGTTCGCGTGGTGGTCAGAGTCCGAGGATTTCTTCCGAGAGGTATGAGTAGAATCAATCCTGCCAGAACGAAATATATGCTCACAATCGAACAACAGAAACCGAACGCGGCGCACAATGCCTTATCGAAATGGACCCCGCTACGCAAGCTACGACTCTCCTTCCCCCGAATGATACAGATACCGCGAATTCGAGATCGAAGATGAGAAAGGTTATTGAAGAAAAATCTTTCACTTTTGACAATTCATTCTGGAGCCATAATAAGAAGGACGAACACTACGCACACCAGGAGGACGTCTACAATTGCCTGGGGGAGGAATTTTTGGATCACAATTTTGAAGGTTACCATACGTGTATTTTCGCGTACGGTCAGACTGGTTCAGGCAAGAGCTACACCATGATGGGCACTCCAGATCAGCCGGGTCTCATTCCGCGAACCTGCGAAGACTTGTTCGAACGAATTGAAGCAGCCGCTATTGAAACTCCCAGCATATCCTACAACGTCAGAGTTTCGTACTTTGAGGTGTACAACGAGCATGTTCGGGACCTTCTGACACCGGTGAAACCAAACCAGCCACCGTATTACCTTAAAATTAGAGAATCCCCCACCGAAGGACCGTACGTGAAGGATCTCACGGATGCGCCTGTCAGGAATCTTACGGAGATTCTGCGGTACATGCAAATGGGTGATACAAGCAGAACAACAGCAAGTACCAAGATGAACGACACCAGTAGTAGAAGTCACTCGGTTTTTACCATTATGCTTAAGCAAATCCACCACGATATGGATACCGATGAGACCACTGAGCGTGTGGCCAGAATTAGACTTGTTGATTTAGCTGGGAGTGAGAGAGCCAAGGCCACTGAGGCGACAGGAACTCGACTTCGTGAAGGAAGCAACATCAACAAGTCACTCACCACACTTGGCCGCGTCATTGCCGCACTGGCGGATCCCAAACAAAATCGACCTGGAAAGCGAAGCAATAAGGATGTCGTTCCTTATCGAGATTCTATTCTTACTTGGCTACTTAAGGACTCGTTGGGAGGCAACTCCAAGACAGCCATGATTGCTTGTATTGCTCCTTCAGATTATGACGAGACGCTCTCCACCCTCCGCTATGCCGATCAAGCAAAGAGAATTAGAACTCGTGCAGTTGTCAACCAAGATTTGGTATCAGCTGCTGAAAGAGATGCTCAAATTGCCCAAATGGCAGAGGAGATTCGAATTCTTACCCTCAGTGTTTCCGAAGGCCGTCGTCGCGAGAAAGAAGACAAAGAACAAGAAGAAAAGATCGAAGAGTACCAGAATCGCGTCATTGCCATGCAGCGCTTGATGGAGGAGCGAAGTCAGGTTGCTGAAGGAAAGATTCGGGCCCTCAATGTGGAGAATGAGGCGCTTCGACTTCATCTCAAACTCGCTATTGATAGTATCAAGAACCCGATTAATGTGAGAAGCAGTGTACCTCCAGAAGAAACTATCGAGATCTTGGAAGGCTCAGTGGACAGAGATCCCGAAGCAGCTCAAGAGGCCGATTTCGAGGATGACAAGACCGAGGTTCCTGATTACGATTCCGATTGCACCAGTGATGAAGCTGTCGATCTTCTTACGGAATCCGAGAAACGAGCCGAGCAGGTTCAGGAGTTCCAACAGGACTTGCTCTCTGATCTCGCCCGATTCATGTCCAAGGTCATGGATGACAAATCCCGCTTCATGACTCCCATGACCCCCGACCGTGGATTTTACGTTCAAAAGTCCGATGGATCGTGGACTTGAAAAGGGGAAGGGGTTTTTTGGCTGGTCTGCGGTGTCTTGAATTTCACTTGCAATGATTCTTGAAGAGGAGTGGACTTTGGTGTACTTGAATCCTGTGAAATCGATGGGTTCTTGAACCCTGTTGGAGGAGTACAGTACAGCTCAGTACGAGTATAGATAGGGTGTGTGTTGGTTTAGCGTGTTTTTCACTCTTGTATTTATGGGGGGGTTTTGAAACGAGCTTCTTTTTGGTTGGTTTGGGAGGAATGGATTAGCGACGGTGTTATGTGTAAATGGTATGGCAGGCAGGATGCATTGTACTGTCAGATTTACCGATCACGACTAAGATGAATATGGGGAATTGTGGTGTTCCGTGTAGCATAGCCGATGAGTTGATTGTGGTGGAGTTGAATGGAATAATACTTCTTTTGCCCCTTTCTTCCTGGTGTAGAATTCCTGCTTTCTGTGGGTTGTTTAAGCTGTATAGTATGGTTCAAGTTTTATAATTATGGATACGGCTGTGGGCTTGGCTTGAATGTTTATACTGTGGTGTTTTAGTGGACTTGTGGGTTGTTTCTTTGGCTACTTTATTTAAAGTGGCTGGTTGTTCATTTGGGATTATATAGAACCAGATTGGGTATGTGGAAAGCAAGTCTGGTGGGGGATCTAGTTTGGGACTTTGGGTTAATTAAGCGAGTAAGCGAAGACTTGATAATCAGTAATTTTCTTTCGCTGTTTGCAAGGGTAAGGGTTTGTTAAGGCTAGTTAAGGGAGATATAGAAAAGTGTGTCTATACTGACGTATCTAAGATTATCGTCAGTCCGTCAGTGGTCTTGTAAGAATTTAACCTCGAACCTCGGGGGAAGGATGGGGATCGAGGAACGGGGAATGCCTTTGAGGGATTTTTGCTTGCTTGATTTATCTATGGATTTGTGGAGAGCATGTAGACTAGTGGTACATACGCTGATACTCGAGTAGAGTGGAGGTATAAGTTTGAGAATCCTCCTTTACGTGTGGTAATATCCTCATCAACATCCCGCAGCCCGTAGGCATCTGGTGGTGTTGTAGCTACCGGACTTGTCCAGGGATTTAGGTATCTGTAGAAGGAGGTGTGGCTTTTTTGTTGTGTTGTGTTGTGGGTTTGAGTATTGCCTACACACGACGGCGACCACTATTACATTGCCAAAGCAGTTTCTTCTCTGAGTAACGCGCATGCGATCAATCTATAATTTCCCACGACTACTGTTACTGCATCCCCAAAGCACTTTCTTGTCCGAGCAATAAGTTTGCGATTAATCGACAATTCCTATTCCGCGCAACACTCAACCCTTCTATTCAATGGATACTTCTTCGACGCGTCGGGTGAGTGGTTCCTCGTCAGGGAGCTGTGATACTCATATCACCACCCCAGACGCTTTACCCGAGAGGACCCACGCGGTGGACAAAATAAGCTGCAGTTTTTTTGGTGGTGCGGCCTGGCGTGGGTCCCTATATATACTCAGGGTTACACGAACTTGTAAAGTGTCTTGAAAGAAGATGTGAAAATCGACGGTAGGATGTTAGGCGACAGTGAGTTCGTTTCCGGATGTTTGGAGTTCGGATATGGGTTAGGTTCTGTGGCTTCTTGGGGTTTGGGGGAGGGACTTGTCAATCGATACTAAAAGCGAGAGAGTGTGAGAGTGTGAGATTGGTCTTATTATCTAGTCATTCTTCTCTGTGCTTGCATTGACAACAAATCATGCAGATGCTCCATGCTGATTTTTGCAGTGTCTACAGGGACTAATGTGTTGCCATACCTCTTGAATATCTGCATAGCGTCGGTAGTATTCACTTATACCTTTTTTTATTAATCTTTGCTAACGGGATGAGTTGCAATGTCTTTCACGTAGGAAAGTGATAGATGGGGAAAGTGATGGAGATTTCCACTTCTACACACACTTATACTTATACAAGTGAAACTTTAAAGATAATAAATAGTTCTAATAGTCTTAGTATCTAAGACCTAATACTCATGTGAGGGTTGGAACCCATATGGAGGCTCGGGCCATGCCCTCGCTAAGCACTGACCAAAGTCCTCGTTGAGCACTGACCAAAGTCCCTGCTTAGCACTGGCCATTACCCCACTGCCAAACAGGTTTCTACTTTTCCACACTTTCTTGTTTTGTTCTTCTGACATCATGTATTCGTCATTCAAGTTTCTTGCAAGTTTCTTGGAATATTCAGGAAGCTCTTCCTCTCTATATATAGAGGAAGAGCTCGCATGTATGTAGTCTTCACGCATTTCTTAATTGAATATTCGAAACCACACCTTTGAGCTATTCGAGGTCTGGCCTCTCACAACTCAAGATAGATCATTTATAAATTATTATACTAAATAGTCTATAAACCTCCCCCAATTGCAAAAGCCAACTAGCAGAAGTGTTTCGAACTGTCTCAGGCTCTATCCCTTTGACGTAGTATATGTACGTTTGGATTTTTGGGTTTACGATTCCCTCCTTGAGCGATAATTGTTCGAAAACGCTTGTTTTTAAAGCTTATTAGTATCAAAAAGGTAAATATAAGGCTGTCGCCGAGAGCGTTAAAATACTATTTAATTACTATAAAAGACTAACTAATCTAAATCGCCTTCTTCGCTTAAGCCCCGCTCTTTATTAATACTATCAGAGTGTGACAGTTTTTGATTTAGTGAATAAGGGTTCGCTTAGCGAAGTTGCGGGTGTACCCTTCCGTAGATAGACAAATACCTAAGGAGTGCGAAGAGCGTCTCTCTTCCCTCCTTGCGAACAATCTATTCCTTGACCCCCACCATAACACAGAGTCCCTATAATACCCCCGAATTATAGTAGTATTACTATTATATTAATAATACGGTAGAAAAAACTCCTTATATAAGGAAATCTCATATACTATATACTACTTTCTTATTACTTTTATATCCCTTCCTTCGTAGTAATAATTTTTCTAATCTTTAGCTACAGATAATCGTTCACTTATATACCTATCTTACCCCCTTTTTTCACTTAAATTTCGTTCTATTTACAGTTCTTTTTAGGTCGGATATAAACAAGTAATTAATTTAGTATAACAGTTGTTAATATATATTAATTAAACTTATTCCTCAAACTTGTACTTCTACTATAGCGAGTTTTCCAATCAATCCTCAAACTTGTGCCGAAATATATACAAGATACTGTCAGTAGAAATAAGCTTATATACCAAGAGTTAAAGTAGATGCTACTAACCTAAAATTTGAAACGTACATATACTGCGTCAAAGGGATATGCCGGCTGTCAAGATTCTCCATGTGCTGTATTGACCTCGAATGGATAACAGAGAACGCTAATACAAATTTAGAAGTGCCCTAGAGCATTTGAGGCCAGTTTTAAAAGGTTTACCAGGAAAGACAATCTTAGTCGGACATAGCGTGAGCGGAGATCTCAAAATTCTCAAGATATTGAAAGTATCCGGTAAAATATAATTCGACAGCAGAAAAATAAGCGAAGGTAAACTGACTTGTGAACGTTCAACGTTCCGATCCTACATGCTAGGCGGTGAATACGTCCCTAGTATTTGGAGACCAGGGCAAGAACTAATTCCTATTCTTGTAGGCATGTATTATACATAAACACAGAACCTTCTGGTATCATTTCCGGGAGCCCTGCCTAAAACGGGTCGAGTCTTTGGTTGACTTAGCGATTCATATAGCAATTCCTACTATGTTATCTATTTAACCCCACTTTAGTCTAAACTAGTATACTCAATATTCTAATTACTAAGAAATTAATTATTTAATATCCTAGCTGCTACTACCTTTCTAGCCATATTTTTTGCAGCGTGGTTTTTGAAGCGAGCAAATCTGATCTAAAACTTACAATGATTACTTAGCTTGGTACTGGTTTCGGAATCTTAGTTGAGAATTGGTGTTTGCATGAAGAAGTATTAAGCTGGTTGCTTTCTACTTCGTTAAGGAAGGGGTTGTAAAATTGGGTGGTTATTAAGTTCGGGAAATAAGGACCTCAGGAAGGTGGGAATATAGTTGAGTATGTTCGATTTTTGGAAAATTGATTGGATATTCTTACTGTTCATTTCCGTATCATTAATACAGAGACTTTCTCAGACTTCCGACCTTCACAATTATTCATAATAGAGCATTTCGTAAACTCATCACTTCCAGAAGAGCTTTTCAGTTTTACATAACCAAGTTTACTATACGTAGTAGAAAATAAAACATCTCTACTTGCATTATCCATCGAAGAATACGTTACTAATTCTTACTTGGAGTACAACATGACGTATTTCTGTCACCCAACTTACTACGCTCAAGATCGCACTATTCACCGACAGCATACATTTCCCATTATTTGGGCAGGTATTTGTTTTGATTGTTTGATTACGAGGCTGGTTGTAATAAGCGAAGGGGCTGGACGAGGAAGCATTCCAAGGTTGTTGTTGTTTATATGCCAAGATAGGAACGCAGAAACCGAATTTCCAGACACGAGTTCAACCTTCTAAAGAAAACCAAAGATACACTACAAGCCCACCTTCAGTCCCACAATGAGTTGAGGGCCGATCGATTACGATAGCCTAAAATCGATTTATGAACATTGTATCTCCAACGAAGTCAAGTCCAAGGAGGAGCTCAATATTCTAATAGGCTGTTATAAGGAACTTGTTACAGTTTCCTCTCAACCTCCGCCTAGCATACCACAGTACCCTCTCGTTCCGTACAACTATAATATACCAGGTCTCATGGCACCACCCTTCTATACGCCTAGTGGAAATTCTCAACAACCTCATCCACTGGATGCTAGGGCACCAGTCTTTACTCCTTCTGTACCATCATCCGTAGCTGGCTCAAGACCGAGTACAAGTTCAGCCACACCAGCAATATCCTCTGCACCAGCGTGTATATTTCTTGCCCACAGACAAGCAGGCACCCTGGATGTTTTCGGATCTTGTATCACTTCACATCTTCAAAATATATTGTATAAAAGAATAAAGTTGTTTCAAGAAATTCAAAATTTAACCTACATAACAAAAAACGCCTGGTATATCGCCTATTAAGAAAGAAATCACGAGAGAGAGAGCTATGTACAAACCCAACCAACCAGCTCATCTCCCTCCTTCCCTATGACGATGACGAAGAAAATCCCTTTTCAATACATACAAATCCTTAACCGAGACGTAAAAGACAATCCTTTCTTGCCATCTAGAACATTAACATGAAAAGTCCATCTCTAATTAATGACTTCGAATCCCTCAACATTGCCGTTAGCGACCTGCTCCATGACATCCAAGTTGGCGGCATCAATCATCTCCTGATCGAACTCGGGAAATGACTCGGTGGCCTTGTCTTTCTCGGCTTTGGTGGCCTTTGCTTGCTTCGCTCGGGCAGCCTTTTTTTTCTCCTTTCGGGTAGCTGCCATGGCTGCCATTTCGGCACGGTGCGCCATCGCTTCCTCGACGACATTCTCTTTGACTCTGAATTTGACGATGCCCTCGCTGTTGACGACTCTTTCGATGAGGTAGTGAGGGATCTTCATTATGATCTTGGATTTGTGCAAGGACTCCTCGTCCTCCTGAATTTTTCTTGGTGTAGGACCGAGTGTGATTCTTGGTCGCGGAATTGAGCTGGATGCATTACTTGATGCGGTATCTTGGGATGAGGGAGGAAAAACCAACCTACCCCCCATCCGAGTGCTGCCGCTTGATTCAGAGGAGGACTGGCGACTGTCAGATGCTGGGCGGATGGCGAGTTTAAACTTTTTTCTGGTTCCAGCTTCTTGCTCCGTAGACTCTTTGAAGGCGTGACTCTCGGTTCCGTTGTCTGTTGCCTTGCGCTTTCGGATACTGCGTAACTCTCTAATAAGTGGCTCAGCGGCAGAAGGCGTAGTATGCTCCAAAACACCGAGACCGAGGTTCATTTCAATATGTGGTTCCTCGGAATTTGGATCAAGCTCGAATCCGTTGTTACCCTGAGTACCAGAAGCGAGTTGGGCGTTTGAGGCTGCCAAGTTAGGAAGAAAGGCCTGGAGGCGATCGGCAAGTGAGGAAGATTCAACACGATGGATGTTGGGTCGTTGATTAGAAGGTCGAAAGTTATGGATCTCTTCGCTATCGCTAGAAGAGCCAGATGATGACGACGAAGAACCCGACGTTGAGGTTGAGGATGCAGAAGACGAAATCTCCTGCTCGAGTGATTCATATAGACGGCCAAGGGCTTGGGTTTCTTCATCAGGAATATTGTCTCTGCTTATGTCAACGAAGAGACAATAAGCGAGAACAGTTGCACATTTGTCGTCGATCCAATCTTGACCAGACAGGGCGACAATCTCACGAAGTCTCTCAGAATACTCAAAGCCACCTCGTACTAGAGATCTGTGTGTTAACCAAGCGACTTTTACTGAGGAGGAGGAGGAGGAGGGGATACATACAGTATTGGGTAACCATGCAATTGGCAATCTTCCACACCCGCTCGTGCTTGCCAATGACTTTGTCGGCGTAGTAGACATCCCAAGGGCGCTTTGGACTCTGTGGTTGAACTTGGTTGGGCATCATTCCAAATTCTGGAGTGTGTGTTAGTACTTTTCGACTTAAGATGAAGCTTTCGAAACTTACCTTGAGCGATCGCTTTGATCTCAAATTGAACCTGACGATTTGGGAATGACAGGACCTTCTCAAGGGCAGGAGAGAGGTAACCAAATACGGCTTCGAACTGCTCCTTGCGGTCGTAGTAATCGGTGACGCCGTTCACGACAAGTGACTTTTGATAATCCTTGATATAAATTTCATCCAAGATCGGAAACTGCCAGAAGGCGACAGTTGCGCGGCCTTCAATGGTCGAGCTAGAGAGAGCCATGGTTAGAATGCAGTCTCTCAAAGTAAAATTGTTTGATCTGAAGTGGTCGTTGTTCTGCAGTTTGTCCTTGGAGGAGACAGAGAACGACGTTGGAACTCTGGGGAGAATATGAGGGAGATGGGAATGGCCGACCTACGGTGAACTTTTCCGCTAATCGGAGCTTCGTGTGGCTGATGACAGCATAGTGAATAAGATTTTTTATGATGCTCTGTGAATGATGCTGGTGTTTGTACTATGAGGTGAGTTAGTGAATGACTACAATAGTAGTGCGCGCAGTTTGCTCCTCGCCTCACTGTTTTTTCCTCTCCTCTAGTACCACACTAGCCGAGGATACACCGGGACTTGATTTAAAGTCACGTGACTGATAGATACTCGACGGCCTCTTCCCTTCCTCGCCTTCCTACTCGTACCTGCAGTTAGAGCTTGAGCTCATTCAAGGTGGTGGAGGTGGTCAGTGCTTTAATAATGATGGTGGCCTCAGGCAGGCACACCCTTGGCAGGCGGGCAGCTCCCCCGCGGCTGTTTCATCAGGGGTAAGATGGGGGGAAGGAACATTGGCGCATTGGTTTGTTTGAAGCAGCCGCGTCTTCTTTGTGCCTCGACCCTCACCCTCGACCCTCCAACTTGAGTTGTCTCGTTGTCATATTAAAGTATCTGCAGGTGGCTGTTCGTCCCGTCCCTTCTCTTTCTCTCACCCACCTCTCTCTCTCTCACCTCGACCTCTCCTTTGTGCTCTTGTTCGCACTACACTAGGACCGCTCACTAGTTATCCACTCACTTAACCTTTACGTAGTATATCTCCCACTACTACTCTACCACACTACCACACTAGCACTTCCACTAGCACACCATGGCTTTGAGACCAGCCCTGATAACGAGAGGCTTGTCAGCAGCTTCGGGCCCCAGTGATACTGGCTCGCCCGCCGAGCAGAGAGATGATGCCAAGATGAATATGCTAAGGGCCATGCGTCTCCCTTTTACGCATGTGTGGAATATCTATGTCGATAGGTGAGTTGGGTGGTGTGACAGTCTCTAGTGGAGCCAAGAGAGCCAACTGACATTCTTCTCAGACCCCAAAAGGAGCAACAGAAAGCGGCAGATGGAACCTACCAAGCGACCCTGGAGACTCTCATCCAGATTAGCTCGGTACAAGCTTTCTGGCAGTACAACAACAACTTCCCCATTGAGAATTTGAAGATGCGGGAGTCTGTCTACCTATTTAAGCAAGGCTTTGTCCCTGTTTGGGAAGACAGAAGAAACATAAAGGGCGGCAGTTACACATTCCGTGTGCCAAAAGAAAATGGCCCGGATTTCTGGACCAGAGTGCAACTCATGGCTATTGGAGAAAAACTGCAAGATGCATTAGATAGCACCAAGACCGGTATGTTCCTTCGCTAATTTCTAGGGACCAATATTGGCCGAACAAGTAGAACTATACTAACATTCGTCATAGGAGACCAAATATGCGGGGTTGGTCTCTCTGTTCGATTCAACGCCCACTTGATTTCCATCTGGCATCGTGATGCCTCAGACACAAAGGCAGAGGAAGCATTATTGAAAGTTGTCTTGGACGAGCTCCCAGCCGAGCTTAGACCCAAGGACAGCAACTACTTCCACAAGAAGCATTCGGACCATGCTGGTTTCAAAGCTCCTGCCACAGAGACCAAGAGCATTCCAGTTCCAACAATTAATGCTCCTACACCATAGTTTCTGAAAAAAGGAATTAGAACGTAGTGCTTTTGATTGGGATTTACAAATGGTTTAGATTGATGTGCTGAAATGCTCAATCCTACTGTGGAACCGGAACTTAATGTTTACGTATTGCCATGACTGCTTCGGATTTTCTTTGTCACTTGCGTGTCTGAGGGAATATGACAGCCGGGAAAAGATTAGTTGCTGCTGCATTTACGAGGAAAACTTGGGCAAGGATTTTGTCACATTTATGCATAGAAAAACGGCGTTCTTATACGAACTTGAACCAAAATATGATCTGATCGATAATAGACAGTATTAGTATTAGTCTTTATTATCAAATCAAATTATGTCCATGAAAAAGATCATAAAGTCAAAGCACCAGAACTCCGGTGCCTGCCTACCTGCCCCTGCCTGTTCCTAGCCAACGCCGGCGTCCCCCATATGTATTGTACACTCGTCATGCTCAACTCATTACCTTGGCAGCAAATATATCACAATCACCTCCAAACACCAGCCCTCCTCAAAACCTCCTCAAACTCATCCTTCTCCACACCCTTCCCCACCCCGGCCCCTCCATTCGCCTCGAGAATCATATCCCGTAGCAGATCACCACCGACCTCTTCCTTCAGATCATTTGCAATCCTCTTCAGAGTAGCCAAGGTGATCTTCCCGTCTCCCGCACCTTTCGTGAACAAGGCGAATGCTTCATTTACTTCTTGCGTGTGGGTATCCGAGTTCCTGGTTCGCGCGTGGATTTTCAAGGCGCAGATTCCGACGAAGGGTTCGTATTCGACGAAGCCTTGCCGGTAGGGGTCGAGGATGGAGATGAATTCTTCGAGTTCGGATTTCTCGGGCAGGATTCCTAGGGCGCTGCGGGTTACAAAATCGTATAAGTATTTGATACTGTTCCCCCGAGGTGAGTTTGCAGCGGGAAGAGGACAATACATACATCATGGCTCTTCGCACATCTCCGGTTGGGATGACGCCTTCCTTCTCGCCCTTCCGCTTCTCTGAGAAGAGCGAGAAGGCTTCTCGGATCTCGTTCTCCTCGGTGCCGGTGATGTTGTGCTCTTTTGCGAGCTTGGATTGTCGGACCTTGGGGGGACCTTGTTCGGGACCGGACGGCGCGCGCCGTTTGGCTGGCTGGGAGGTGAGTTAGATTGTGTGTACTTTACCTTCTGAAGGATTGTACAGAAGGATTTCAATCTCTTACCATGTTGAGGCGCAGAGCCTTTTGTGGAATGATATTGGTTGGGGATAGATTGACTTCTGTAGTAGTGATGATGCTTGCTCGGATTGCCCACGCGACGAGGCTGTGGATGGAGGTGGAGATGTGCAGGGGTAGCTGGGGGTGAACGGCTGCCGTTGGTCGGCCTTGTCGGGTGGGGCGGAGGTCAAAGCCCAGGACGCTAAAGATTTTGACAGGCCATAGCTGCCAAGCCTCGAAGGAGGTTTAAAAGATTTTCTGAGCTGGCATCTTTGCTTTCCAACTTTCAACACAACACACAACAACCATCGAATGCACTCCCGGGCCCTTTGGATCTTGGAATCTGTCTCCTACAGTCACGCAGCTATCTGTTGGGTCAGTTCTTGAGATCACACTCGACTCCATTTGGAAGCTCTAAAATATGGAGCGTCGATGTTGCTCGAGTCTCACCCGAGTCGACGAGTTTCAAAACTCTTGACTGAGTCGGAGAACGGACTCAGTTGGTTTCCATGGCAAACTTCAAGCGACTGAAGATTCAAGTGGACTTCGGATCCCTCATCTCGAGAAGACAAGACCAGGATGGATTTTCTTCCTCAAGTTCCAGATATGTCGTCTGAACAGGATCTTAGGTAATGGCGACAATTCCAAAGTGACGTGTGTAAGGAAGAATGTGAGAGAGAAAGAGAAATGGCGGAAGAAGAAGAGAAATGGAGGGAGAAAAAGAAAACAGCTTCAAATATAAATGCTAGAGCCCGCCGTTGTCACAACCCAGAACGAGCGAGTGTGGACAATGAAGCCAGAGTAAAACCCAGGCCGAGATTTTGATTCTTCGAGGCCTTCCTTGGGGTACCTAGCCGTTATTCTCGTTACGAGTTTGATATTTTTTGGTGCTTTTTGGAGATATCTTTCCTTATTAATTTTCAATAGAGTTTTTCATTTCCATTTTAATACAAGAGAATACTTTGATTTCAGGTGTTTTGTTTTATCAGCCAGTGATCAATCTACCATTTTCCGTTTTCCTGATACAGAAAAGAAGAGGGAGAGAGGTGTAGAAGAACTCATTTCCAACACCCATCCGCATCCTGATGCGGTTCAAAAGCCTCAATCCCCTTCCTCACCTCCTTCTTACTACTCGTTTCAACACCGAACCTCTCATCCCTCTCCTTGACTTTTCCCCACGGCACCTACTACCATCAGCACTCCTCATCCACACCCCTCAACACACAAACATCCAAAGAAAAAAACAACATTTGAAAAAAAAACAGATATACACACCTGCTCATCCCTCGTAAAACTCATCATCAACTCCGGTTTCCCAAGCGGTAACATATCCCCTCTATCCACCTGCCAGAAATGATACGTCTTCCCATACAAACTAACGACCTCTTTTAATTCCTCTGTCTCGGCGACTTCCCAGATGGCGTTGGGGACGTGGGGGTTGGGGAGGATGAGCATGCCGCTGCGGACCTGGGGGTTGTTAGTGAGGTGGTGGTGTTGTTATTGGTTTTGATATTAGGACAGTTCTTATATAGGGTTGTTAAAGAGGAGAGAGGGGAGATGGATGGAGATGAGACGAACCTCATAATCATGCGAATGCCAAAGTTTCCTCTCCTCCGCGTCGAGTTCATTATACAATCTCGGTGTAATCATGTATTCCACGCCAATCAAGCGAGCTGGGTTGGTGGGAGCATCGTATATTAGACATTGTCGGACCTATTCCACATTAGCATTTCCTATTTCCTCCTTCCCCTCCTCCCCAAAACATCAAAAAAGCAACCTAAACAAACCACCCAACAAACCCCCTCAAAAAAAAAGAAAAAAAAAAGGACATACATCCCCACTCAAATGCACACAATAATGATTCGCCTCCACAGACCTCGTCGTATCCGAGGCGTAAACATGGAAAGCATTGAGATGGGCACAGATGCCCTTAATAGGCTCGAAGGACTGCGTCGTCGACGCGCCAGTTTCGAGGAGTGTGTCTTTGGTTGAGATGGGGGGTCCTGGGACGCTGGGGGTGGTTTGGGATGTCATTATTTTGGGGGGAGGTTGTTGTGTTTGATTGAAGGGGAGGGATGGAGGGATTGGGGATGGTTGGAGGGATTGGGGGTTGAGGAGAGACTTGTATTGGATGTGTGTGGGGTAAAAGTTGGAAAGAGGGAATGCATGGTAATAGAGCTGACGTCACCTGGATTCTGTTTACATGATCCTGTTTGTAATTATTATGTATCATGATACCCACGTTGTGGAAGCAGTTAACCGAGTGAGAGGTCATGTATGGATATCCGCCTTTCCGAACTTGGTTCACAATCGTAGAATCTGATGGCATGGACTGCCGATCCAGTGTGATACATTTTCAAGAAACGCCAATTCGTAACATAGGTACATCGACCAGATTCCAATGCTTACCATTGCACTTCGTTACGGATGCTATTGTCAGAGAGAGCATAGATCAAAACACTTCATTACTATTCTCTTTTTTTGGCCCACCTCGCTAAACTCAACTCATAACTTTGCATTCGGTGGAGGACTGGGTTCCCTTAGAGACTTCTCATTCCACGCATATGCAACTCCTCAAGCACGTTACTCACTTGAAATTATTCTTCATCTCTCGAAGTTTGGCCATTACCGCCACCGGGTCTGTTTTGCCCGTGGCTTTCTGAATCTCGGGGTCCTGTTCTTATTAGATTCATTCAATAATATTAGAGCAGATAGGACTTACATCTACGCGCATAAATACGTTGTGTTTCTGTGAGTTGTTAGGTATGATCATGTCTTGTATGGGTGGAGTAGCTTCGTTACTTTCTCATCAGCTATTGTGAATCTTCCTTGCGTTTCCTTGTTCTTTTCTGCGAATGCTTGGAGGTTCTTGACAGCCTCGCTTTGCAGTACGGAAATTCCGAATTTGACATTTGCTTTTGTGTACTCATGGCCAGGCTATAGATGTTAGTAAATTTCCTTTTGAAAACGGAAAGGGAGCTGGTTGTACATAGACTTTGGTATCATCAGGAACAGCGGCAAGAGTCTTATTCAAAGCAATGTGCATCTCTTCAGCTGTGCCTTCAAAGAATCTGCCGCATCCTATTAAAAGATCTGTTAGTAAAGCCATTTCGTCATTTCCAATCATGGAATATCTTACCTCCGTGGAAAAGAGTATCACCCGTAAATATTGCCCGCCCGGTACTATCCTCCATCAACCAACATATGCTATCTTCTGTATGACATGGAGTGTATAAAGCTTTCACGGAGATATCTCCGATCTTGAATCCCTCGCCATTCTTGGGTGTTTGTGTCACTCCTTCGCAGTCCTTGCCTCCAATTATTGGCTTGCCTCCAAATTCGCTCGAAAAGCCCAACTGTCGGCATTGTGGTCAGCAAATGTCGAGGCAGAATTGAATTGTTATGTATCTACCAGTTTCTTGTTTCCTCCTGAATGATCCCAATGACTTTTGAATAATTAGCAAAATGTGGCTTTGAAGGGGAAATGTAGTGGCATACTGGTGTGTATTAACAATTGCTGTCAGGTTAATTTTGCCATCTTTAATCTGCTCCTTCAAAACGGGTGCAACCCTATTCCTGCATCAATATCTTCTATCTTTGTCCAAGTAATATGTATGTACGCACTCATCTGGATTGGCAGGATCAATAATCACAGCATCCTTCGATTTATCGTCCACAACTAGATACGCGTAGTTGTCGCTCGACCCCGTCCCTGAAAGATCTTTCTATCAGCTATGTATTCGCAGATTGATTGGAGGTCTTTATTCTTGGTGCATTCGTACACATAGGAATTGATTGGATATGCATTGTGCGAGTGAGGGTTCGGGAAGCAGTCTGGTTTAATGTTAGGCTTTGCTCTGGCATGGTATGCTAACGGCTCAATATTTACATTGATGGCAAATGGTCTTGGAATCTTGGACCGAGTGAGGTTTCTCAGTGATGGGATGCGAGTACTCATAAGGAATTGGTAAGATGATGTAGGTATAGGTATCAATCAACCTTCAATGAGAGTGCGAGTGCTTTGTAATTAAGTCAGATGTACTCGTGCTAGTGAGTGGATGATGGGTACGGAGTTATTCGTAGTTACGTAGGCAGAGCGGGGTCTGCAGGCGAGGTGAACCTTCTGAAGCTTATTCACCTGCAAGCAAGTCATTCAATGATGGAAGTGGAGTTGCAGCTTTATCTTATCTACACGTGCGAAGTAGGTCACGTGTAGTCAGAGCCAGGGACATCAAACGACAGCACCTGTATCCTTAAAACATAGGTATGAACCTGAAAAGCATGGTGGAATATTACGCGCTAACTGAAAACCACCTCTTCAGGATAATCCTTCGGAACTTGGACGATACTCGATCCAACAGAGCCTCCTCCCCAGTCTCTATGTTGGTTCTTAGCAATGATCTTTCGTGATCCATCCGAAATCCCTTGCCAAAACATTACAGTACAGTAGGAACTCCTTAGATTTTGACAGCTATCGTTAATGATCTTTAGAATTGAAAGGGGCCTAGCTAACGATGTATTTTGCTATGAAAAAGAAAGATGCGCTCCATGAACCTATATAACTGTCCAATATCCCAAGCAGAACGAATCCAACTATCCAATACTGCAAGTCCTTACGCTCAAGATGGCGGCTTATCTGATAGACATACTTTCCATGCCAGAAAGGGTCTGTCCAAGAGCTCCAATCCACTTCCGCTCCATGTTTCGACAGCTTCCCAAGTCTCCAACCCCAATAACCTGTCAGTTTTCCATCTTCACTAAATGGTTGATGTTCGGCTATCCAATTCCGCCACATTTGAACGTGTCTCAGAGCTGTCTGTTTGTCTATTTCAAACCACTCTGTGTGGGTTATTGCGGTACCCTTCTTCCCTTTGCAGCTTTGGCATTCAAACTTCTTCCTTTGGTTGTAGAGTTCCAACATTATGAGGCTCTCGACAAGTGAGCAGTGGTCAAAAGCCTTCATGTTGATATCCTCCACTTGCTGTATTGGAAAGTTGCAATTTCTCCATGCCTTTTCTCTCGTGGAGCAACTACCTACTGTCTTTCCTATTTTCACATATCCTTTTGCATGGCTTGGAGACTCGAGAACGTATATCCACCCCGTTTTTGTTGCGAATGATTGTGGGCTACTACCTTCAAGAAGTCGTTCGATTATCTTGGCATTTGTGATATGCTGCTTCCTCGATTTCTTGTAGTCAGCAAATCTTGGATAGACAGACAGGTCCGGTGTTGCGGTTGGTCCTGACTCTTGCAGACGGCTTGGATTGCCAACATGCTGCACGACAGCGGGTGTCTGGCTCAAAATGTCACCGAGTCGTCTTTCGTATTCAAAGACCGTCGAGCACTTCTTCTCAGGGACGGGGAGCCTGAGCTTACTTGTGCGTTTCGAACGCTGGGCGGAATCGCCCTTGGCGATTGCTGTGTGGCTGGTTGAGAGCTGTCTTTCTGGGTTATGCGCCCCTCGCTGCGAGGAACGATCCCAAGGGGACTTCTAGGAGACCGGGTAGATTTCTTTTCATTACTGGAACTTGCTGTCAAAGGTCTTGCTTCCTTTGGGAGCTTATTCGATGCAGAACCATTCTCATCTTGACCATGTCTCTCCTTGGTTACAGCGTATTCATTCTCTCTCAAGACATCGCGCGTTATGAAGTTTGATTGAAATACATCGTCATCGCCTCCAACCGATGAGTTTGGCGATGGGGTTGCTACAACTGTATGTTGAGCAAAGTCGTCAAATATTTCCGGGGGATTTCTTGATACTCTAGATACGGTAGATGAATTCGTCGATCTTGTGCGTGGAGTTGGGCGCTTTGGCGACACACATTCTCTCGCTGAGAAAGAATTGGCAGCGTCGCTTTCAGAATCAGTGACTAGGTCGATCACGACAGGCTTCCGTAATTTCTCTGGAGTCTTTTTCTCCGTGGAAGGCTTGTAAGAAAGTGAGGATTGCATGTTGCTGCTACTATTTTCGAGAAATTTATTGATAAAACAAAATCGATTGATGAACAAAAAAAAGGAGAGAATCTCTCAAATCGGGGTTTTGACAGCAAGAACAGGATACTCAGATAACAAGTCTCCTCCCCGCACACCACCTCGATAGCTGCGCCGCAATCTGCAGTTTATGTAGACAAAAAGGCAGGTCGCTGGTCAATTGTATCGAGTTCCTGCCTGGTCTCGGTCTGGCCGTGGCCCTGTCTGCCTTATCATCATCCATGGTACCTCCCTATCCAATAAATCACAGAAAGTTCAGGGTTCTACGAGTACTGCCAGCGCTTGAGGTGCGTTGTTACTGGTAGTGTTGGTTTCTTTGGGATATGTATGGAGCCAACTTCTCGGCTGCATGGAAGTCGGCCGCAAACTGCAGCACAGCTGAGCGCGTACATGTTGAAGCAGGCAATTGAATTTGAAAGAAGGCCAGTGTAGCTCGAGAGCTTTGAAGAAACTACCATTGTTGGAATATAGATATTACCTTTTGTCGTTATATTATTTCTTCTGCTGTTTTAACTTGGCTTTATTCATTTTACTACAATTGGGTTGTCTCTTCCTTCACTGCCTGCGTCTACCCCGCCAAGGCGTAAGCAAGCGATCCCCTGACCCAGACGCGTCTTCTTTTTAGAATGGCCGAGATTTGTGTTCTGAAGCAGTATATTGGGAGTTTGTAAGATGGCGGAGTCCTGAAATTTCTTCTCTTGATTTCCATCATACAGAAGCTCTACAAGATGCTAAAAAATGTTAATAAAAGTAGTCAGTAGCTACCTGCTATAAGAGACATGGCCGTTACTAACTTACTCTACACACACCTCTCTTAAAATAGAATTATTCCAAAGGCATCGCACAACTAAAGTGGTTATATAAAACTCTTAGACCAACTATAACTCTCACTTTTCGTTGACCTAGGTATCCTACGACAATTATTTTGCTTGTGCTAGAAGTTTTGTAAAATAACTTTTTATATAGTGTGTACAGAGTAACGACCAGGGATCTTACGCAATTTTGCAGGAAATGGATGGGGATAATTGGAATCTTTATAGCAGCACTGTGAAGTTGAAGCATATAACTATTGCACGTGCACAGGACGAATTTCAAGAATGCTACATACGTGGTAACCCCGCTAGTATTGTACACTACTTTTACTCGTAAGTACCGAATTAATTACTATATAGTATACTATATAGTAAATAAGAAGCCTAGTGAACGATAAAAATAGCCTTATATTGTTATAAAGAAATACATAGAGAAATTAAATAGATTTAAATAACTAATTATCTTTTGATAGTAAAAATAAAAAGAAGATATATTCTTTTAGATATAATAAGGATGAGCTTCATTCTCTCTATATACAAGTGAAGGGGAATTAATAGAGTGTTCCTCTTCTGGATATCTTAAGCATGTATTCCTGTCTTCATGTCTTATAGTATTGGAAATGATCTTCAAGACTTCACGCTTTAGAAACTAGTTCAGATGATCTACACTCCGGGGCCAAATCTCGCTTACGGTATTGCATGCTTCTGCATGATCAGAGTTTCGATGTTGTCAATTTCTCTCTAATTTCCCAAAATCCCGTGTTCATTGCACACCAGTCGGTGGAAGTATCCTTCAGCCGTTTGAGTAGCATTGTGATCTAGCTGGAGGATCAGCAGTGCCACATGGCATAAGTTAGTCTACCTGTTAAATCGCGGCAAGAATCCACTAAAAGTTAATCGACTTTGCTACTTGAAAATTAAATTGGGAACTTATCGACCTGTATCTGTGGAGTTGAATAAGAAAGTATCAAGGTACATTCAGAATTGATTCGACATTATCATAATTTCTTGATTACATTGACAAACTTATGGATTATACAACGATATCACTACAGTATCACGGAACTGCAGTATCTCATCATTCCTTCCACCCCCCTGACCCCCAGAATCGAGCCAAGTATAAACTCTCGCTGATCTTTTTCACAGGCCATTAAAACACCCTTTTAGTAGGCTACCAAAACCAAGCCTTGAAGCCAGCACGAAATACCTAGGTAGACACGGGCGGGTCGGTCCACCGCTCATCAAGACTTAGTAATTAATTTATACTGCCAAGTACACTAAAACCATCATTCAGATAAGAGTGCTCATCTGCCAGCCACCATTAGTATAATGTGTTCCCGCCTATGGTTATTGCCCACCCGTACAGTTGCTTTCTACTGTCGCTTCTCTCTCCTGTCCCCCTTTATCCCCATTCCCTTGCCGATTACTACTGAATGCCTTGATTTTTCACTCTACCTAGTCTTACATACTCGTTGCTAGCCTTTGCTGTCTATTGTTCTAAAGAATACGAATAAAGAAAGGGAAAGAAGAAATTGCGAGTCGCTATCGTGGTATTTGAGTTCTCGCCAAGACGGGAGCACTAACACAAAGGCTGTTTTTCACGTAAAGGGTCTGGACAGCGCAGGTCCCCCTCTTTCCCCCCACCACCTCCCTTGTCACTTTTCGACATACCACCTCATAAATCGGACAATCCAATTGAGATAGAGGGTTATATTGTGGGGCTATACCCAGCCTATAACAAGTCGTATACAGGGGAGGGGGAGACGCGAGCTGTCCAGACCCCTTATGTAAACATCGTCTAATCCTAAAGCAGCTAGAATCATTGGAACACTCCCGTCATGCCCAGCCTCTTAGCCTCAAGAGTCTTAACCTTCTTTCTTTCATTCTTAGTTTTTTTGAAGTAAGCGCAACATCAACAGTAATAACATTCTAGCAAATGTATTATGGGGGGTTTAGCTACGAAGTCTGTAAACGCCAGCAGGTACACTGTTGCAAACAGCCCCCCAACATAAGAATTGAGTTTGGACATGTGACAAATGACTAGTTTGAATTAGTCATTAAGTCTTGAAAAAGGGTGGCCATGTCTGCCTATGTCTCTCCATCTGTGCTGTTATAACCATTAATACGAGCTAATTTATCGATACCAATAACATTTGGTCAATTCCTAACAATTGAAAATTATGGAACCATAGTACAAAGGAATAGAATGTGGGATGTAAAAACCACAATAACATACAAACTCATAATAATAACTATGTTCCCTACCCCTCCTCACTTACGACCATTTTGGTCCCTTCTTATCCAGTATAGACGCAACCTTCCCCGCAGTATCGCCCTATGGCGCCAGCTAAGAAGGGAGGCTTGGCGGTGCCTGAGTTAGTGCTGGCTGTATTCCAAAGGCCTAGTAATGTCTAGGAATAGCTTCTTTTTTGGGTGACTGTCTGAAACTTAAGACCAACAATCACTATTACGCCAGCGCCCATAACTACAAGTTCTGTTAGTCTCGTCACAGCTTCAACTACAATTACTTTACCTACAAGTGAGGCTGTAAGCTTAGGTTTTATCCTGTCTCTTGCTTTGCTCTAACAGTCTTTTTTAGGTCACAACAACAATTATTTCTTCAACCACCACTAGTACCACCGTTACCAGTCCCGTTTTTACTAAGAGCACTACTACTGTTTCAACAAGCACATCGACTTCAACCGTAGCAGGCAGCACATCGACTATTGGCACCCCTTCTGGCTTTGTTCCAATCCAAACGTCACTTCCTGGTTCAACGTATCAGGACATACAGCGGCGGGAAGTCTCTCATATCAAGAGACACCCAGTTACAGATCAAGTACTCAATCCTCGTGCAACTTCAAATAACCAACGACTTGTTCCTGCCAAGGGCAAAACTTATTATCCAATTGTTGTTTACTGCTATACTATCGTCAAGTCTTTCAAAGACATTACGTCTACCAAGACTGCAAATACCATAATTACAAGTACAGCGACTTCAATGACCGCGACGGTCACCGCTTTCACCAGTAAGAATCCTATGGAGCTCTGGCTACTCAATTTTCTATACTTGAACCGATATTTTATAGCAACTACCACAACTGTGAGTGTGGTGCCACAAACGTCCACTGTAACTGGTTCTACCACAACAAGTAAGTTTTCTTTCTTTACTCTTTTCTTCTAAATATGATACACTTACACCTTACAGCAATCACGCAAACTATTACCACAGTACCAACTTCAACCATCATCGAAAGTGTGTGACAGTTTTTGATTTAGTGAATAAGGGTTCGCTTAGCGAAGTTGCGGGTGTACCCTTCCGTAGATAGACAAATACCTAAGGAGTGCGAAGAGCGTCTCTCTTCCCTCCTTGCGAACAATCTATTCCTTGATCCCCACCATAACAAAGTGTTACTGCTACCTCGACGGTTGAGGCAGCCCAATCGACCCAAGTTGGATTTTGCGCGACGAACAAGTAAGTTATCCCGCTCAAGTTTTCTCGCCGCTTGCTATCTTGTCAGACTGTACTCAGTAAATCGAATGTTCTGACCGGTTTCGAATACAAGCACGGTATACGTGCTAACACTTGTCTAGTTTTGCAAACAAAATCTATGGAAGCAGCATAGTTGATACCATCTATCCCTCGGATACGCCAGCGTTCACCCTGGATACTATTTTTAACTACAGCGGAATGTTGCAACGCTTGTTTCGCAGTACCGGATTGCAGCGCTTGGGGATTTATAGAGTATTCCCCAACCTTCAAAAGGTGCGTTCTCGTGAAGGTTAGGGATACTGAGACTTGTTCACCCGTATCCAAATTCCAAGATGTAGCTGTCGTTGGTGATCGCGCAACTGTGAATTATGATCTCTTTATTGAGAATGGATTTTGTGCACAATGGTCGAGTTTCGCATACTTCCAGAAGTAGTATGTTGTATATTTGGGAGATTGTCTACCTAGTCTGGAAATTTCTTCTTTCAGTATGTACACAAGTTCTCTGGGACGTCAAAAATGGTTGATGAGATTAATTGGTAGCCACTTTACGCACTTTTGCAGAAAAATATGAGGGGGGAGGGTATTTGGAATATTTACAGAGTACTGTGAAGTTAAAGTCTATAGCTGAGGATATTTACATTTTATCAATTGCAAGCTGTCTCACTTCAGTCCCCCAGCAACAATCAAACTCTGACCGGTGCAATAACCCGTCGTAGCAAACATCTCTACCGCATTCGCTATCTCACTTGGCTGCCCGAATCTTCCTATTGGGATCGTCTCAACAACACCTGGTACTGCTGCAGCATTCGGAATCATGCCGGTTGCCTCAATCATGGCAGGTGCCACATCGTTGACTGAAATATTGTATTGTACCAGTCTACTCGACAAGTTCTTCATCATGGCCATGAGTCCACCCTTGCTTGCTGCATAATCTAGAAAAGTGTCAGTGACATGCCGAAATAAAATAGAACAATGCACTTACGACAGCCATTTATTCCACCGCCATAGGCTGCTATTGAGGAGACAAAGATGATGCGACCAAACTTTTGGGCTTTCATGCCTTCTACAACACCCTTTACGAGAAGGAAGGAGGCACGGAGATTGATATTCAGTGTGTATTCGAACTCTTCCAGCGGAATATCTCTGCGGAGCTCTCAGTATCATTCCTCACGCTGCGTGAGATGGATGTTTTTACTCACGATACATCCACAATTCTCTTCCCATAGCCCGCATTGCTTACCAGAATATCGACTGGAGCTTTATGCTGATCTTGGATCTCTTGGAACATTCTTGTGATATCTTCCACAGAACCCATATCCACTTTGTGGATTGATATCCGCAGACCCTTGCTTGACTCGTTGAGCTCCCCTACGAGAGTATCAATCTTGTCTTTGGAGGTGGAATAGGTCAATGCAAGATGGGACCCAGAAGATGCTAGTTTTCTTGCGCATGCTGCACCGATACTGCAATGAATAGGGTCAGCTATATTGTTATGATGAGCTCACGGCAGTTACTTACCCCCCAGAAGCTCCTGTAACCAACGCCAGACGACCACTGATACTATTATCTGCCATTTTTACTCGAGCCAACTTCAAGTCTCGGGTGTTTAGGTATAACAAACGGTGGTATCTACAGCAGCGAGCGGTATGCTGTGAAGCCTTTGATGTGTGGTTATTCGAATATATTCCAAGACTTCTCGGGTATGTTTGGTAGCGATCTTCGTCTATTATCGGTGTTATCATGGAGATCTGTCGAGGGCCCACCTCTTTATATGCAGAAGACCAATCGTTGGTTCAGGCACGTGGTTCGGGAGGGTTTGTGACGGCCTCTGACGGCCATTGACGGAGTAAACAGATGTTTACTAAGAGAAAGGTGCATTAAGAACGGGAAATTCTTGAGATGAACTAAGAATGAGCACGCACAGTAGTGGAGGCGACTCCATTTCACGCGGGTCAGACGTGATAAAAACCTGTATTTCCCAGATCCAAGTCGCTGATTCGCTGGGGTTGCTAAGAATTAGGCCAACGCCGACGTGCAGAAAGTGTTGCGAGAGACTCTCAGACTCGGAGATGTCCATTGTCCCACCTCTTTATATACCGTAGGGTTTTGACGGCTATTGAAGATCTCTGTGACGAAATGTAAATATGGTAATGGCGGTCAGTGCGACAACAGAATGTGATGGATTTTTTGATTGTTCGCCGCACATGTAAACAAACCACAGCACGGAGTCTTCGTCAAATTATTTATGAAACATCATGATTCCCTAAAGAAGATCATTCCTGCACCCAAGAAAAGATGAGTGCGTTTAAAATTCACGATGAGAGTTTCAAAAGCATTCTTGGAAGTTCACCAAAACTACAACTGATATTGGAAAATACGAAATACCCTTTTGCCCACGAAGCCGGTGTCTTTATCCCATCAGACAACACCCTCTTCGTAACCAGCAACCAATATACAGACCCCTCGAACCCAACCTCGAAGAAAATACAAATATGCAAAGTTGTCCTATCCTGTGACGGTACGGTGAAATGTGAAGAAATCTTCCCCGACAGCGTGCCCATGGGAAATGGCGGCGTCAACTATAAGAACGGTGTGCTCTTCTGCGCACAAGGCGACATGGAGACTCCTTCTGGATTGGCCTACATGGAAACCTCTCCTCCATACACTTCCACATTTTTATTAACGTCCTTCCATGGTCGTCCATTCAACTCCACCAACGACGTAGTTGTACACAGCGACGGCTCTATCTGGTTCACAGATCCAATCTATGGATCAGAACAAGGGATCAGACCTCCCGCCACTCTACCCGGCCAAGTCTATCGGTGGGATGTGGAAAACGGAGGCGGTATTAGAGCGGTCGCCGATGGGTTTGGGAGGTGTAATGGGATTTGTTTTAGCCCGGACGAGAAGACTCTATACGTGACAGATTCAGATTGGATCCATGGAGATGGTACAACCGATCTGACAAGAGCGAGTTCAATGTGAGAATCCCCTATGAACCTTTCGACGTGTTGCTAAGGAGGATATAGTTATGCATTTGATGTTACGCACTATTCAGGTCAGCCATTCTTGACGAATCGACGGCTATTTGCCTTCGCGGACAAAGGAGTACCAGATGGCATTAAATGCGATACCAACGGAAACGTCTACAGTGGATGCGGAGATGGCGTGAATATTTGGACACCCGGCGGAGTTTTGCTGGGAAGAATCCTTATCGACGGAGGAGCAGCAAACTTATGCTTTGGCAGAAATGGTGAGCTCTTCATCTTGAATGAGCATAAATTGTGGCGAGCACAATTTGGAGATAGCGTCAAGGGGGATTTGCTAAAGATTTAGGGCTGAGACAACTGTAAGTGTAGGTAGGGATGTCGAACTCTCCCCTGATGGTTTTTCCTGTCTGGTGTGCTTACACTACTTAGCTCGAGAGACCAACGTTCATCGGTTGAATTTCATCTAGGCATACCTGAGTACTTGAATCTGAGACCCCTATGATTCAATAGTGCCCTATGTCACTCGGATTTCCGTGAGGATTAATTTATTGTAATAGAAGGACATGGTATTGTTTTGAAGAATTGAAACTTACACACACGTACATAAATGCAAAATACCTAGGTAGTAAGCGGGCATTGTCACGATAGGTGAATCATTATACCTTCCTTACCAGTATGGCTACGTATAGCTACGTGACAGTTGAAACGTCACACACATCAATGATGATTGCATCTGTTTAACCACGTGGAAAGTGCAGGGGGGAATTTGGGAGCCCGGAAGACAACCGGCAGTCAGAACGGCCTCAATCCAGGCCAAATGTAATATTGCTGCAAGGGTATCCTGTTGTTGATTGTACTGTTTTGAATATAGCTGAAGGTGTTCCTTGGCCGTCTGCAGGGAATATCTAGTTTATGTGCTGAATTTAGGCTCAAGGGAAAATTAAGGCGTAACTATTATTGTGCTGTGGACTGACATTGAGATTTCTAGCCGTCTCAAGGGTTCCTAGGCGTAGTGCGGGGTAATATGCGCGGGGTAATGCGATAGCGTGCACCTCCGTAATTTATACTTTTGAACTCCGCCCTCCGGATCTCCCTGAACTCATACATTTGACTCTCGTGTTTGAAATTCCACATCTCCGCACTGCCTCAATGTGCTAGATTTTTTCATTTATTTAAAGGGTCTGGATCCTCCTCCTCCCCCTCCCCCTCCCCTGTATATGACATTGTTAAAGGCAGGGTATAGCCCCATGATATAATCCTCTAATCCAATTGGACTGTCCGATGCATGTGAAGGTATATCAGAAAGTGACAAGGGAGGGGGTAGAGGGGGACCCGAGCTGTCCAGACCCGTTATACTGTACTAAGTGCCTTCAATTCCAGCGGCAGAAATACAAAGAAATAAGTCGGAGGTATTTACATGTTTAACTCAAAATGTTTACAGGTCAGATAGATTGAAGTACAAGTGATATAACAAATAAAACGCTTTCTTTCTTTGCTCTGCTGCTTTTTCCAAGTATTTTCAAGAACGTCTATTCGCTTAACTGTGGCGCCCCACTTCCGCCACAAACATTCGCTGCTTTAACGAGGCACGTGAGGAAATGCAAACGACCGCAGCCTAATGGTACCGCACCACAACCACAGAATTCTTCCTTTACGGCAGTTCTCCATGACTTTTCGAGGGCTTCTAGAAGGTTTGATTGCTCCCCTGTACATACTGATGAGACTTAGTAACAAGTAATCTGATTTTCTAGAGTCGCGACAGAAAGCTTGTACCCCGGACGTAGAGAGAATCGGACAACTCTTACATTGAGATTGATAAGAAGGTGAATCCGACCTAAAGATTTTGAGCTCACTCGATCGGACCGTATGCGAATCAAGTACGAGTATCACGCCCTTAAGTTTATATTGCCACTCGGGAAAGCTAGAGTGCTCTAGCACCCCCAAAGTAAGTTGGGACAGAACGGGTGAGTATGTGGGGCATGTACTGAGCAGCACCAGTTTTGGCACACTTGTGGTCAAGGTCTCTTCACATTTTACTAGTTGGCCCAAGAGTGATTTATGTAAAAATGATTTCGTAGTGAAATTGCTCGATCGGCCCATGTCCGTTCCGTAGACGACCAATTAAATACCGGTAGTTAACGGTCATTGGATTGAATTTTTTTAAGATCCCAAGACCAACCAAACAAGAAGTTCGTCCCATTAATCGGACATTGTACTGACCCGAAGATCCGAGATCTTATATCCTGAAAGTTGTTCACATTCAACCATTCTTTCCTCACATGGAGGAATGATCGCACTTACTTGCTTAATACGCCTTGCATCTCTAATAGAAGTACAATGTCATTTATATTTGTTGTGTTCAAATGTCCCAATCTATGTTTCAAAAGCTGGTTTTTAGGGTGATAAGGGAAGTGGCACTGGCATTAACACAACTGACATTCTAACTCTTTAACCCCGACGAAAATCGGCCGGATTTTAATTGACAGTTTTTGTTGTCATAATTCTAAGTAGAAGTTGGGTGTTTCCGACCGTTTGTTGTTGAGTTTCAATCAGTTATTTGAGCCTTGGTCTCCGGGTTAGTGCGATGTGGGGTTTGTGCGACCAGTCTCGTTGTAGAAGGAACTCGATAATCTGCTAGGTGGCAAGCTAAGGGTATTGGCGAGTTTCTTATCATAGGTGACGACTAAACAAGCCAATGGACTGCCTAGTAACTCTTACGGATATTTTCCCCCTGTACTCCACTGAAACTACACTAACAAAGTTACAATCATTATGCTTGTGACGAAGTGCTCATAGTGCTGGGATCTTACGCACAATTCCGTAATTTTTGCTACAGTTTTGTAGCTAAAAATGTCAGGATATTGCTTAGATTTACGCCGAATTTCTTAAAATGAGGTAATCCCATGGAGAAAAACTAAGGGTATACCCGAGGATATCCTTAACTTGAGGATCCTAGGTTAAGTACAGGGTTTTGCTTACAGTAAGTATAAGAACTTGATTTTATATACTCCGAGACCAATCACAGTAAAGGACCTTTTCATCTTTGCAAGATGTTTCCCACAGCCTTCACGACAGAAGTGCAACTAAAGAATAAAAACAAACTATAATTTAGATAAGGACTAGAAGCTGATCCAAATATAATAAACTTTTGCCAAGATTCTGGTTGACCTACTGATGGGAAAGAATGCCAGAAAACGTCTGCAATTCAGATGAAATCAAAAGCCGCTATTGCAAGCAAAAGCCGATGATCTCCTGACGGTGAGACGTATAACAGTTGTGTTCCCCTCGCCTACCGGAACGGTTTAATTTGATTTCACGACATCGACAAACACCCTTTTTTTCTCATCACCCAACAGACAGACAATAGATTGTTTTTGTTATCAAGTGTTTGTCATCATGTCTGAGCTAAAGGGTCGCACCCTCCTTATGACGGTCAGCGTCTTGACGTCGCTCAGTTTCTTGCTAATAGGGTTCGACAATGGATTAATGGGTGGTTTAGGTATGCATAAAATCCCTCATCTATGCCCCGAATGGTTGAATTAACCATAATCTAGTCAATGCCAGGGCTTTCAATGACACCTTCGGTAATCCAAATGCTACCATGGTTGGTTTGATCGTTGCTATATACGAGGGTATGTTTTTCATTTGAAACAACGGAGACCTTGTCTAACAACAAGCAGTTGGATGTTTTCTTGGCTCTATCGTTACGGCAGCCTATGGTGAACAGCTTGGTCGTCGCATGAGTATTGCCATTGGCTGCGTCGTTATGATTATCGGTGCTGTTCTTCAAGCAGCCTCGTATGGAAGAGTCCAGATGATTATTGCGAGAGTCGTGAGTGGAATAGGAATGGGAGCTATTAATTCAACTGCCCCAGTCTTGCAGGCCGAGTTTAGTCCAAAAGCAACTCGTGGTATCTGTGAGTTATCATTTGGTATAATAAGTATGGAAAGTTCCTGACTATTTTATAGTCGTGTGCGCCCAGCTATCAACGCTCAACTTTGGTATCTTTTTGGTCTACTGGGTTGACTACGCTTTCTCGACGCACATTGAGAGTTACGCATGGAGAGTACCCGTTATTCTACAATGTATTTTCATCATTCCTATGATGGTTATTTTATGGATCATCCCGGAGTCTCCGAGATGGCTTGCTGCTCACGACCGGCCGAACGAATGTTATGACATCTTACAAAGACTTCACTGCAACGAAGATGAATCTATCGTACAACAACTACATGGGGAAATTCTCCAAACTGTTGCATATGAGGCATCCTTTGGCAATTCATCGTGGAAGGATCTACTGAAGGAGGATGAAATCAAGAGTCGAAGGAGACTATTAATTGCTTGCGGTATTCAAAGTTTCCAGCAACTCGGTGGTATCAACGCAGTTATCTACTACTCTGGAACACTTTTCAAAAAGAGCATTGGATTTGACGACCACATGGCAGCCCTGATGTCTGGTTTCCTTCAAACATGGTTCTTCGTCGCATCTTTCATCCCTTGGTTCCTCATTGATCGCTTAGGTCGTCGACCTCTGGTAAGACTCCATCATGACCCAGAATGAGCCTTTTACTAACATACGTCAGCTACTCTCCATGATTAGTGTCATGGCAGTCGCGATGGGTGTACAATCTGCTCTAATCTATCAAGTCGAGAAATCAACGTCTGTTGCCAAATCTGCAGGCATTGGTGCCGCCGCTATGCTTTTTGTATTTCAAGGAGCTTTCACCATCGGCTTCCAGGCTACCGTATGGGTCTATCCGTAAGCACAGCCCTTCGAGAACTCGATTGACCAAGACTAATTTGCCTTAGATCTGAGATTCTCCCACTTCGAATTCGCCAGCGCGGCTCATCTATTTCCACTGTCAGTATCGATGCAAAGCCTATCAGTATACAAATGCTAACTAATAAATAGGCTGCAAATTGGATATTCAATTACATGATTGTTCAGATAACCCCGATCTCCATTGACAACATAGGCTGGAGAACCTATATCATTTTCGCTGTTTTGAACGCATGCTGGGTCCCTATTATATTCTTGTTCTTCCCCGAAACCAAAGGACTTGAGCTGGAGGCTGTGGATGCTTTATTCTCGGAGCGTGCAGCAGCGAATCTATTTGAGGCCGAGGTCGAGAAGAGTGACAGTTTGGGTGAGGTTGAAAAGTTTGCTAGTAAGGATTTTCACGCGGAGCGTGTTTAGAAATTTGGATACGCCAGGATATATGGTCGCTAATTACACGAAGTCGCTTAGAAGGTCGCATCTGAAACATGCTTTGGGGGGTGCAAGGAGCCCAAAGATTTGGGGTTTATGTCGCGGGCTAGCTGGGGCGTTGAATCATTGAAAGAAGAGTTTACTGGTGGATAAGATGTTCCCCTCAAGCGGGACAATGCGATACCTCACGAAATTATACCTATGTACTATAGTTACTTACTGCCGGGCATATCACGAAAATAATATAGATTTAATGGATTTTAGAGCAAATAACTTATATTTATCGTGCTCCAGTGGAATAATAACTACGAAAATCATGTCTTGAGGTGACGGATATTATGGATGCAAGTACAGGTTTAGATCGTATTGAGCATTATGTATGAGTTTCTCCCTTTTCCGTACGTGGAAGCATTTCCCACAATGTCCTTGGTGAGAATTGGAGAAAGAGTCGTTTCCTCACAATCTCAAATCTGAGAAGCAATCGACTTATCATGCTCCTGGGTGAAGCTGAAACTTAGAGGATCGTCGAGTTTGGCAGGCTAATTCGGCAGAATTCCGTGATCAAGTTTGATTCCTGAACTTAATCTCAGACTGACAAGCGAGAATAAGGGGTCTTCATAATTTTAAAACCAATTCGAAAGAGAACTAGTACAGAATCTGGGGAGTTATATCAGGACTCCCATGTCTACGTCCTGGTCAATGATACCAAAGATCTAACCCCCTCTTTGGGAATTCCCGACACTATTATTTTTGCACATGGTCTACAAGCTAATCGACTCAGTTGACCCCATCGGTGTTGAATCATGGCGGAGATTTTACAAAATACGGGACTTGGATCTCGTGGAGTCGAAAATTGACTTAGTGGGACAATATGGTTCTGAATTGGGCCATGAGTTCCTTCTTAAGTTGGTCTCAAACTTGGGAAGATGAAGTTTGAGATGAAATATGGGCTTACTCCAAAACCACGATCTTTGTTAAGTCAAAGGCATTGTCGAGTAATATGATTGATATCAAAACTACCTACACGTAACCGAACTTGCTTCAATACAGTTACAAGTGCATGTGATTGATTGATTAGGGATTTATTGAAAATTCTAGTCACCTAGAGTTTTAGCTATGCGGTACCTTAACTTACGTAACAGTACGGCGGAGTATTGTTGAGTTGCGGTGTTAATAATCTACGAAAGTATACAGTACTCGGTAAAATGAATATGCGCAAACTCCTAAGTCCACGAATTTGTGTTTACGAACAGTTCGATTCAAAGTTAATAAGGGTATTAGAGGTATCTTCAACACTCAAAAATAAATCTACTCATTCTTGTCAATCTGTCTATTCACTGCGTTTAGGTTAATGAGTTACGTGTCTCACGTATGTCAAAGTTTGGGATACTGGAAAATGAATTGGGAATTTGGGCTGATGTCTGAATTTGTCTAAGTTATTCTTGTGAGGGGGAGATGGATTCCAATGTAATATGCAAGATGCAAAAGCTGATGGTTTCGTCTGTAGATGACTAGGCTTTGGGGACGAGCTCAATGGTGCCGCCGTCACCGACTCTATTTCTCAGTTTCCGGGATTCAATTATCAAGTCTTGTCGCTCCTCCAGAAAGAACCATATTTCAGGATCGCCGAATAAGTCCGTATCTACATCCCAATCTTTCAACTGTTGCAGAGACGGTTGCCAGACGTCCAAGTACATGGAGTCGATAACACTTGCTTCAACACCCTCCACATGCCAAGATACAACTCTTTTGAAGAATGCAGAGACCAGTAGAAATGAATCAAGGAAACATGGACCATGACCACCCAGAATACCTTCACCCCCGAGGGAAGGGTGGACATACTCCCTGCAACATTCGCCTTGACAAGATGCTTGCGAGACAAATGCATGAGCCATTTCATGAAGTAGGCCACCAACATGGAATTGCGCTTGCGTTCCTGGGTAAGCATGCTCGCATAATTTAAAACCGTCAGGTAACATTACAATGGTATCTTTATCTGACATATAGAACGCACACTCCTCGACGCCTTCAAAGTTTCCCACGATGATTTTGGTCTTCGTAAGAGTGCCAGCAAAAAACCAAGTATTGAAGATATTGAACCATTGGTCCATAAGCTCAGACACTTGATCAACGGTACTCGCTTCGGGCAGTGGACTGCGAATTGTTTCGAGCATCTCCGGGGTAACCTTATATGTCTGTTGAACGAAAGCTAGGAAACGAGGGAGTTCCAGAGAGCAATACTGCTTTTCCAATGCCAGAGTGCCTTTAGCGAAGTCGTTCAAAATGCGAGGATGGTCCCCTGACAGAATCTCATTGGCATCAAGAGCTACATAATGTGGGACTTCCGTTCCGTTGCTCAAAGTTGTGATTTTTGGTTTGGGTCGTTGTATATGGTTAGATGACAGGGGCGGGTTTTTGCCCTTGCATGAAAAGAACCTCTTAATTCTATGCATTGTACGTCTCATAATGCAGAAGTGTCAAAGTAGCGGTGAACGATGAGAAGGGGGGGATAAAGTTGCTTACACTAATATAAACATGATTAACTTGTTTCCATCTGTTCTTAATCAGAATATGACCTGTTTACTCAAACAATAAGAATAAAGAGAGAGTAGCGACTTTATGATAGTCTGATACAAATTTCAAGAAACAAAAGGCGTCGAAGATTGAAGTATGGCTTTGTTCACGACAAAGAAATAACTGCGTGGGATGTAACAGGCTGCGTGAGCCTTGATAGATCTCCTATAGCTGGGAACAGAGACATTATTGAGTGAATCAGTGATCGCAGATCCCTCGACCATTTATTGTAAAATGTTCTAGTTTATGTATAATGACATTCTGGGCAGAAACTTGAAATGTCAGAATTGTGTAAGAATGAGGGTACGGGTACTGCTTGCTTACAAAATTGAGTATATCTAATATAAATAACGTCAATGAATCATCTAGAGCTCTTGACATCCACCTTTCATTTCCCAACAATCATCTCCTCCTGCTCGATAACCATCAAGATCCCCCCTCCGGCCACGGCCGCCGAGGTCGCAGCAACGAGTCCAACCCCTATCAGATTTGGTCTGAACAGATTCTTCTTCAAAAGATTCAATGTAACAAAATATCTCAAAGTTCCGTAGCTGAGACACCCAGTCCCAGAACCCACGAGTGCAGCTGAAGGGATCTTGAGATCTCCATGGTCATGTTTCATAGCCGGAGATAAGGCCTCCAGAGCATCAAGTTTTGCGAGAGCTACTCCCAGGGCTACGAACCCTAGTCCAGTACGTGTCCAGCTGAGAAATATACGTTCATTGACGAGATGATCCCGTGCAACAGATCCAGTATTTGGAAAGGGTGGAGAATGAATGAATTTAAAAAGGCGAGACATATTGGCAAGAGATAAGCTAATTCCGTGCAGTTGAAACAACAGTTTTTTCAGGGCGAGAGCAGATCTCAACAACTCGCGATCATGGGCGATATCGAAAACATTGAAGAGCTTTTGTATGGGTTGTTAGCTGAGAAAAGAGACCTCCGGAATTTGGGCACCACCAGGCACTTCCAAGGATGATGTTGATATAACACGTGATCAAAACGTGACTATTGAACCTGGGAGACTCATTGTACTTCTGTTTCTCACGGGTGGAATACGAATGTTGGTGAAACATGACCATAATTAGTATCGTCGTACTGGTGTGCAAACTCTGAATCTTGAGTGTTGCTTATCGAATTGATTCTTGGATCATCCAGTTTGATCCCATGGACTAAGTCAAAAAACCACTATCCTGGCCAAGTGAAAATCGAAACTGATAAACATATCCAATGGAGGTGTGAACCTTGTCTATGATGTTCCTAGGAAGACTTCGACTAACGTCTCTAGTATAAGTCAGTCGATGACTCTAGGCTCTGCCGCATTTGTTCCACTCTCAGCCTGGACACTTCCGACTTCTTGCGGTCACCTCTCGACCCATCTCCCAGAGACATACTCATCCCATCTGCAACAATAGTAGGAGAAGTATCTCCAATCAACGATAAATGCTGGAAGACCAGAGAACTTTGTCTAGATGACATTCTGCGAAATGCCCCCTCCTGTCCATTTTGCAGGCTACTTGCACGTCACCTCAAGAGGAAATATGTCAACAATATTCCCTTCAGCTGCCTAACAGCTTCACTATCAGGTCTTTACCTGCAGCCTGATGGCTCTCCTATTAGCAATGACTATACGTTTTCTCCTGGTCACTATGTACCGGATTTGGACCTTTGCACCCAAAATACTCTTACACCCAAAGCTTACCGAAGGATACAACTGATACGCCAAGTTCCTAGAGGCTTATCGATACGTGCACATAAAGATGAGCAATACAAAGTATGCAATGCGGAAATCAAAATATACCAACCCCCAACGCTATTTCGTGATTCAGAAAGCTATCCTCCCCCAAAGGCTTTGCTCGTACGGAGTGATTCGTCGGATAGCTTGCATTGCGCGAGAAAGATCCATGGAGAGCAAGTTGACTTAAGCCTTGTGAAGAAGTGGATTTCGGTTTGCGAGAAAGGACACAAAGGATGCTTATCTCTAGGAGACTTTGGACATATCGGAAGAGACCAATTGAGCAAGAACGTTCACGGACTAAAAGTCATCGATGTTTTACAGCGTATGGTTGTCACAGCACCCCCTGATTGCCGATATGCAGCGTTAAGCTATGTATGGGGAAAAAGTCCAGTGCAATTCCAAACAATGAAGGCAAACCTTGCTATTGTCTCCTCATTTCTAGGACTGGATGCGCTCGGTGTTCATATTCCGCAAACTATAACCGATGCAATGACCTTGGTCTATGGAATTGGAGAACGCTATCTATGGGTTGACACTCTTTGTATCGTCCAGGATGATCTTGAAAGTAAGTCTTATTGGATTGCCGAGATGGCTTCAGTTTACCGTCGGGCTTTAGTATCGATTCTTGCTGCTTCAGGTGAAGATGCAAATGCAGGTCTTCCTGGTATTAGACCAGGAAGCCGGAAGAAAAGAGATCAAATCATGGAAGAGGTCAAACCAGGCGTGCAACTTACGGTAACTGAGGGGCCTACCACGGGTTGGGATCTCACTGAAGGGACTGTTTATAGGTGAGTAATGACCTTGGGCCCTGGGGTTCCCTTATGTACACAGCACAAAGCCTCTTCTTGCTGGGCGACAATAGACTGACTTTCAAAACTTGGTAATCTAGCCAGCGCGCGTGGACGCAAGTATACCCCTATTCCTATATTGTACAAAACTAACCGTTGATAGATTTCAGGAGAGATTACTATCAAGGCGCAATATTATTTTTGGAAAGGACAAGACCTCATTCGAATGTTCTCAGACTAGATTTGAGGAAGAGATAATATACGAGCACGAGGACTTCACTTACCAAGATCATGAAGCGTTTGGACTCAATCAAAGTATCCCATTAATGAGGCTCAACGCATCAGTTTTCATTGATCAAACCTACTCATTTTCACACCCATTGCACAACAACTATATACAGATCATGTGCGAGTATAGTAGGAAGATTCTTACACACGAAGGCGATATCTTGAATGCTTTCGCAGGAATCTCCCGTGTACTCTCCGCAGATATGGAATCGCCGTTTCTTTACGGCCATCCGGTGCGATTCTTTGATCTGTCACTCCTATGGCAATGGAGTTTTTCACAACAAGTTCTTGAAAGGAGACATGGCTTTCCTAGCTGGTCATGGAGTGGGTGGCTAGGTGAAAAAGACTGGAGTAAATCCAGAATCGGAAACGAGGAGATCTGGCAAAAAGAGTACAGCTTTATTGTTTGGAAAGTTTCGGAGAGTCGTGATGAGATTGCAAACGGCAGTATGTTGTCTTCGGCGATCCGCCGACCGGGTCGAAGTCCGGATGAGGTCCTGGGTGGCACTCGGAATTTTGGACTAACACAAATCTTGCCATACCAAGCCGGATCAGGAACTGAATTATTTAGAAGACTTTACTTACATACGAACTACTTTACAATATCAGCACCATCTAGTATTTCGGTCTTTATCTTTGAGGTTTCTAGTACGCCTCGATATTTGGGGTCTTGTCTCATCGAAAGCCCCTACAACTGACCTCTTCGACCCTGGGAAACACGAATTACACATACATGGAAAGGCTGGGGAACATTGCGGGAGGCTATTTCATGGTTGTGCGAATCACGCAATGATGGCGGAGATGGCACTCGGAAAGAAGGTGCTGTGCGATTTCATCGTTTTATCTGTGGGCGAATGCGATAAAGATTGTATCCGGCATTACCCACGTGAAGAGAAGGATTGTCTCGCGCTCAATGTCATTGCCGTGGATTGGAAGGAGGGCATAGCCGAACGGATAGGAATCGGAATCATTTTTTTGCATACTTTGGAAGAAGATTGCTTGGAGCCAGGACCTTAGTGGAGGGAGATTATTCTCGCTTAACCCACATGAAACATTAACCTAACGTTTGGAATAATGCACTTCATTAGTCTAAATTTTGAGGTTAGTCACCTAACTTCAAAGTGGCATTCCATTCTGGGTCAATTTACAGAACACTAGAGCCAATTCCTTCAAAATCATCGATCGTGATAGGTGGTAGATAAAAGCAAACTTTCTCTTAGAATACATCATCTCGGCTATTAAGTTCGATCGTTCAAAGCCCCTAAAACAAACTATAGAAAAGACTGTCCCGAGAAGAAAGCCATGGCTCTCGCCGTGAACTATAAATCGAAATCATGTTCTGCTACCACATTACTATTATTGCTACCGTATTAATTGGAATACAAGATAACATCTGTGAATAAGATAAATGGTTATATAAAAGAAAGTTCTAATCTCTCAAGATATCCATATTTTATAAGTCTAGCCAATTAGATAGCTAGGATCCAAATCGCTTTATTTATTATTAGTTTTCGAGCACTTATTCCACCACCAACACATGCTCTAAATCGCTTAGGATTAAAGGGTTATACTGTCAAAACTTGGTTCTAAAATTGGCACACAAAAAATTCGCATATAAGTTACATGAAAAGTAAGGCTATTCCTCCTATATTACCCCGCGTATTTACCCCACTATCCTATAACCACCACTTGGAATGATTTTGAGTCCTATCCCTTGCCCTATTCTTAAAACAAGAATCTTAGACGTGGAAGGGGTTTAATGATTGAACAGGTTGGACGTGGTTGGGGGTAAAACATATGGATAAGGACCCAACCACCCAGAAAAAGTGGGGCAATTCTTTCTATAATATACTAATTTTCTAATAAAATAAGGTTCGATTTAGCCTCTAGACGAACTTTTTATTTGTAGAATGTTATCTTATATTCCAATAAATACGGTATTTCAAGAACCCAAGCTCGCAATTTTACTATCGCACTTGCTTATAAGCTCACAAATTACCTGGCTCTTGGTGGACAAGAAAAGTGGCAGAGATTCATTTTTTAAGTATTAGCGTAAGTTAATTTCAAGTACTTAAAACTTTAAAATATCTAGAACAATTACCTTTGTTATACTATCGTTTTAGATAAATCATTTGAATTAATCTAAATAAAAGATGTAATATTATAGTTTTTAGTTAAGTTAGGCTAAGATAAAGAAGGTCTCTGCAACTTTTCTTGTCTACCAGAAGCCTGGCATAAAATGAGGGTACGAGTACGAGTGTCGAGAGCATTCAAAGATACATTTCACTCGGTGAAGTTTCGGGTAAGCTAAATTACTCTGGCTAATCGGCATACAGTTGTGGGTGAGGTTTAGCATTACTGTACTTGTACGGTAGTGGGAGTCGCTTACTCAGAAGCGGGGTAGCATCCCAATCCACTTGAGCCTCTTAGAATCTACTTGAGGATCATACAAAGCCGATCTGTCTCACAAACTGTAATTGTACTCTATTTCAACTTCAGATTCTTGGCCTACCAACTGAGTCTACAATTGAACTCATTACCCCTCGTTGCCCTCCCTTCTCCTCGTAGGCTCAAACTACCCCAACATGACAGAAGCTGGCTCTAAGTCTGTTAAACTCAACAATGGCGTTTCTGTAAGTAATCTAGATTTTACATCTTTGTTTTCTTTTCTCTCTCTCGCTTGTATATTACTTCGCTTTATCATATAAGTTACCCCCTTCGCCATAAGACACCCCTTCTCGACCACCAAGGCTATCAATAAAACCAGGAGACAATGACTGATCAACCTATTATCTAGATACCATCTCTAGGATTCGGTACCTTCGCCGGTGAAATAGTCCCAGGTGAAATGTACGCCGCAATAATCGCCGCCCTCGACGCAGGATATAGACATTTGGATAGTGCCTGGTTGTTCGTACCCTTTTCCATCCCCTCCTATTTGATTTATCTATCAAAATCTCACATCCCCTTGAAAAAAAAAAAACAGTTACAAAATCGAATCCGAAGTAGGCCGAGCGCTCAAAGACTGGCTGGATGCCAACCCCAAGTACAAAAGAGAAGATATCTTCATCACGACTAAAGTTTGGCCCCATCTCATGGAGCCCGAGGATGTGAAATGGAGTTTGGAAACTTCTTTGAGGGATATGGGAATTGATTATGTGGATGCGTTTTTATTTCATTGGCCGTTTGCGGTAGAGAAGACGGAGGAGAGGGAGGTAAAAAAGGATAAGGATGGGAAGGTAAGCCAACTTCCTCTCAAAATAAACCATAGAGTTTAAAAATGTGACGCGAGAAGTCATAATGATGAGATCTAACAAAAAAAAAAGTACATCCTAAACCACGAACGCACATCCAACCTCCTCCCAGCGTGGCGCGCAATGGAATCCCTCCAAACCTCAGGAAAAGCCAAAACCATCGGGGTATCCAATTTCACCGTCGCACATCTAACCAATCTCCTCTCCTCAGCAACCATCAAACCAGCCATAAACCAGATCGAAATCCATCCCTATTTCCCCAACACGGCGCTTGTGGATTTCTGCCTTGCCAACGATGTGATGCCGGTGGCCTACTCACCTCTCGGATCCCAAAACACAAAAACGGATCGGTCCGTTCTGGCGGATCCGGTACTGCAGGAGATGGCGCGGGAGAAAAGGTGTGAGGTGGCGCAGATCTGTATTGCGTGGGGGCTGAAGAGGGGATACGTGGTGATTCCTAAAAGCGGAAATCCTGCGCGGGTACGGAAGAATTTTGAGGTTGTGGAGCTGAGTGAAGAGGAGATAGAGAAGGTGGGTGGGGTTGCGAAGACGCTGGGGAATGGAGATGTGGGGAAGCGATATGTGAATCCAGTGGGATTGTTTGGATTTGATATTTGGGCTTTTTGGGAGAAGAGCTGAGAGCTCAAGATAATTAGGAAGGGTGAGGCGAAGCACAATGGACTACCTCGGGCTTATTTTAGAGACTGAAGCTTATATTTGCCAGAGGACCTATTCTACCTCTGATGAGGTGAGACGGCGTAGAATACGGCATCATAATCCACCATGATCGAACAATGAAGGCGAATCTCGCTTTTTGCAGTCTCTTCCAATGGCTACGAAATCAAGCCTCACGTTCACTTGCAACTCAGAGAGACTTTATGTAGAATAAGCAAAAATAAAAATTCCTATAACGCCTATCCGACCATGATAACCTTGTATGCTAACCAGCCTTCCACATGAAGTGCACACTTTATGATCCAAGTAGATTGTCGTTGTTCTCGTTGTTATACATCTCCGACGTCGTGGCCACCTCAAATACGAAACCATGTTGTTTTGCATACAAACCGAAGCCCCTCGGTAGGAATTAACACTCTGCCACTCTCTACATTCGATCCAAAGTTAGTGACCCGTCAATTGCTGTTATGATGAAGGATATCTACTAACCCCTTTGCCACACGACTCCTCACATTCTGCGAGGTGCTGTTTTTCTATTTTTCTTGCTTCTAGTACTCCGGGTGCGGGGACAGCTGCTACGATGCTGACGGAAGCAAGGCAGAGGGGGGACATAATGAGGGCGAAGAACTGCATATTGAAATATTGAGAGGAGGGTCTTGTTGTATTGGTAATGGATCGGTTATGAGAAGGCTTTTAATGAATTGATTTTTTGTTTGTTCGCATGTAATTTGGGGGATCCTGTAGTGTTTATGCTTGTAGTAGGATATGCCAAGGTTCACGTCAAGGCTCGTCCCAAGAATAGTGTTCCCACAAAAACATCTCGCTTAATCCTAGAGTTGTCTGAGAATGTTTGATATCCTGGATTGTCACAGCCAAGGGGAAAAAGTACTTCGTCCCGGGCATAATACTTCGTAATTGTAATTTTTACTGGGGGGACTCGCCCTGTACACTAATAAAGCTACCCTAGGAAAGTTGGATTTACCTCACCAAACCACCTTAAAAAAAAATACTTCGTAACTAATAAATTTTACTTACCGGTAAGACTTATCACTAGGATACTCACTATAAGGATATCCCAGGTTATACCCTTGACTTTTATAGCCCCAACTTTTATTAGTAGCACTTAAGAATATCCTAGTCATAAATCTCGTGTGACAGAAATGAGTGAGTTACGCCATTCTCTCTTCCTGGATGCCTTGCACGTGACTGAAGATAAATTTTTATAAATACAACAAATAAATAATACATAATTTAAGAAGAGAAAAATAAAGAGAAGGGATCCGTAAATCCAGAGAATGAAAAACAAAACCGGGAACCTTTTAAATCTCAACCAAAAGACCAATCCAACCCTCGAACCCCGGTAAACCAAAGCAACTCAAATAGGTAATAATACAAAAGGGAGAAATAGAAAACAACAAACGCAAGAAATCATTTAATAGTCAACCAAGAAGAAAGCTTCGAACTCATATCATCAATCTCCTCACTCCCAGCAGTAGAACCCGACCGTCTCGAAGAGCGCGATCGCGATGAGCCAGAAGGCACATCCAGTTGACGCGACCCATACGTGGAAGCAGGTCGCCGTTTATACGTTTTAGGCAACTCGGAGACCTCTGTGGCCAAGCTCTTGATATTTTGCCAGGTAGATGTCGGGGGTGATTCTTCTCGCTTATGGGAGTGCTCTCTTCTTCTTGGGCCGGGAGATCTTGGTCGTCGCTTGCCACTGGGTGAATGCTCCTTTCTTCGTGGAGCGGATGTGGGAGATATGGGCCCGCGACTGGTTGATCTGCTTGAAGTGGAAGAGGAGAGACCTTGGTTGCTGTGTGGATCGCTGTGGACGGATCGGGGGCGGTTGGAATGGCTGATATCGCGAGTTCCGGAGTATTGATGCATGAATGCATAATCGGATTCTTTGACCGTGAGGTTTGCATCGTAGAATTGTTCCTGTGGGAGTCCAACCTGGGAGGTGGGATCCATGTATGACTGGTAGTTGTTGGAGTATACTTCAGAGGTAGGAACGTCGAATAAATATTGGTCGTTCATCCAGTTAGGATCAAGCAGCGGGTCATCTGGAAGAGGCAGATGATCAGTGGCAAGATAAACATCCTGATATGAGACTGTGACGGGCAGATTTGAAGCAGTGTAATTATCGTAAGAGTCAAGTTGATTGAAAGTAGACGAGAAATCCTGCGAAACGAATTCATTAATGGGATATGGCGTGAGTGTGCTGTTTGGATTCTCGGAACTGGCATGGACTTGACTGCTAGTATATCCTGGAATCAACGTTGGTGACTGAAAACTAGTCGATGTTTGCCCTAGCATGTTGCTCGAGACATGGCTTTCATCTACTGCAGAACTCGTCGTATCGGCGCTTAGCGGTCTCTTACTTCCTTTGGATCTCCGCGCCCGCGATTCCCGCTTCTTCACAGCTTGTCCGTTGTTTGGACATACTTCTGGGTCACACTGCTGAAGTCAGAAAAGACTCAATACGGCTGTTCATACAGTTTAGACATTTTTTTCAATATCACTTAGAATCATCCCAATGATATGACCATAGTCGAGATACTGAAATACTCGCAAGCCTTGAGAAACAGGGGCAAAAGACATACCTTGACTCTTCGTCGCCTATGCTCTTCACAAGCATGGCCTCTATTCGCACGCACTTGTTCTTTCTCTTCATCCCCATAACGACGTTTCTTCTGTTTTTCTTTGAAGCCTTGAACCTCAGGATTCCATGATAAGATCTTCAGATCAGCTTCATCTTCAGACGAACTAGCTCTCCTGCGACGATGAGAATCCGTTGATTTTGAAACTCGAGAGCTGCTTGAAGTGGGAACCCCGAGGGATGTACCATAGGATGGTCTTGCAGGCCTCTCATCGGGAACAACTGAGTAAGAAGCAGTATCCTTAACGTGACTGGACTTCCTATTCGACACCTCAACATGGGAGGACGCAGCTTTTTGCGATCGATGTTTCCCCGAGGACGTGTATTCTGCATGTTCATCTGACTTGAATACCGATACCCTGGGGGGAAGTGGAGGTGGCTCGGAAACTTTCGGCGCCGAACTGCGGCTTATTCTGCTCCTCTGACTAGAAGATGATTCTTCGCTTTGAGGAGGTAAGCGTCCAGTCGTTGATCTTCCCCGCGAGCCGCTTTTCGACGACTCTCGAGATTTTCTTTTCTCTTCGCGTAAGAACTCCTGAAAAGTGGCTTGCATCATGCCTTCAATGCTTCCCTTTGTCGGAAATTTATTACTCAGTGCTACCGCAAGTTCCTTGGAACCTGCGGGAGGTTCGAATTGCAAGGAGAGGTCGCTTCCATAATACACGCGGTATGTTGGGTCTTGAAAGACTGAGCTTTCGCGAGAGTATGAGCTCGAAGGGCTACGGTGACTGGACGAGCGAGGCATATTGTTTGTGGTTGAAGAACCAGTGAGGTATTCCGAGAATCCGGAATGGAACGAAAAATGAGTGAGGCGTTGTAACGACAGAAAAGAGAGACAAGAAACTTTTGAGGAAAAGACTGTATAGAAAACAATAGCCGTGGTCAACTCAAGCTCTCTCTCATGGCCGAGAAACCATGACTTTTATATATCGAAGATTCGAAACCAACTTTTCGCCAATTAGGGGGCTATTGGGGTCATCTTGGGGTCATCTTGGGGTCCAAAAACATCACGACGCTCAAATCACCGAGCTGAGGCACTCCGAACCCAGAAACGCAAGCGAGGTCCATCGAATCACACTCTCCAGATCCTCTCTCCCAAATGCACGTCTAAGCCCTACGCAGTGTAACCCCGCAGGAAGTATACTTGTCCAGCCTATCGCGATGGATACCAGAGCTGGACCAAATTGTAGAGTTGCATACAATCCCGGCAGCCTCATGGTCCGGGCGGGGTATGGGTACCTCGAAATGGGCTTGCTGCATCCTTCGACATCACTCATTTCTCCCCGTCTCTACTTGCACTGGCTCGAGACTGGTGCTTGGGCGTGCGAAGGATCATCTCGCGTATGTTGGAGTTGGCTGCCCTCCCCTGTGCATTCGCTTCCCTCCATTCGGGGGATAGGACCGACCTCGCTCGCCTCGCCAACGTTCCTTCGATAGCGGAAGCGCTTGTGGCCCCAATCAGAGACAAGCACAGAGTCAGGATTGTCTAGATGAGGCTGATAAATAAGACCGGAACAGTCCATTCTTGTGCTCGTTGCTAAGATAGAATCAGCCGGGTAAGCAGAGTATATTATCGGTAACGGAAACTGTAGAGCACATTACTGTAAATATAAAAGAAGCACTGCAAGTCATAGGGCTGTGTCAGAAGGTTGTGTAACAATATTCGTATTGTCACCCGTCGTCTTATCTACATAGGCACCTTTGCATACCTACTTTCTTCCCCAATGATTGACTTTGGCCCCCTTCTACCTTGAAAACGTGTTTATGTGAGGCCGCACAACCAGAGGAATGCAGAAGAGAATAAGCATTAAACGCCACCCCGTTCAATTTCAAAAGCTCCTTTCCAATTGGAAAGTTAACCATTATACAAGAAGAGTAAATTAAAACCAACACCATATTTAAACAATGCATGCCTAGCCCCTTTTATCGCCAAAATGCAACCCCGTTCAAGCTCCCAGATAAGAGAATTTAGAACCGATGAGCTCCGCCGCTGCCATTACTGTGGTGGCCTGGTAGTGGGGGCCCAGTTTCACCATCGAAGAGATCCTCAAGAAATGCACTTGGTGCTCTTTGCTCTCCGCTATACCCTTGTGTTAGATTTAATGTACTGCTCGAGGCCATATTCCCTCGACTTCCGATCAATGAAGGACTTTCAGGGGGCGAGGGCCTTCCGTAATTTCCTGAAGTAGGTCCCAAATTCGACATGGAAATGTTAGATCCGTGTTGCCCGATAGATATATGAGATTGTGAATTTCCTGGTGAGGAATTCCCAGCTGCATAGTAGCCTGCTGGAAGGTAACTTGACCCTCGGTTTCCAACGGTGTTGAGTCCTCCTCCGGCTGCACCGGCGGTTGGGGAAAAGAACAGTGAACTAGCATTTGCAGCAGCACCTGAACCAGTTGTTGGTCGAGCACCTTTCTTCCCTCCTTTTGCTCCCAGTCCAGATAAACTGATGGTAGAATCTCGCTCGGGGTGGTCCTTATAAAATGGAGCTGCGGGAGTACGGAATAGTGCCTTACTATCTGACATATTTTGTTGCATAGCCGCACGTTTGACGGAGCGATGTAGAGACCATGCTACCATGGCACGCCAGAGAAGAACACTCATCGCCATGAAGCCCAGAATGGCACCAACCACGATGAACACGGTTCCCTCGGGGAGATGTGAGGATTGCATATATGGAGCATTTTGTGTTGGTGGAACCGATGCTGGCACGACGCTATATTGCCCTCTCAGTGTGGGTAGTCCTGTAGGCAGTTCACCTCCATCTGTTGCGGTTGCCGCACCCGTAATGCTTGAAGCTGCTACCGAAGCGCCCGTCGTACCACTTCCTGTGATGTCACCCGTTGATTGCACTGGAATCGAAGTACTCGCAGGTGCCGCATCTGTTGTTGCTGCTGCAGGCGGAGGTGGAGCTGCTGTGTTCGATTCTGCACTCGTCGGTCCAGCTGGCGCGGCCGTCGCAAGGTTTGGCAGGTCCGCATTACCTTGTGCTGCTGCGTTTATCGCGAACAAGGCGAGCTGAGCCAGCGATGTTCCTCGTAGCAGTCTCATCGTGATGGCGGACCGCAGAACTTTCGATGGCTTGCGATCAGGGTTCGTCCCAACGATGGACTCGAAACAAGGACAGGTCTGTGGACTGTGTTTGTATTGCGTAGGCGAGGGCGGAATCCTGCGCAACTCCCGTTGTTTGTTGTGAGCGATGGACGAGAGGGGTAGGCGGCGCCCAGAGTCGAAGAATAACAAAATGAGGCTATCCCAAACTGTTAGGATTACTGATGCTGAGGATCAATACATGCAGTTGACGGACATGGAGTTGTGTGAGTCCTGTTCCCTAGGCCGGTTGTTTGTCCAACGTGATCTGGTGAGGAGAGGCCTGTTTTCCGTTTTCTGCACCCCAGGGAGGGGAGGCTTGATCGACCCGGCGCCCAAGATTGCAGGTGCCCTCGCTTCTTGACAAGGGGCAGCAAATATGGATGGGAATGGGAATGGGAATGGAACGGAGAGTGCACCACAACACTTTCCGTGGCGAAGGAGAATAGTATTACAAGTGAATAAGAAATAGAACGAGTGTCGATGCCCAGTGAAGGAGTTGTAAACCAGAAAAGGAGAATGAGCGAGCGTACCTACCGGTTCTTGTACCTAGCTTACTCGTACGTACTCTACTCCGTATTCAGTCCACCTCCACCTCCACCTGCACCTGCACTTGCATTCGCTCTGACCTCCAAATACTACTTTCCCTATCTCAGCCTAGCGGTTATTGAGTACGACTCGCTTGCGAATTATTAATAGCATTTTCGCCGCCCGCCACCAGGCCAACGATGAGCGTGGAAACGTGATTGCAAAAGCGGTGAAGGTGGCAGAAAATGTACAGTTAGAGAAATTCTTCGGAAGTACGAGTAGAGAGAGCTCCATTATCGCTATCGTGGATGAACACTCAACAAGGTCAATACCACCCAACTAATCAGCGCATACATTTTATTTGAAGCTGCATTAGAATTGCCATCGCGATCATGGGTACCGCGAAAAGAACCCGCAAGTTCGGCGCTGTAAGTCTTCCATTCTCCCCGCATTCATCGCAGATAGCTAACCCCTCATAAAGGTAAAGCGCATAATCGGGCAAAACGACGCCCGCCTGAAGAAGAACCAAGCGAAAGCGGAGGAGGAAAGTAAGAAGAAGGAGCAGAAGGGCAATGAGGTGATTCGCGAAGTGTAAGCTGCCCTGGTTCCCCAACAATTCTTCTCGGGCCATAGCTAACACCATACAGTCCACAAGTATCATCCGCCCTGTTCTTCCAATACAATACCGCACTCGTCCCACCATACTCCATTCTCGTCGATACCAATTTCCTCTCCCACACGGTTCAGCGCAAACTTCCTCTCCTCGAAACTCTCATGGATACATTCTACGCAAAGTGTATCCCAATTATAACCAGCTGTGTAATGGCCGAACTCGAGAAGCTGGGTCCGAAATACCGAATAGCGCTACGAATCGCAAGAGATGAAAGATGGGAGCGCTTACAATGCGATCACAAGGGAGTCTATGCAGATGATTGCATTGTGGATCGAGTGGTCAAGAGCAGGGTGTACGTGGTTGCGACGAACGATCGAGATCTGAAGAGAAGGGTGAGGAAGGTTCCAGGTGTTCCGATTGTCAGTGTTGCTAGAGGTAAATATGTGGTGGAAAGACTGCCAGACGCTCCCGAAAAGTAGACGTTGGTGGGATCTCGAAGTACATGAAAAGATTGGCATTTAAAAGGAGTTTTGGGTGGCGTTTCGGAATCGAAATCATGTTGGTGATGGCGTTGAATGGCAATACCATCGGTGGAATATTTTCCAGCTTTGCTCCATTAGTAAAACAATAAGTTGCGAGAACTGCAGGTGAGTATCAAAATCTACGCCCTTGTGGAAAATATGGAGTGGCGTTGGCGCAAGAATTATATCGCCAGGGCGTCAATTGACCGCAGAAAAGATTTTAAAACGAAAATTGGTTATCTTAATACATCTCGTGTCACAATTGGTGAAATGCTGCATTCATAATCTACTGGAGCCCTGAGTGCCCATCTTGACAGCTATAATCTAATGATTCATGCGGACACCCGTATCAGAACTCGTAGACCAAAACTCATGTGATATGGCACAGTAACTGGAAGCGTTTTGTGATTTAAAAAGGGGGTCTATTCATCCTCGCTAGTCTTCCCTCAAATCCAGTCCCATGCAACCCTGACATACCAGGCCGAAAGGAAACCCAAGAATACAATATCTTACTTAATACACGCATCGTCGTGAGTCAATCATACATTCAAACTCCAGTCCTATACCATTCCATTCCACTGAACTGAATCCATTATAAAATCTACTGTGCCTTCTTCTGTGCTGCAGGTCCCATCTCCTTGTCAAAAGCTCCATATGAAACTTCAAGACTGGAAATAGCGCTAATGCCAACACCTAGAATTGAAAGAAGTAGAACTGTGACTAAGAGTCCCATAAAAAGACCTGTGAAATGATTAGCGATCATTCTCCAAACTGGAAACACAAGAAGACGAAAAGAACAAACCTGGAGTAAAGTATTGATATTTCTCGAACAAGGGTCTTCTGTCAGGTCCTTTCTCAGACTTGCTTTCTCTTGTCAAGACGTTTCTCTTCAAGTCCATGTGGACTGGCTCCTGGAATTCCGCTTCGTAAATAAGACCTTCGTGTGCTGCTACAGTTGATGGACTGGTGCCGACTACCACAGTAAACTTGGTTCCCTTAGGTAGAACGTTGAATACATGGCTGAATAAATAGGCATCTGTATCGCTTGTTAGCAGTGCTACAAACCGTTTATCATGCCCTCTCATGGAATGAATAGTCGCAAACATACCAAAATCAGCCAGTGCTTCATTGCGGTTAGAATCGAGTCCTGGTCTGGATGTGTATTCAATCTGGACGTAGATGGGAGTGCCAGCTTTCTTTTGTGCCAATCCCTCTTTGACTGACGCAACCGAGGTTGCCTTGCATTCATCCCGTACGTAGTTGGCCAGTCCAGATACATTTTCCGTTTCTAATCCAACGACTTCAGCAACAGGGTATCGTCCCTGAACGCTTGGTGCAGCCAGTGCTTTCTTCAGGTGTGGTGTTTGTGATGATAGCTCTGAGGAACGAATCCCTGGTTGTGCAACAAAGATGTAAATATCATCATTACATTGCGCTAGAATCTCTTTCGCAGAGCTGAGAACCGATGAGGAGGACTGAAGCTGTTGGGTTCGCTCGACTTGGAGGGAGGATGGTAGTCTAGAGCTTTCGTGGTTAGTTGACGCAACACAGATGCCATGGGCGATGTGCTTACGGAGAAGAGGACAATAGGACAAATGGAGAGGTGTCCTTGAACGCATGTGTAGAGGCCACACATGCTGCAGCTGCAGCTATCGAGAAACGCATGTTTGCTATTCTTGTCGTGGGGTTGACGTTTATTCAATTGACCTGATGGATGAAGTCCATCGGTACAGCCTTGAAGCTCCCAGCATTCGGGGCATTCGGGGAATTCGGCCCGGCGGCCCCCGCCAAAAAATAGAAGCTTAAGAAAGTTACTGTACCGTATGGTACGGCAACTCAATGACATAAACCTCCTTATCATCTCACAACCGCCAATCTTCCACCTCAATCCAACATCCGCCATGTCAGCTGCGATCGAAGCGGGCATTTTCAGGCCTCCGCGGCCCAAGAAGTCCGTCCTGCCTGCCATTACTCGAGGATCGAAAAAGCGCAAAACCGAGCACAAAATCGAAGAGATCTCTTTCGATGATACCTCACGAGCGGACTACTTGACGGGTTTCCACAAGCGAAAGGTTGCAAGGGCAAAGTTGGCGCAAGCACAGGCGATCAAGATGGCACGAGACGAGAAGATTCAAATGCGCAAACAAGTCAGTACCTATTATCATGGACATTTCATATATGGTGGAATTGAAATCAAATTTCTAATTGTTTGATGTTATCTAGTTACGAGAAGAGCGAAAGAAAGAACTGGAAGAGCACGTAGAGGCGGTAAACAGGCTACTCAAGGATGTCGAACAACCTCAAGGAAAATGGAGCGATGACGAAGATGAAACCTGGAATGGGATTGAGGAAGAGGCACCGGTGGTTGAGCCAGTAGATCATGAGGAGGAGTACGTGGATGAGGATCGATACACAGTTGTCACAGTCGAGGAGGTTGACGTATCCAAGGAGGGTCTTTCCAAAGTTGCAGAGCAAGATGGGAGCGATAATGACGAGGAGGTACCGAAATTGGTTGAAACTGAAGAAAAGGGCAAGAAGGTATGGCCAAAGAAACCTAGAAAGCAGAAGTTTAGGTATGAAACCAAGACGGAACGCAAGGCTTCGAGGGGCAAGCAGAAAGCTGGGAACAAGGCAAAGGCAGATGCTCGCAGAGGTAATGGATGATAAATTACCGCCGGACCCAATATCGATTTTGCTACCTAGCTACTAGTCTTCTTGATGCTAGCACCATGAAGCAAGGGTATGTGAATTTGTTGAGAGAAATCAACAGGGAGCAAGCACCCCTAAGAACACAAAAATACCACCACCAGCGCTTGAGAGGTATATCACTAACGTGCTCAAATACGCCAAGTGCAGCCCGTCCGGAAGGCACCTGCACTTCTAATAGCCCCCTATATCCACTCATACACCGCTGCAAGCTTAGATGTTGCCAATCTCGAGTTGGAAATCTGCCAACTCCTTCTGGACATCGGCGTATTTCTTTGACATATCCTCGAACTTGGCCTCCCACTGGTCTCTCTCGGCTTCCAGAGCTTGCACCTTGCGTTCAAAGTGGCCAGCCTTTACATCGGTTTGGCGGAGCCTATAAGGGGTTAGTTGCTGGTCATAAGTCCGGGTATTTAAAGTCCATATAACTCACTTGTCATTTGTTTCGCGGAGATTCTTGTCAGCCTCTTCGGCCTCGTCCTCAAGGAGTTGGAGTCTTCGTTGTAAAGCCTCGTTTTGTGACATATGGCCACCGCTGGCATCGGCAGACTCCTTGAGCTCCTTGTTCTTTGCCTCAGCGGACTCCAAGTCGGACTCCAACTGAGTGGTCTTGTGTTGGAGAGAGGTGATTTCGTGCTCCTTTTGGAGGTTCTCCTGTTCAAGGGTCTTGATTTGCTTCTGGAGCTCCTCCACCTTAGCAGCCGACTCGTCCGCCTCGATGCGGAGGGAGTTCATTTTCTATTGGGAAAAAGAAAGCATTAGCCCTTCCTCTTCCATGAAAGCTGATGAGATATCTGCTGGATGTGCCTGCCGGTACAGGCAGATCCTGACACAAATGGCGGGGTTATGTAATCGGGGACTCACCTCCTTGATGCGATCCATTTTGAAGGTAGTTTGTGGAAGATAAGATCGTTTGTAGATTTCAGTGTGGTATGAGAGAAGCTCTGCCGTGAGATCGTGATGGCAAGTACTTTGTGGATGTGAAAGTCGCGGTTGATGAGGTTCGTTGTGAAATCCAGGTGGGTTTGAATCTGACGAGGAGCCGAGAGCGAGCCATGCATTCACACACCCACACCCCTGCTGGTGGCTGTGGCTTGCCCTCCCAGTGCGTGCAGGGTTGCCGTCGCAACCAACTCTACCTCCGTGTTTTGATACAGTAATTCGCCTCACGATTCTGAAGGTGACGACAATTCCACCACGACACTATTAATGTAATATTTGCACCCACCCATTGCTTATCATCGCGACGACAGAGAGCACATCTGCGAAAATGTTGTCCGTTCGGGACCAAGAAAATCTGGTCCATGGCCACCAAACTGCTGCGGCTTCGAAGCCCTTGAACCAAAGCACTAGAAGCCTTCAGCCAAAGACGCCCGGAAACAAATACCCAAAAACACCTCTGAGGGTCCCTTTGAACGACGAAAATGCACTAGGTATATTTGGAGGAAAGTCCGTCAAGGGAAAGGGCTTGGAGAACTTGATGAACACTGGAAAAAAGGGTGCGACTCTGGACAAGAATTCTTTCGTGACACCCGCACCCGGTAAGCAATTGTTCTGCGGACTAGAGCATGGTCGTTCTAATTAGGTACTAGGTACTCGGAATCGAGCTCCTCTTGGTATGAAAACGACAAATGCGAAAGCCAAAGCCTTCCAGACCCCTTCTGGCCCAGCTCCGGGGAAGGATGTTGAAAAGACCCAGCAAATGCAAACGAGCGCGCGCCGACCAAAGAGAGCCATATATGCGGATGCAGTTAAACTTGAGGTACATGGAGATGAGATTCCATTGCAAGAGCGAGATTTGGAGGTTGAATATGCGCCACCTCGACCAAGAGATATACCTTACCAATCAGAGGACTTTCCTGCAAATTGTCTCAATTACGACTTCATCAAACCCGGCAATTTGATGAAAGGTGCATTGAGCAGCCACCGCCAACAAGTGGATGCTCAGGGACGTACCAGATTGGATCGAGAATTGGAAGAAAGCTATGAGAGGTCTGCTAGAAATGCTGATGAACGGATTCTAAAGATTATGCAAGAAGAAGAGTGGACTGTGGGAGATGTACCAGAGACATTCCGCCATCTTCGCAAGAAGGAGCCTGAGCAGAGCAATAAGAACGGAGCTGGAAATGTCAAGAAAGTCGCAACTAGAGCACAAAAAGCACCTGCAACGATTGTATCTCGGCGAGCAGCATCAGCTCTTTCTGTCATACCCAAACTCACTTCTACGCAAGTCAAAGCTGAGAAACCAGCTCCAAATCCCAAGGGCCTCATCTCATTTCTATCACGCCCCAAGCCCATACCACTACCAATAACAGCCCCATCAACTCTTCGCAACAGCGCCGCTGTCAACACTTCAAAAAGCACTATTGGTTATTCAAAAGGAAGATCTGCTTCTGGTGCACTTCATAAAGCCCACGTCGAGCAAAACACAGCCGTAGGCCCACAAAAGAGAGCTGGTGGTGGACTTACAAGAAGTGTTAGCGACATGAGTCAAGCATCTGACCGCACGATGACTCCAGCACGCTTTGCCAAGCAAGGACATGACACTGATGAGTGGAAAAAGAGATTGTCATTTCTCAGTGCATTTGATGTTGATGAAGAAGACTTGGAACCAGGCTTAAGAGGTGTGATGCCGGACAGCTTACGCGCCCAGGATGAGGAGGATGAGGAGTTTGTCCTCACTCTTATGTGATACTCCATTGGAAGATTGGATTCGCTAGCCATATGGCTTCTTTCCTTGTGGAGTGTGCAGGTTGTCTATTGGGTATGCCTATGGTTTAACAGGACTACATTTCACCTTGGACAACTTTGTATTGTATCAAAAACTTGTATACTACGTCTATGTCCGATATGGTTCTTGGTTTTTTGTCGCGTCTTATACCATTGGTTTCGTGGAAGGTGATCCACGTATTTCTTGTCAGGGAAACTTACAAATGGCTGTGAGTTCCTGGGTGTTTTCGGCGCCAAAAAGCTACATTACTAGGAACCACAATCTTTACGTAGAATGCATATCAAACCATTCATGTACCGAAAACTACCTCCATCCAGTGCTCACCTTGCTTTTCATGAATCATTGCCTGTAATGAAGATAGCAACCCCCCCTCCCCCCCTCCACGTCCTCAGGGTCAATTGTTGTCATGAAAATAATCCAAGGCACGTACCCAAACGCTTTCTTTCCATCCTTGTGTCATGGAGTCCGATCTAGTCCTCGATGTTCAAAGCCTACTCTCACTATGTACTGGTTAACAAATGGCCAGAAGAGCCGCTGAGAAGATGCAAAATAGAAGTTCTATAGCGAATTATCCTCTCTGGGCATATCTAATGCCTGCTCTTGGTTCACCTGACACATCAAGGCCGCACAGTCTATATTCTAGCTGATCTGAGTACGGCTGTAATGAACCTTTTTCAAGACTTCCCTGATTTGCTGGGAGTTTGAGAGCATGTCAGTATTCGATGCTCGTCCGTGTATCCGGGGAAGTACAAAGTCCACTGGTTCCTTCGAGTTTTGGAATTTCTGCTCATGATATTACTCATTCTATTCCCGATGTTGCTTTGAACATATCTGAATACAGGTGTGTCTAAGACATGGCTTTTTGTAATGTTACTTCTAAGGATATCGATTCCTGGTGGAGGGCCTATATTGAAGTACTACATGGATTGACGTGTTCTAGAGATGCTTTATGCTAAATAGACCAAGAGGATTGGGAAATTCGCAAGAGCTCTTGAAGCTTTGGATGTTGGCTAAACTACTAGGCTTGCTTTTATTTTTGTCATATAACTGTCTTGCATTTCGTGAATGAGTCTCCAGATGGCAGAGAACACAGATAACTACTGTGAACTGCATTATATTGTTGCATCTTATTCATGAGAGTGAAAACCACTTTCTTCTTTTCATCGCCTTAGAGTTCTCTGCTCACAGCCACTTTCAGCCAAGTATTTGGTTCAAACTCTATTCATGAATCATGGCTAAAAGCGACTGGAGTAACGACTATATCGTGAATTAGTCTTATTCTCACATACAACATCTCAAAACGCCTGCCAATCACACTTCACATTTCCTTTGAGTCCTTTATGTATCAAGCGTTTTTAGATAATCATACCTGTTAGTAGGATTGTCTATAATAAGGTCTTCAGGTAACCTCCCAGGCTTCTTTATGAAATCCGTAAATGGCACAGTAGGTATCTTGATGGTTACAGAGTAACGACCCAAACTTCAGCCATGAAGAGAATGCTTTTGAAAAGCAAGATTTATTATTGAATCAGTTGTCCATGCCAAGCGAGCAATCCATTTCACGTTGGTGCATACGATGTATACGGATGCCTATTCACAATCATAGAAGCGTTCATACAAGTGTTCCAAGCTTGATCTGCTGTATAAGCCTCCAGAGAGCCTAGGAAAGTTATTTTTCATTCCTAATAAAGGAATCGAGTGCAGGCCATAAACTGTTCAGTGTTGACTCAGTAAAAAGATTTGAAGTGAAGTGTCGATAGAACTTCAAAATATTCCCGAACCTATTCCTACAATCTTTCAGTTCAATTAGTGTACATAACCGAGGCGGACCAACAACCATCCTCTTCAGCTTTTAATATACACGTGATTTTCACAAGCTCCCAACCTGGAAGGTTCAGGTTCACCTCAGGTCCAACAGTTAGAAGACTTGTAAAGTGAAGAGGATGGGGCTTTGGCGTGGAAGCTGTCTCAACCGTTGATAAGAACAGATCCTTGCTATACAGATAACCCAGAGGCTTAGGGATTATAGTCCAGATATTTGTTGTATTTGTAAAGTGTTATTGTACCTTGGTACCTAACTACCTACCTAGAAAGCGGCGGAGTCACGTGCATAATTAAAATGCTGTGGTTTGCAGTTGAGGTGGGGGCCATAATTACTTCATCTATTTCAGTATAGGCGAAGCGCTTGAGAAATATAAATTTAACCTACAATCAAACATATTCGCAACTTTCAACGCCGTGCAGGGACTGAAAAGTGAAGTCGTCACGTCATAACCTTCTTCGTGAGAGTTTCGTGTGTTGCAATCTAGACGCCCAGATCGCTTCAGGCAGTGACGCGAACATCCCTTGGCAATGGACTTTGAGAGCACCAAGTAACCGCGCAGAGGAATTCTCGAAAGTGAGGTGTGATCAATCTGAGTGAAGGAGAGTTATTCAGTATCATCTCCTCTCGACCATTGATGAATCGTCGTCCTCAGCATTTGATTGTTGTCCTCAGGCCGCTCTTCCATGAGTCGTTGTCCCAAAAGACTTCCCATCCATGTCCCAATGCGGACTAGCAAGGAACTTGAACATTCCGCAACAACCACCAAAGCCGCCAACAACACCTCAACCATCCATCGCTCTCCACCCCACGAACCTCCTCCTATCCATCGATCCTCCCCTGGCAAGCCTTCATTGAGTCTGCGCGACGAATTCTACGAATAGCTTTTCTATTTTTCAGCCATCTCCTGCGCCATACACCTACCTGTCCTTCCCTGGCCCTCGAGAGCGTCGCGTGGTCCTCATCTGCCCCTTTGCGCTCGTACACATACTGGCCCACCGCCGTTGCTTTCAAATGCCCGCCACTGCTTATTGAATTGCACACAAGAGATGAGGGTTGGCTGGCGGAGGAAGAGGTAGATTGATCTTTGTGCCATAATGTCTGGCGGTGCAAGTTTCGCGCAGTTTTTCCCCTCTGCCCCTAGGGCCGCCAAGGACAAAGCAAAAGAGCGAGAGAAGGTCAAATCGCAGATTCAGGAATCTCCTAAATCAAGAGCTGCGAATTCTCAAGCCGCCCTTTCGAATTCACTCGCATTCAGCGACGATGCTGGCCTCACCCCTTGTGGCGGCAGTGAGAACAAGATATCTCCCTCAGAAGTTACGGCTTCCCAGGCAGACGACAACGAATTGCTCCAAGACGATCTCCTCCTCAATGGTGTTGGTTCTGCAAGCTCGCATGCTAGCACAGTATCATCTGTTTTCAGTGCACCGGCGCCACCCTCCAATATGTCTGCAGGCGGCTCAAAGAATATGAGCAGTTTGACTCCTTTAACGAACATCGATTCCTCTCCAAATCGGATCACAAGCCCTCACAATAATAAATCTGGTATCCCATCAAGCGGGATCACTGCAGATATCACCACCGCCCCCCATGACGTCCCACAAGCGCATCCCTCTCTGGCAGAGCCAGCAGAGCCAGAACCTTCAACTCCCCGAATTTTCGCTCGAGACCCGAAGAGTAGCATAAAGGGCAACAAATGTATATACGATCCCTTGATCGACAAAACAATATCATCCTCGAAGAACAAAAAGCCGAAAGTACTTTATAAGGAGTTTGGTTTGGTACGTATACAATCTGCGGGGAGCGTCATCTTGTTTGTGTGAATGTCTAGCTAATGGCTTTGCAGGAAGAAGATGACGCTCCCCCCGCGGATCCGAGATTGGCAAAGGGCGGAATATTGGGTTATATTAACACCAATTTTCATATGCCAAAGTCGCAACTGCTTCACGCCCCGGAGCTTCTGCGACCATACAAATACGATCCGAAAACTTCTCTCGGTCCAGGTCCTCCTACCCAGGTAGTGGTCATGGGTTTCGATCCACTGTATAATTTCTCCCTTGTGACCGCATATTTCTCGAGTTTTGGCGAAATTGCTGAGAGTAGTAATAAACTTCACCCCGAGACTGGCAGCTGCTTGGGATTTGGAATATTTCGGTATAGGGATAAAGCAGTCAAGGGAGGCCTTCCTATTTCTGCGACACAGGCTGCCAGACTGGCAGTAGGGAAGGGTAATGGTTCGCGCATGGGTACAAAGAACATCAAGGTTTCTTTCGATCCCGATGGAAGGAAGAGTCGACGTATGCTGGAAGACGCTCTCAAGCAGTCTAAATCAGAATCTGATTCAGCAGCTCCACCACTTCTAGCAGCCAAGCCTGCAGAGGTTATCAAATCCTCCGGACCACCACCCACTGCCCCCAAAGGACCAGCGGCCTATCGGTCAGGAGCTGGTCGGCTACCATATGTGCCCATACCTACCAAGCCAAGAGCACAGCAGATGCTCGAAGATGACCAGCCTCTATCACTCAAGTTAGATAGAGAGCCGTATATCTTCATATCTAAAGAATCTGTGCCGTTGATTCCTGCAACCATACCACATCTTAAGAAGCGACTGAAGAACTATTCCGAACCTGATGTTAAACTCGACCGATATGGCTACTACGTCATTTTCTCAAACGGCTCATATGGCAGATCGCAGTGTGAGAAATGTTATCGAGAAGTGAACGGATGTCCCCTTTTTACGTATGAAATGATGATGAAGATGTATCCTTACGGGACCAACGGACCTCGAACTCTTGCGCAAGGTTCTTCTGACCAATATCGGAGACGGAGTCGAAGCCCTGCCCGTCGGGATCTGGAACTTCGAGAAAAGCAGGATGCACTTCAACGTGAAAGGGAAGAAGCGGCGGACTTGGAGGAGGAGCGGAAAGAGCGCGCCCGAAATTTTGACCCATCCAAAGAAGCTATGGATGTTATTCGGAGGGCGATGAAAGACCAACTCCTGAAAAATATCCGAGCCAAGCATGCTGGACCGATATTGCACGAGTATATGGATCCGGCAAATCACGCCCATAAAAGACAAAAATACAACATACAAGATCCTAAGGATCTGAAGATGTCATTAATCCACGAGGAAGATGGTCTGGAAAACAGTCCTGTTGGTACGCCGAACTCCCGTGCTGAAGCCTTTGAGCGCCGAGCTCTAGGATCTAAAGTCAATCTGAGTGCTTTGGGACGCATTAGAATGGCCAAATCCAGCAAGAGGTCCAACGTAGGTTTCAAGGACCCATTCGGGAGAAATCGACCAGAATCCAAAAAGCCTATCGTGCGGCCGTTGGCACATCGTTGGATTGAAGAAGATGATTCTGACGATGAGGTTGAAGACCGCTCTCGAGCCCTCTACACAGAGGAGCCTGACTCACGTTCCCGAAGCAGAATGAGCACTGACGACGAGTCTTCTGATGGTGATGATACCGATATGATGGTGGAAAGAGACAGGTTCAAGGAAGGGTCTGGATCAGTTGATACCCGTGATGAAGATTCGGCAAGCGAAGCGGCTTTTGTTGTTGGGGATTCTGTTGTCCCTACAAAGAAACGCAAGTTTGATTTACAGGTCGAGGCAGCGTTGAAGCGGCAAAAGAAAACTGACGAAGAGCTCTTTGGTGTTGACGCTGGTAAAATCGATCGAGAATTTCCCCTTTCTGCATCGCCTGTCGATGAGGATACTCCTATGCCTGATATCGACGGAGTCGTGAAAACCGAGAAAGAGATTGCCTTTGAACTGAAGCAAAAGAAGGCAAAGAAGAAGTCTAAAAAGCAAATCTTTGAGGAGCGCGAGGCAATGAAAGAGGCCCTGAAAAGGCAACGAGAAGGAATTTACATGGAGGAACTTCTCCAGCCGCAAAGCGAGCCTTCCCGCCATGGTGAGCATAACGAAGAAGATGTCATTGAGACTGCACCTGTGGAGACTTCTGTTGAATGGGGAATGTCCGCCAATGCCCCCAAGCCAACCGTGGAAGACACTTTCGACAACATTTTGGATCTTGATGGGCTCCAGAGGATGCTCAGAGACGACGAAGACGACCCAGCGGCTTTGGCTGCGTTTAATCGTAAAGCGAAATCCCAATTACGTATGCGTAGCGTGAGTACCTGGACTTGGCAGCAGGAACAAATGAAAGCTCTCAACCGCAATGGGCAAAAGGGACCAGTTAAAACTGAAACCGTTGTTGAAGGATATTATGTTCCTAACAAAACTGGTTGTGCTAGGACAGAAGGATACCAGAAGATCTTAAATTCTGAAAAATCCAAGTACCTTCCACATCGTATCAAGGTACAGAAGGCTCGAGAAGAGCGAGAGGCCCAAGCTTCGAAGGCCGGCAAAGATATTGCTGCTGAAATGGCAGAAGCGGCTAGGATCGCCGCAGAAAAGTTGCAAGCCAAAGGCAATTCTCGAGCTAGTCGTGTCAACAATCGCCGCTTCGTCGCAGGTCTTGAGGATCAGAAAAAGACCTTAGGAGGGGATTCGGACGTTCTATCATTCAATCAACTCAAAAAGCGAAAGAAGCCGGTGAAATTTGCTCGATCCGCGATCCACAATTGGGGACTCTACGCTATGGAGAACATTGCAATCAACGACATGATCATTGAATATGTTGGAGAGAAGGTTCGCCAACAGGTTGCTGATCTCCGAGAAACCAGATATCTCAAAAGTGGTATCGGGAGCAGTTACCTCTTCCGGATCGATGAAAACACCGTTGTGGATGCCACCAAAAAAGGTGGGATTGCTAGGTTTATCAATCACAGCTGCATGCCCAATTGCACAGCGAAGATTATCACGGTTGAAAAGAGCAAGCGGATTGTCATCTATGCACTTCGTGATATTGCAATGAGTAAGTTACCGTTCCTTCACTTCTGATCCCAAAACTAACACTATGTAGATGAGGAGCTCACTTATGATTACAAATTCGAGCGTGAGATTGGTAGCACGGATCGTATTCCCTGTCTCTGTGGAACAGTGGCGTGTAAAGGTTTCCTCAATTAATTTTTTCTTACATTCACTCGTCTGGGCGCACCTTTTATGTACAGGCGCCTTGATGCTCGACAAAGAGTTCTTTTTTTACTTCTTCTTCTTCTTCTTCTTCTTCTCCTGGAGTTGTGCTGCATTGCAAAGCGCACGGTATTTGATTTTTTCCAAGCAATGCATTCAGAGGTGGTTGGTTTGGGCAAGGGGCAAAAAAAGCTGTACTTTTTCAACCGAGTTCCCTTTTTTTCTGGCGTTTGATATTTGACATTTACTGATGGTCGGGAATGGTAATGGAAGGGGGCAGAATGTGTACTGCTTCATCAGCGGGTTGGGACGATGAGATAAACGGAAGGGAGGGTGGGCGTGGAAGGAGTGGAGCTTTGTACGTGTAAGATAGAGAGTGAAGTGAGCCTTGATTCAGGCGCGAGCCGACTGACATGGGGGATCTGAAAGTTTGCGTGGACGTCCGAGGTGGGTAGATAGGTAGTCCCACGAAGGGAGAGATGAATAGATCTTTTCCGGATGTGAATACTTTTCTACTTGGTTCTTTTGAGGCATGATTTGATGTTATTCTAGTATTATCGCTGGCTTTGCTATATCTGTAATGATTTTTGTAGATCAAGTTCAAGGTTGAGTATAGCTAAGTGAACCAACCTATTTCCCCATGAAAACCTCCTACTCCGTACATATTTGAATACCCGTACTACTTGGAATTAAATAGTACATTTATAGATAAGATAATACGGTATCTAATTCAAGGTTCTAATTCTCTTTAGGTAAAGTATTTGTATTTTATAACCTCGTCTAATAAGAAGCCTTCAAGCCTATAATCACAATCAACCACTCAAAAGAACGGGGCAATCAGTTTTGAAATCTATCAACCTTTCTTATTAGGGGAGGTTTATTATCTCAAATCAAACTTTTTATCCGTAAGATAGTATCTTGTATTCTAATGAATACATACGGTGGTTCAAAATCAACCATCTATCTCTTTCCCATCCTTGACGCCAAAGCACATCCTTAATACGCCGGGTATCTCCAACAAGTACGTACATACACACTAGAATCAAGCAGCCACCCACGTCTCTCGATCACAGAGTCGGGAACTACGAGAACGAACCTCCGCTTTCCACATAGAAAAGTCTAGGTTCTTCTCAAAATTTCATCCCAATCAATTGCTCTTCCTCCCCATATCCCCCTCCTCCAACTCCCCTCCATTCTCCCACCACACACCTCACGGAATCTCATTCTCATTCTCCCCCTTGATCGCACGCATCCCGCATACCCAAACCGACGACTCTCTCTCATTCATCCCCATCACACCAAGTGATTCGGCAACAAAAAATTCGCAATCCCCTCTTTCACTTTATACTCATGTCCACAATTCGCACATACCAAGCTCCCCTCGCTGATCTGGGTCTCGAGGAGCAGGGTATGCAGATCTGCCATCATCTTCGTGTCGTTCTCGAGGTCGGCGGGTGTGGGGGGGAGGGGCGAGAGGGATGGGAAACCGAGCTGGGGGTTGTTAGTTATCTATTCTTTTTCTTTNCGAGGTCGGCGGGTGTGGGGGGGAGGGGCGAGAGGGATGGGAAACCGAGCTGGGGGTTGTTAGTTATCTATTCTTTTTCTTTTCTTTTCTTTACGCTCCTGTCCTGATGGATGGATGCGCGCCGTGAAGTGGGAAGTGGGACTTGGACTGGAGGACATACAGCAACGGCAATACTCCCCAACGCGGGCCAATCTACGCGCGGGAGTAGGTTCGTTAACAGGGTTGGGTTGGGAGCGATGGTGTCGGAGACGAGCTCGCATTCCTTGGGTACGAGGGGGAAGGAGGCGCTGGTTGTTTTGCAGGCTTTTACGGCGCAGGTGAGGAAGTTGAGTGTGAGGACTTTCATTATTTTTTTGGTGGTAGTTAATGCGATTGTGATTGTGATTGTGATTGTGATTGTGATTGTGATTGTGATTGGGATTGGGAGGTGAGGTGGTAGTTGGGGATTTGGTGGTGTGGTTTTGGATGGGGTGGGTGGAGGGTGGAAAAAGTTTGGTGATGGATGGATGGATTGCGGGGTGCGATTAGATTGTCGACTTTGCGCGTCGGGTCTTCTGGGGTTTAGAGTGGCACGTGATTTGGTTTGTTTTTTCTCGCTAAGGGATGGTTCCCCTTTATTTCACTTTGGCGACGTCACCTGTTCTGAATTCGTGGTTAGACGTTTTAGGGAAATTTGGACCTCCTAGACAACCAAAATGAGTTTTGACTTGATTTCATCCTGGAACCCGCAGTATTGTTGGATAGGTAGTTGAAAAATATTAATGGAAATGGTACCATCGCAATGGTTAGGAAGGCGAGTAAACTTGTGGCCCATTGATGGTATAGCAGAATAGCAGAGTGTAGAAGGGTAAGCTGAACCCAACGAATATTTGTTATTTATAGCCATCTCATCGCTCTCAGTTCAATATAGTTTCCTTATATCGAACTTCCTGTCGTAATCAGTTTCTACGGCTCTACCCATAGCAATACTAGGAAATACAATTTTCCCCGTAACCCGACAAGTTTGAACACATACACATACAAAACTTAAGCTGTTAAGTTCTCAGAGGAATGAAGAATTGAGGATAACTCCATGAGGATAACAAGAAACAGGGTTTCAATGAACTGATAAAAGAGCATTGAGTAGTTTACCCTGTAGTAACATACCAACTGTACTTTAGATCATGAACGAACGACCTTGCGCTTGGGGGAGTATGCGCTGGCCTTTACTAGCTCTATGGATCTGCCTCGTTCTCTAATATAATGGAGAGGTTCGGGGTGTATGGGTTAGTAGTGGTATTGTTTCGCGAGCCTGTTCCAGCGTTTTAGTTTGGTGTCTGAGGGTATATTGACAGGAAATTAGTAATTGGGTAGTTAAGATAGATGTGTACAGTACAGTACGTGATGTTTAAAGCGAGAAAGGGTCTGAGAAGTTTTATCACTTGGTGGTTTTAAAATATGTATCGATACATTGATACAATAGACTTCACATTTCCATACGAAGCTACTTATTGCACTCCACAAAAGCCCATCGAAAAATAAGGAAAGAAATTGAGTGAAAGAAATCAATGTCCATTCTACTACAGCCTATGATACCGTAAAATGGGAAACTACCACCCTCCCTTCCCCCCACAACCATCATCGAATGGGTAGCCTTTTTAGGCTCACTAACTAGCCAACAGAGAAATCAAGAGTACCTACTACAAAGCGTCAAAGTCCCGCCATATCAAATCCTACCATCAATCAACCATCCAACCAACCAATCACCTCCCCAATACAAATATCCCCAATTTTTAATACAAATCAACCCCCCAATATCAAATAAACATCCGCCCACTACAAAAATCCTACAAAATCTGGTCCTGAATACCTGTTGGATCAGGATACTCAGAACCCATGAAAGGCGTACCATGCGTAGATCCCTCACTCGAATTCCCAGCATGACAATCCATGTCTTCACCCGGGACCTGGAGGGTGTCGTCATCGTCGAGAAGAGCGGGGTTGAAGAGGGGATCGTCGTCAAAATCAGCGTCGAACTCTCCTGCGTCGGTGTTGGTCGTCGTGAAGTCGGTGTCAGCACTTTGGTTCATGGGGACGTTGTTGGATGCTTGTCCTTGACCATTGTTGTTGGCCATAAGATCACTTCCAGGGGTGTGGTTCACCGCGAAGCCATTATGGGTTTGTGTCTGAGGAGGCATGTTGTTATTCATCATGAACTCGTTTCTACCTTGGCTCGTGTTCCGAACGTGGCTATTTTGTTGATACCCGTGATTTTGGGGAGGATTCCAGGTTTGGCTCATCGCGAGTGTATTTGGATCCTGAACTGAGGACATTCCTTGATTCATAGGAGATGATCCATTGTTGGTGCGACCAGAAGCTTGAACATTACCATGCATTTTTCCACCGCCATTTGGAGAAACTGTATGGCTGCTAGGCGTTCCGCTGCTGGTTCGGCTGTGCGTTGGAGCAGGAGACATTCCCTGGTTCACAGGTGTTCCATTGTTGGCTCGACCTTGCATCTGAGCAGTAGGCATTCCCTGGCTCGCAGGTGTCCCATTGTTAGCTCGTCCGGGCATTTGAGCGGGAGACATTCCCTGGCTCGCAGGAGTTCCACTGTTGCTTCGGCTATGCATTGGAGCAGTAGGCATTCCCTGGTTCACAGGCGTACCATTGTTGGCTCGACCGTGCATTTGAGAAGGAGACATTCCCTGATTCGCGGGAGTTCCATTATTGGCTCGACTAGGAGTCGCTCTATTTCCATGCATACCTGGACCGGGGGAGGGTCTCTGGTTCATCGAAGCTTCATTGCCGAGTTGGCTGTGCATTCGACCGGGTGACAGTCCTTGGTTCATGGAGTGCTGTTGGTTCATGGGATGTTGTTGGTTCATACGGTGTGCATCGGTTGCTTGTCTGGGAGCCCGAGCATTGCTTGGTGCAAAAGTGCCTTGGTTGGGATGCGGAGATAGACCTTGGTTCTGGGGGTACAGGTTGTTGTTTCCTTGGTTGAAAGCACCTGGAAGGCCTAGAATAGCCTGTCCGTGTTGAGTTGGACGAGGCGATGACATTTGACTGCCTGCCATGCCGTTAAGATTCGGGTTTGGAGACATGGCGGAGTTCATGGAATGTCCACTTGGGGTCATCGCGCGGATAGCAGGATGTAATGAGCTCTGACTATTCGAATGAACTTCGTTCTTCATTGGGATTTGACCATGGGCTTGATTGTTCAAAGGAATTTGACCATTGAAATGGGCTTGGTTGTTCAATGGAAGTTGACCATTCGAGTGACGTTGGTTGTTCATCGGGACTTGATGATTCGCATGAACTTGGCTGTTCATTGGAACCTGTCCATCTCGTGGCATCTGACCATTCTTTATAATGGCATCAACACCAGCTCGGATACGCTGCTGCGTCGAAGCTGTCTCCGCACCAGACATAGCAAAGTCCCCACCCGCCTGCTGTGCAACATTTTCTTTTTGACTAGACATAATAATCACTTGTTGCTGCCATTTACATCTGTTGTACAGGTCATTGTAGGATTTCATTGTATCGTGAAATTGGGTCTCCAACTCCGCGATACGTTGATCCTTCTCTGCGAGTTGCTTCTTGAAAGCCTTTTCGGCATTGGCGAATTGGTCACGCAATGTATTCACGTCATCCCGGCCTTTATCAGCGTGGTGTTGCAGGAACATCCTCTGGTTCTTCTCTCGCTGGAGTGCTTCTTTCCTAGCTTGGTACTCGCGTTGTCGGGCTTGTCGGGCTGCTGCGGTTGGTGTGCAGTCCTGGCACATCCAAAAGGGGGAGTTGTCCTGCTTGGCGAATGCACAGCCAGCACATGTGAGATATATGGTGGAATAGTGCTCGATGTGTTGTGGCTCAGGGAAGGTCTGGTCAGGGGGAGGTGATAGCGACGGTACAGTAACTGTAGCTCGGCTATCTTGGATAGGTTGTCCGTCGTACCCGCTAAAGCCTTGACCTTGGGCAGCATGGACTTGAGGATTTGGCGAGAACATTCTGTTACTGTGCTTGAGGTAGTCGTTGTAAGGTGCTCCAACTGGTGGTGCCATCTGAGCCTGCGGTCCCATCTGAGCCTGCGGTGCCATTTGATTTGAATATTGCTGTGGTTGACTTGATCCAGCCATACCACCAGCAGCTTGCGACATTCCATTATTCGAGCGGCTAGGTTGTGCTGTAGGAGCAGTTGGCATATTCAAACCAGCCGAATTTTTCGCAGGCGCTTTTCTCGCTCTTGGTTTAGCTGCTGAAGCAGTTGATGCAGACGATCTACCCGACTTGGGCGCATTTCGAGCATTCGAATGAGCTGGTTGTACGAGTGCTGTAGCAGTAGCCGTAGAGGTAGTCGACTGTCCAGACTTTTGCACGACATCACTACTTGGTGCCGGCTCAGGTTCAGGAAGGGCAGGCATCCAAAGCCCACCTACCTTTCGCATACCACCAGGGCCGGTTTCAACTGGTACTGGGGTAGTCACATCATTCACTCGATGCGATCCATTGCTCGGTGCCGATGCCGGTGCCGACGATCCAGCTACAGTTTTACGGGACTTGGTGACAGGAGAGTCGAGAAGTTGGTCGGCCGAGCGTTTTCGGGAGCCAGATGTAGAACCCATGGCCTGTTGTTGACCTTGGTAGGGTGTTTGGGTGTTAGGAGAGGTGTTGAATATTTGGGGGACTTGTGAAGAGGGAGGAGTCATGCCGACGGGCCATGCTTCGAGTAAGTGTTAGTGGAATTGTATGAAGTTGGTGGGTTGGGTATATTTAGTGGATGGGAGCTTTGATAGGTAACTTACCATTTCCTGTTCCGAGGGGAGCAGTATTTTGAGGCTGGGACATGTTTGCGAAGTTGCCGTCTTGCGGTGCAGGTGTAGCTTGCTTTCCTCTGCCGCGACCCTTGGGAAGGTTCTTAGCAGGTCCTGCCTGTTGCGCGAACGGGTTTGAGTCAGTCATCTCGAGTATGTTCAAGTACAAACTCGAAGAGACAAGGTTGATGTTGGTAGAGTGTGACAGTCGATCGTAAAAGTTGTGTTGAGTCGTAAAGGTGTTGGTGTTGGTCGAGTCGGTGTTGAGTTGAAGGTGGAGGAGGTATTGTTAGGAAAGTCGTGGTGGACGGAGAGGACTTGAATGGGTTGCGAGTGAACAATATAGCAAGCTCCAGTACCAGGCTAGTGGCGCCTAGGATGGCAAGCGGCTGGCTTGCAAAATGACGGAGGCTGGGTACAAAGTCGAATTCACCTTCACCTCCAGTCTGCGACTTTCATATTCTGTCCCATGGCAAGACTTCTGTAGCTGGGGGTACGAAACACAATTCATCAATTCTCTGAGCATCCCTGAGTAGATATTTTATTTATATTGGCAATAATCATTTCAAGCAGAGAGGTTATCTAAGTTTTCTCGTACTAGTATTTGTAGAATCTCATAGCTTCCCCAAGATGGTTGTAGAATAAACAAACCACCAAAGAAAATATCCGTGTCTCAATTTTGACGCAATTTCTCGAGCACTCAGGTAAATAACGAGTCAGCACTGCAAGACAACTACAATACTATTGTCATTTGCGCTAGTATGAAGTCGGGCTTGAGTACTTTGGTTCCTATTGAGATTGAAACAATAGGACATAAGGTTGGAAACGAGCAATCTCCACCAATCGGTTACCGGTTAAACCATGGGTTTCGCCACGTGCGACCCATAATAGATCACAAATTGTTCCCAGTCACTACTTGTACTTGTTGTCCAATGAGCAGCCCACCTGCTTGTGTTCTCTTAGTACTGTGGGATTAGCACGATCAACCATGTCTTTGAGAGGCTGGTACCTTAAAGAGACTATCACCATGGGTTGACACTATTCTGTGTTCAGTCCTAAATATAGCTAAAAACATACTAAAACCTATAATCCCACAGCCCTACAAGTACTATAGTACTAGCACAATCAACACCATCTTTGAGAGGCTAGTAGGCTGGTACCTCAAACATACCACCACCATGGATTAACACAACTCCATACACAAGCCCAAATATAACCAAAAACACACCAAAACCACAATTTCACAGCCTAACTCTATAACTTAATATCAAAACTATACACAATCCTTCCTAAAACAACATAAACACTAGAATCTGCCATCCGCCGAATCATCGTAAAAAATCTTTTAAGGAGAACAAGAGGGTGGGTCTTCTTCCAACGGCGGATAGGAGGTGCCTCCTTTTAAGAAACACACACACGCAAGTCTGTAACAAACCTACTGATTATACAGTAGGTTGTTATTATAGACAAGTGATCTTACAAATCAAATGATATATACAAGCATGCTTACTTACCCTCGATACGCAAACATACAACAAACCTACTACTTACCGGTTGTTACTATAAACAAGTGATCTCACAAATCAAAAGATATACACAAGCTTACTTACTTAGCCTCAATACGTAAAACACATCCTTTAGCAGTATTTGGTATATCCACTCCTTGCTCTTCCTCGCCACTCCTTTTCACTGGAATCTCCATACCTATCCATAAAAAATTAAAATCAGCAAGTTCTCCTTCCTGTTCTAGTTTTGACTAATCGGTACTCCTTATCCTCGCCAGGGTACCAGATAGGAAAGGAGGAGCACTCCTGAGGCTTGGTATTACTTGTAGTAGGTTTTGGTGGGTGTGGTTAGTAGTAGTGAAACAGGTGGGGAATTATATACTGGAATTCTGAAATGTTGAGATTGTCGCTTGATTAGTAAAGAGACTATTCCTCATATACCTTAGTACATCGTAGGATTTTCGCTTGCATTATAAAAAGATTATCGCTTAAACCTCATTTCTAACCTTATCTTAGCCTCTCCTTCCTACTCCTCTCCCTATCCTCTGATTCCTCCCCTATCCAGTCAAAAATCTATCACCACTCCTTTACCAAGCCAAAAGTGGTGGTCGGCTCTCCTGATCCTTTCTGGATGGTCCGAAGAGGAAAGGAGGGGAGATACTAAACACTGGTTATAGCCTAACTATTAGTATAGTATAATATCATTAATATCCCTTTAACATATCTTTCTTTAACCCTCTCATCTCTTATTCTCTTGAATATCCCCAAGCTCCAAGACCTAAGACCTAAGATCCAATGTAATACTAGTATTAGTATCAGATACTTACGTATTAAAATCATATAACAAATACACCACAGACAGTAGATTACAATCAAATCCAAACTCAAATTTACCTCCTCTGCCTACAGAGTAGCATATACACTCCGAGAGGTATCCAAATTCCCTTCCACTTCCACATCCTCAACACCACCACCTCATCAGCATCCTCACCAACACCACCATCAAAATTCAGAAAAAATCAAATACATTACTATAACTACCTAATACCAACTCTACCACATCAACCCCCCAACCCTCTCCTTCTCCCCCTCATCCGCAAAGATAAGATCCACAGCTCCTCTGGCCAGGGTACATACATCTTTCTCAGATAAATTGAAATGCTTTGCGAGGAGGCGGTATTCATTTGATGGGAGGGAGCCGAAGACGCCGATGTTGTCGGTCTGGGTTGTTGGTGTGATGTGTAAGTGAGAAGTGTGTAAGAGGGGAAGGAGGGGAGGGGAGGGGAAGGAGGGGGATTTTGGGAGTTTGGGAGTTTGGGTTCATGGATGGAGGGAAAGAAGGAAGGGAAGAAGTGTGGAGAGGAGAGAAGGGAAGAGAAGAGATATCCAAGAAAAAACCAGAAGGTAGCTATCTAGCCAGCGAGCAAGAAAAAACCGAGTCAAAAGAAAAATAAAACTCACCGAAACCGCAATCCCCCCTGC